AAAAGAGCCTGGAAAACGTAGTAGACTAAGGTTCCATGAAGATGTGGTTCGAGTTTTAGAGAAAGATGAGGGGAGCAAGACAAATACACATGGTTTGCTTTTTCATCTTAAACTTGGATTTATTTCTTTCGACTACCGTTTTCACACGCCATAGTTGTTTTTAATTCCCTTAAATTTCCCTTCTTAATCTTGCATGTATAACACATACTAGAGGAACATCCCATGCATGAGCAAATACAAAAATGTTGTTTTAAAAGATTATATATTTCTTGATTTTTCAAATTCACTTTATAATCATAGAAAGGCACGGAAGAATGGCAACAAACTAAAAAGCAAATAGCTTGAAGACTCTCTTTCTCTCTACTGGCTTGTTAAAAATTTTAGAATTTTAATTTTCGAAGGGTGAATATTACTTCCGCTATCACAATTTACTTACACTTATAACTACTTACTATTTACGTAAATTTAATATACTTACAATACTTAGTTTTATTTACTTAATTTAAGTTTTTAGAAATAAATAAAAAATAAACAACATTTACACACTTTCTGAGGGTAAAGTAATTATAATGACTACTTATTTACGTTAATAAAATAATAGTAATAGATTAGTTGCAAATAAAATAATAAGATTATAACTAAGAAAAACCATTATTATATACTGTAATAAAATAATTTATGTAAATAATAATAAATACTGTTTTAATATTAATGTTAGATATTTTTATTGTGGTACATAATATATTATGATACCAGATAATACAAATCTAATACATAGATAACCAATGTGATCTGTTTTATGAAATCAATCTTGTATCATAAAAATAAATATATTAACTGTGAACAAAATATTGACTGAATAATACAGACAAACACACATATAATTTAGGTCTATTTGTATTTTGTTAATTAATTTATGTACGATGTTTGCAGGGATCCAATGAGATTGAAATCATATTTCTAGAATTTCCTTTTTCTGAAGAAGAAGGAGAAGAAGTAAAATGGGATGGAGATGGATTGAAGAAGATGAAAAATCTGAAAACTCTTATTATAAAAAATGGTCGTTTTTCTCAAGGCCCCAATCATCTTCCAAATAGTTTGAGAGTATTGGAATGGCAGAAATATCCTTCAGAGCATTTACCATCTGATTTTTGTCCCAACAAACTTGCTATATGCAACTTGGGCAGCAGTCGCATTTCATCACTAGGCTTATTATCGAAAAAGGTATGTAGGTCGATTGAGTTAATCTCCTTATACTTGTGTTTTTACTTATTGGTTGGGTTCTTGACGTGTTATATTCAAATAATGAATTAAATTTTAGTTTATTGATTTGCTTGTTTTTCCCTTTGTTTTTGTTGCAGGAGTTTAAGACCTTGACAAGTTTGAATTTTGACTATTGTGAATATTTAACGGAGATACCTGATGTTTCTGGTCTCCAAAATTTAGAAAAATTGTCGTTTAAATTTTGTTTTAATATATGTAGGATTCACTACTCCGTTGGGTTACTAAACAATCTTAAATTCTTTATTGCTTTGGGATGCGAGAGCCTTAGGTGTTTCCCCCCACTCAACTTAACCTCACTCCAAAAACTCGATCTTACAAGTTGTCGTAGCCTTGAGAGCTTTCCAGACATATCAGTAAAGATGGAAAATATGGAAGATTTGCGGTTGATTGGGTCTCGCATAAAAAGATTCCCACATTCATTTATGAATCTTACTCGGCTTCGAATATTAAGATTGTATTCAAAACGGACCTACGATGTTGTTGTTCCCATTCTCCGTTGGAACATTGTTACGATGCCAGAACTGACTGAGATTTCAATCACGGGAATCGAAGGGTGCGTAGTGCATAACAAAGAAGATGAGGAGGAAGAAAAAGTTAGCTCTTCAAACGTACGCACACCGGATGCAAAGATGCAAACTAACAGATGAATTTTTTCTAGTAGTTAACACGTGGTTTGCTAATGTGAGGTCATTATTCCTGCCAGAAAATGATTTCGTAATCATTCCTGAGTGCATCAAAGAATGTTACTTTTTAGAGTTGCTTGATCTTGACAATTGCAAACTTCTTCAAGAAATTGAAGAGATTCCGCCAAACTTGACATATTTCTTTGCAATTGGATGCACATCCATGACTCCCTCGTGCAGAAGCATGTTACTGAATCAGGTTTTGTCTTGCTTTCATCCTTAAGACTTGATGTTTGATATTCTGCATTTCACTCTGATAAATTTATGAATTGTTTATGACTAACAGGAACTGCATGTGGCAAGACAGGCTAATTTTATTTTCCCAGGATCAGATAATCGAGTATGGTTTGATTGCCCAATGAAAACTATATTTTATTTGCCAGGATCAGAGATTCCAAACTGGTTTGAGCACATGGGAACATCAATATCTTTCTGGTTTCGTAACAAGATCCCTCGATTAGTTTTCTGTCTTGTGGTACTTGACCCTGAGAGAAATAGGAGGCCTGAATTTGTTCTGATCGTCAATGGCATTAGAAAACCTTTTTACCTTCCTTCATTTAGTAACCTTCCTACATTTAGTAACAAAGCTCATACATATCTCTTTCATTTGCCAATGTATTTTGATCTTTTAGACAACGAATGGAACCATGCAGAGATAAGTGTTCTTGACTACAGCGAAATTTCAGGCAATATAAAATGCGGAATTCATTTATGCAAACAGGAATGTGTCATGGAGGATATTCAATTCATTGCTCCTCACAAAAAGAGAAAAATAGATGATGATCTTGATAGCTCAGAATCAAAAAACCATCGGTTGGTGAAAAAGCATAGATTCGTGGGCTCGCAAGTTTGGGAAACAGAGAGTGTGCAACGGCAACAACGAACGGATTTTTGGTCACATGTGAGGAACTGGGCACATAATTTCTTTATTTTTCTCATTTCTTCCTGTTCCAGCAATGAAGACAGTGAATGATGATGTGAATGAGGATTCAAGTTTTTTGAAGCTCTAATCTCAACTTTATATTTGATCTCTCGTCTAGACATCCCCGTCAGGTTTCAATGCTTCATTGAAATTGGGACGGAATCTCTTGATATTTCCCATTGCTGAAGCCACAAGTATTCAACAGAATTCTTTTAGAGGTGTTTGTCTTTTTTTTTAACTAGCAATTGCTTTTGACAACCTCAACTCCCTTTTCTACCTAAGTACACTTAAATTTTCTAAATTTTTTAATTTCATCTCCTTATCTATTACCAGCGTCATTTCTATAAAATTTTTAAGAGACAAATCCCATAACATTTTCTCAAAGCACATTAATTTTTAAAAAAATTCTTTTTTTTATATATATTTAGAATATGAATGTTTTTTATTAAATTTTTCTTAAATATTATAACTATGTGTAACTAAACTCGTTAAAATAAATATTTGTGATATAAGTATTTTAAACTTTAATTTAATTTTATAATATTGATGCTAATATATAATTGTTTCTTTGTTTTTATTATTATTATTATTATTTAATTGATTACTTTAAGATAAATTTTAATTGATTAATTAATAGAAAATAAATCTATTATTTATATTTTTAATTAGTTAATTAAATCTAAAAAATCTAATAATTATTCATATTTTTATTTAATTAAAATAATATATAAATTAGAAGATTATCATTATTATATAATAATTGAATAATATGAACAATTGATTAAATGATTAACAATTACAATAATAAAATAGTTTAGAATTAAACTTAAAACTTCAAGCTTGATTTCATATTAATGTATTCTATTATTTATTCATTTTTGTTCTCTTATCAATTCATTTTAATTTTTATTATCAATTAAATACACTCAACAATTATATTGCTTAACATTTTAAGAACTTTATTAATAGATGTTTGGAAGTAAACTTGTTTTAGAATTTAAAATCTACAAATATTTTTTTAAAAAGTGTATTATTATATTTTAAAAGTATTAGTTGACATTTATCAAATTAAAATATATTTTATTTTATCAAATTCCATTAATAGAATTTGAAATTCAATAAATTTGTATGTAATACATCTTTCTATATTTTAGTTTTATAATTTTATTTTTTATTTTAATTTAATTATTTTATTTTATTTTTATTGTCTTATGCCTTTACTTTTATTTTGATTTTATTTATTTCTCTCTTTTTTTTCTATATCAGAAGTATTTTTTGTTGAAAACAATTTTATTCAAAATGAGTAAAACTATTATAAGTATCAGTTCACTTTTTAAATATTTAATACAAGTATTATTTTTTTTGCTATTTTAATAAAACTATATTTATTAATACTTGAATTTGAAATCACATATTAAACTAAAACAATACTTCTCATATTTAATGATATAATTAAATATTTTTAATTAAAAATATTTAATGCACATTAAAGTCTTAAAGTATTAAATTAAAATAAAATAATTTAAAATTAAAAAGATGGAGAGCTAAAATAAAATATAAAAGAATACTAATGTTATCTTTTTATATTATTTAAATCTCTTTTATTTATATAATTGTATAAAAAGTAGTTTATATAAAAAAAATTAATACCATATAAATTTAACTTAAATATACTAATAGTGTAATTATTTTTATTTAATAATAAAATACTATATCAATAAAAATAATAAATTTTTATACTAATTAATATAAGTGTAATAATGTATTCTAATTAGTTAATAGTACAAAAAAGTTTATGTTAATATTAGATATAAATTAATTTTAAAAAAAACTGTGTAGAGTGAAAAAAAAATGAAATGAAACCCATACTAATATTGTTATATAAAGAAATATGAAAAAGAATATATATTAAAATTGGCGTGCTACTCTTTGATTTGCTGACATGAAGGGAAGTGCAAACGTGGACAAAAATGATTTGTTTGGAAACCGAACACGGTCTTGTCTCGTCTAAGTCCGCGCTTAGTCTCAACCCCGAAGTTAGCGCGTCGTGGAGATGATGATGAGTTCAACATCCATTTTACCGACTTATGATTTTCCATATTTACAATTTTGCCACCACTCTCTCTCTCTCTCTCTCCTCTTCTCTTTTATTCTCTTCTCTTACTATCCTCTCCCTCTCTCCCTCTCTTTCTCTCCTTTTCTTTTCCATTGATATGTCTTCTGCCGGCGGCGGCGACGGCGGCGGAGGTAGCGGCGTTACCTCCGGAGAAGCTCGCCAATACTTCTGCCACCAGTGCAACGGCACCGTCTATGTTTACCTTTCCTCCTCCTCCGATCTCCTCTGCCCCAATTGCAACGGTGGCTTCCTCGAAGAACTCGAAACCCCAATTCCTAGCCCTAATCCTGCCAATCCATTCTTCTCCTTCTCATCTGACTTCCCTGTCGCCGGCACAGGCTCCATTCCCCTCGTTTTCTCCGGCGGCGCTAACTCCTTTGACGATTTCTCCACCCTATTTGGAAACCGATCCGACGCCGCCGCGGAACCGTTCAACCCCTTCTTGTTCCTCCAGAACTACTTCCAAAACCTAAGAGCCGGCGGCGCCAATGTTCAATTCGTGATCGAGTCCGGCGATCCTGGTGGAACGTTCCGGTTCCCGGGTAACGTCACACACGGCGATTACTTCTTCGGGCCAGGGCTGGAGGAGCTGATCCAGCACCTCGCCGAGAACGATCCGAATCGTTACGGGACCCCGCCGGCGTCTAAGTCCGCCGTAGAGGGACTGCCTGACATTTCGGTGACGGAGGAGCTACTGGCGTCGGATTCCGCACAGTGCGCGGTGTGTAAGGACACCTTTGGCCTTGGCGAAACAGCAAAGCAGATGCCGTGTAAGCATATATATCACGCGGATTGCATTTTACCATGGTTGGAATTGCATAATTCTTGTCCCGTCTGTCGGTATGAGTTGCCCACAGATGATCCTGATTACGAGCAGAGGACTCGTCGCAGTGGTGGCGGTGTTGGTGGTGGTGGGCCGGGTCCCCAGGTGAATTGGAACTTGGATGCAGGGGCTGGTGGTTCCGATGATTCGTCTGGTGGCGGTAGTGGTGGAGAAAATGTTGCGCGGCGGAGGTTTAGGGTGTCTTTGCCGTGGCCGTTTAGGCAATTTGTTTCTTCTGTGGCGGAGACAAGTAATGTTGGGGATGGCAACAATAACAATGACAACAACAACAGCAGCCATAGCGGAAATAGTGGTGGGCAATCGAATCCTAGGGGGAATCAGAATTTTGAGTCGGAGACCAGACAAGAAGATCTCGACTGAGAATCACTCATGTTTCATATGTAAGTTTAGAAGTTACCACTTTCTTTTGAGTGTTGAATTCTGGTTCTATCTTATGGTTTGGTTGCAATTTTTTATTTAGGTTTTGCATTTTATCGATGTCTCACATGCCATAAGTAACATAAAAGTGCTAGTTCGGGCTGAGTTTGAATCTGGATTATTGATGCAATGTGCCAATTTCCCCTTTGTTTGATTCTCCGCGAGTGAATGAAATTGTCCGACTACTGAGGGTACTTTGTATTGCTTGAACTATAAAATTTGTTGCATATTAGCCATTAGGTCACAAGTTAGACATAGGTGGCATTTCCTTTGAGCTTGCAGCTATGGAAGATCCGGAAACTTATTGTGAAGGAAAAATTATCTCTTTATCTTTGATTGGAGGTGCCTCAATTAATGAAAGAGTGTTGTTTCTAAACTTACAAATTTGGCTTGGTAATGTGGATTGTGCAGCTGCTACTTTAAGATACCTTACTTTTCTTTTCTTTTTTGTATTGCTTGGTTGGCGCATGAATTGGGGGACAGGGTATGGAGCGCTTTGATGATGTTTCCTCTGTTTTGGAGGACAAAATCACCTTATTGATCAATGTCATTGCTAATGGAAGCAAGCAAACCTTCAGCATGCACATTTAAAGGATGCGAATTTGGTTTCCTTTATTTCTGACTTAAAAATCAAAGGATGTGATTAAATTACGAAAATATTGATTCAAGACTCCTCAGTCCTTTCCAATTTAGAGATAAATATAGAAGGTCATTGCCACTACTGAGAAGTTTTTTTAATATCTTGAATTGTTTAAATTTGAGGAGTTAGCCACTTTTTTATTTGTTGCTCAGAAGAAGATCTACCAATTTGCTAATATGAAATGAAGCACATTCCATTTTATGGGCATACTTTATAAAATGATTTAACTACTTGGTGTTCAATGACTCCATACTGCATCATAGTAATTTAGGAAGTAGTTTTCTTTTTTTCTTTTTTCTTTTTTTTAAATTAGGATATGTCTGTTTGGAATGCTTATGGAAGCTTTTTGTAAAAGCTTGCAAAGTAGGCTTCTATACTGATAAGAACCTTGGGGAGAACCACACAACAAAAGACAAAAGCTAACTATTGTAGTGGGAGAGATTAAGGCCGTACAAACCCCACATTAGAATCTCATACTTCTAATGTGGGACTCAAGTCTCATACCTTGCAATTGAATCCTACCAATTGATAAGAACCTTGGGAGTTGGGAGAACCACACCACAAAAGTTAGCTATTGTAGTTGAAGAGCCCAAGGCCTTATAAACCTTACATTAAAATATTCTATTTCCAATGTGGGATTCAAGTCTCATACCTTACAATTGGATCCTAACATCCCACCACGTTTTGTAGCCTTGACGCTCATGCAAGCTGGCTGTGCACCATAGTTGTTAATCTGGGATAGGAGGGCATAGGGGACAACCCTCAAAATGCTATAGCTTGATAGTGCATAGCAGGATTATTGCTATTTTAAAGTTTTTTATATGGGTATAAAATATATACATATGCTGATAATTATGTATATAATGCTAAAAATATGCATAAATAGCATATGAATAATTATCAACAAAATACACAGAGAAGAAAGAAAGTGAATTTTCCAAGAGAATATAACAGAGGCAAGACTGTAGAATTTAGAATAGAGAGAAGGAAGTAGATTTTGCCAGAGAAGTCATCCAAGATGAGTCACTATGCTGGATTGGAGATTGTTGCAAAGCAAAACAGAGACAGAGATGAGAGGAGGGAGTGTCGAACAGAGAAGGGGAGAAGAAAAAAAGTGGAGAAATAGTGGGGTTTTGTCATGTATTGCCAGTTACAAAGCAGAACAGTGATAGAGATGAAAGGAAGGGGTGTGAATAGAGAAAGGAAGAAGAAAAACGTAGGAAAAGGTGAGGTTAGGTCTGAAAACTGATATCGTAGGAAAACATATATTTTACCCTTAAAGAAACCTAAAGAATGTGTCATCATAAGGGCAAAAAGTAAAAATCAGCCTATTTCTAACAGATTAAAAGTTTTTTTTACCCTTAAAAAATCCTAAAATTCCTTCATTTTGAGAGTAGAAAAGGAAAGATATCTCTCTCTAAAGATATATTTGGGAGAAGGTTTTTGAAGGGGAAGAGAGAGAAGAGCATATTTTTTAATTTTAAATTAAAAGAATTATATATTATTTATGATGACAAATATACTATTAATACATTAAATTTTTATTATTATATTAAATATTAATTTATATATTTTATTTTTAAAAAATATTAATTTTAAATATATTTATTTAAAATATAAATTTTATCTTCCCCTTCCCTCTAAAACCCTCCTTCCCAAACAAACCTTAAGGTGGTGCTATTGCATCACAAAAGGCCGTATTTTGAGCCGCAAATTCAGCTGCAATGTTTGCAACAGCAAAAATGCTCCACTATGCCAGATCTGTAGCAGCTGAGGGCCGCTCTGCTGTGCACCACCACTACTACTATCCTGCGCTATTGACAACTATGTTGTACACTAGCTCTCACATGCTTATTTGCAATGGTGGAAGGTTCTGATACCAATTGATGAGAACCTTGGGAGAACCAGAACCACACCATATTGTAGTTGAAGAGTCCAAGGCCTTATAAATTGCGCCCACAACTGAGATACCTAAGTGCCTATTTGGTTGAGGAAATATTTTCTATTTTCACCAAAATTTCTAAAATGTGACCTTGTTTTCACTTTGTTTCTTGTTAGTTCTCACTTGTACAGTTCTTTGAAAACAGAAATACAAGTGAAAACAAAGTGGCATTTTTGTAATCATTAGAAGAAGCAGAAAAATAGAGAAAAACATTTCCTTGAGTCAAACAGTGTCTAAGTAGTGTAAATCTCATTATTTTCTTTCCACCAAATTATGCTAATAACTGGTCCATCTGCCTTCTTAATGTGAAAATATGTTTTTACGTTTAAATTGTAAAGCATCTAAAAAGATGTGATGTGTAAATGTTATGAACCTTGTGTAGTAGTAGCATTATAAAGACTTCAACATAATGTATCAAGTTTAAACTTTAACTATAGTTTTTGTATGGGGGAAAATTTTGATCAACAAAGTTCTCTCTATGGGAAGGAAAAAGAATTTAATTCAGGAGAGTTATCTATCTGTTGATATGATTTGGTACCCTTGGCTTCTATGCATCCTTTCAGAAATTGTAGCTACTAGTTACTACTACTAGCTAAATATTAATATTTATGCAAGCTATGTTGATCCTTCCAATTGGATTTCCTTGACGCAGAGTACTAGATAACATCTTTTATTTTGCATCTTGAACAGAAGAGACAGAAAGCCTGTGATCGTTACATGCTAAAATGTGCAAATACATTGTTCCTTGATTTAAACCTTATGGTATTTGGTGAGAGGAGTAATTTAGCTCTCAGTATTCTAAGAATATATAGCTCTTTGAATCTTAGAGGCAATGTGTTTGGGAAATAATGTTGTATGTCACCTGCTGTATTTTTTGTGGTGTGTGTATAATGTGACATGAACCTCCTAAGAATTTAGGAATTGACTCCTTTAATGTGAGGCAATGTATAAAGTAGGGAAGTAAAGGTGTATACCATTGATTTAAAGTGGGTTGAGTTCAAGTGCTACAGGATACTTTAGTTTAAATCGATAAAAGATACACTCTGACTTCTTTACTCTACTGATCTCCTTTTTGGGGGAGTTAGATGCAAGAATTTAAACCTTATGCATAATGGGTGGTCGTATATATACAATGCATGGAGCAATCCAGTTTGTGATGCTATGCTATTTTTTCAAATGATTTGAGGATGTAGGCCTGGTGAGAATTAAGACTTTTTTTTTTTTTCAGTTCAGTTATTATTTTTTTGCATGACTATAGAGAAATTTTCTTTTTGCGGAATGATTCATCTCATGTACTTGACAAGTCATGTTCAAATCTGTGTCTATCTCGTCTATTCAATGTATTTGGGGAGAGATATAAACACAATTTGAATACAACTTTGTCAAATTTAACTTTGTCATGTTGTAAAATTTGACATGACAAGGTCCATTCTGGTCTCTCCAAACTCTCATCGTTATAGATTCTGATTATTTTATTAAGTTAAATGTCATAACCATTAATGAATAAAGATAATTTCTATGGATAAAAAGTTAAAAATCAAGATTTTCTGCACTCAATTTTCTAAGCTGCCTTTCCCATTAAAATTAGAATTTCCTTTCATAGGCTACATGACAATTCTCTCAATGCCGGCTATTCAGAAATATATCACGTTTTTTCTTTTTTCTTTTTCTTTTTTTTTTTAATGTTATTCTTTCTAGTATTCTAGCTAAATACAAATAATATGAATAATGAAAGTCAAATATCATGATATTACAATTTGATTAGATATTACATATTAATGATTGAAGGTTTTTGAATTTCAAAGAGCGAGGCTTACTATATTGTTTGTGAAATGAAATGTGTGTTACACTGTTTCTGCACTTGATAATGTGTTGTTAGGTTGGAATTTCATTTAGAAATCTCTGTCCCATGTTCGCATTCTTTTTGTTTTTCTTATTCTGTTGATACCATTTTTCATTTTAGTCTCTATATGAAACCATTACATTTTAGTCTTTATATGAAAAATTGTTTATAGATCTATTTCTACCATTTTTTAAAGTCAGAACAACGTTAAATTTAATCCCTATATTAGACATTATTTTACATTTTAATTCCTATATTTGCACTTCATTTTGGTCCCTCTATATAAAAACTCTACATTTTAATCCTACACATAATATATTGTTTTCTGTTTTGGTTCATGCATGAAAAATACACTAATGCTGTTATATCATCAATAAATGGTGGGGATTAGTTTACCTTTTTTTTCTTTTAACTTTTTTTGAGATGCTAGAATATTAACGTATGGTATATGACATTAGTAATCTTATGCATGCATACACTTGAGCAGCTTTTCACTTCTTTCTTCCTTTTGGCAGGTACGGAGAGTTCAAAAAATCTGCAGCATTTTGTCGAATAGAAATGATGTTAAATATCAATTAGTGGTTGGTGACGGTTGCAAATGTTATATTTGATTATAATGAACTTACGTAACTGTCAATCACCATTTTTTAGAGTTATTTATAGATTCATAATTATATGTGCATTATTGGTTCGATATTTTCTGAATTTTGTTAATTATTATGTGTGACTCTTTCTCACGTTCATGCCTGCTATAATACCGTCATCTACTTCTTTGTGTTAGCCAATAGATCGTTCTGCAATGTGTCCACTGGGTCTTATCTTCCTTATCTGAATATTGGAATAGAATAACCCCCCCTCTTTCTAAAATGTCTTTTGCCATCAATAGTTCCCTGCAAATTGACAATCATGGGATTTTTAATTTTTTTTTTTTTTGTGTTATGGAAGTGAGGTCTTAAACAGCCTATTCGCGTGGCTTTCTCTTCGTAGGTAAGAACTTTTAGAATACGTTTGAAGTCACTTCAGGTATGGTCTCGTTTTGGGAAAGGTGTATATACCTTCGGCCTTTTTTGTTGCCTGGGAAATTTTCGTAGAAAATTAACTCATCTATGCAATTTTTTTCAGTAGAAATTCGGTAATTTTCCTTCTTCTAATGGAAGCGGAGGATGCAATCCACTCCGTAGTCCTATGCTTGCAAAATGTGACTCAAATTATGATTTGGTGAGTTGCATAATGGTATTTTTGTCAAATGGTTAGGCAAGCAAGGTCAACTTGTTCAACCCCAAAGTGATGGCACAAACTTTGCCATCAATATAGCAAGTTTAAGTTCTTAATGAATATAAGTGGTGTCTACTTTGTTGAGAAGTTTCAACTTGTTTCCTCAAGTTGTGGCACTAACTTTGCTATCAATAAGGGGGCACAGGCAATAATTATTGGTGAGCCATATCTTGTGGGTTGAAATGTTGGTGGAGTAGGCGAATACTAATCTAGTATTCACTCTCATTTCTTTATAGTCTTGGAAGTGACGGAAATTACGATCAGCTCTTGTTGAGACCAAGCAATCCCAAGATCAACGTCGCAAGATCAATGTAGTAAATGACTTTTTTTTAGCTTTGCTGCCAAACATTTCAAGGGCAGTTGTTAAAGAAACTCAAAATAAAAGAAGTTAATAAAGTATCAATACTAACAGTTTAAGAAAAAACAGGTCGTCTAATTCTGAAATCATGATAAAAATTTTATTTGATCACTTATATGAGTTTTTAAGTTAAATCCACAAGTAATTAATCAGTATTAGCAGTAATATGTTAAAATTATCAAAATAAATTATTTAAGGTTGTTTTAGGACTTTTAAATGATTACGATAACAAATAAATAAAAACGAAAATAACATAATGTGTTATCTGATAATCTCTTTTCTGTATGTAACAAATTCGTGGAAATCTACTTATCATGTACTCTACAACATTACAACATTTTATTTTTTCTTTATTACAAACTCATAGCAAAATTGAACTTAAAACAGTAAGCAGAGGATGTCCTTAAAATAACTTCTTAATATGAAAACTATAGTAGATTTTCGATTATTAGGGGAATGCTAAATGCTTCAATTATTAAATTTTTAAATCTCATGACGTGAACAAGTTGATGTCGTATTGCAGTTTTAGATACTTTTCTCGTCCACACAGTGGCCTGAGGGTGTGTCCGGTACTCAGCTTTTGGGTGGAAAAAATAAAGAAAAGAAAAGGATTGCTTATTGATATGTCAACATATATTGAAATGAAATGAATGGGAGAAATGGTACTTTCGTCGGTATATTATTTTTTATTTTTAATTGTAATAAAAGGGGAAAATAATTTCTTTGAACTAATTTTATATTCATATATACGTTATTTATTTATTTATAAACCTCTTTTATTCTCACTTTTGTCACTCGGAATAAATTAAAACTTTAATTTTGATGTATTATTTTCTTAATATAAATCATTATTATATTATTTAATTACATAAAAAAATTATTTTTAAAATAATATGATAGCATGCCATTAAAGGGGCGTACAATTTTTTTTACAGTAACAATATATCATAATTAATTTCATAAACTAAAGTCTAACTGATGCTTCCTTACACCATTTAAAAGATTAACTATGAAATATGAAAATTTACTTTTAATGTTAAATTCGCATGTCATTTATAAATATAGCTGGTGTTTGGTTTTGCAGTACGATGTCTTAAGGATTATTTGAGAAATGGGTTTTGGAGTAGAAGAGAGTGAGAGATAAATTTTTTATTTTGAATAAATATATTTAAATTTAATAATATTTAAAAATTAAATATATAAAATAAAAAATTAACATAAATATAATATAAAAACTATTTATTTCTAATAACTCTTTAAATCTGTGTTTTTTCAACACAGCCTATAATTATTTCAAAAACTTAAACGTGAGTTTACAGTATGTTAACTAAATAATCAAACTTGCGGATAGCTTTGATTTCGTTGACTGCTTTGGGTAAGCTTTCAGATTATAATAAATTTATTATCAATCTTTTTTATATTTATATTGTAAAACACGCAGAAGGAATCTCAAGAAAGCATGCGAAGGAATCAATTGACTTCCCTTTTCGCAGCACTCTTTGACTTTATTATTTGTTAGGCATTATTGGTTTATGGCACCAATTATTCTTTTTTCCTTTTAATTAACCAGATATTGCCTTCCTAACTAATGAAAGAAGGTCTTCACACAAAATGAATGCAAGTGTAATTTACACAAATCCATTCAATAATTACATTTTTCTTTCTAAAATAGTTGTTTAAGTAAGCCATTCAGGGTATTACACTTGGTCATTTGTTAGGTAGGTGGTAGAAAATTGGAATTGAACATAATGCTTTTTTAATTGTGATAATAGTTATATATTAAAGAGCAAAAATATTTGAATCATGCCTCTTTTTTTTCTTTCTAATTTTAGATAATAGGGTAAAAGTACTTGATTCTTCAAAATTTGGACAAAGTGTGATGAATATAATCTTTTTTTAAAAAAACAGCTTTGCTAAATATTGCATAAATATAATCATTAAAAAAAAAATACTACCTCTAGTTCTATTTATAAAAAACAACTGTCAAATTTTTTCAGTCTTAATCATAAAAAATACTACTTATTTTTAAATGTATTAATTACTAAATTCATTTTAAACTCTTACTTTATTATAAAGTTACTGGTTTAGTTATTTAATACGATGGACACTTTTAAAATAATATTAATATTTTTCGTATTTAACTATTGTTATGTATTGATAAATTAATTTATTTTTTATAAATGGGATTGAAAGCAGTAATAAATAGAAATTTTTATTAAAATTAAAATAAAGATATATTGATCAATATTAAATATGATATTTCAAAATATTTTTATTTTTATTTTATTTTAAATTATTGTCCTTGTGATAATGTTTAGCAAAATTATTTTAAAATTGGTATGAAAAATGTATAAAATCACATGATCATAAATGTGAGCAGATCAAGAAATAAGGACAAAATTAGCAACTCAAGCATTTTTGGCCTAAAATGCTGTGCAAGCGCCCATGATTTGGCTCTACTCACTCAATTTCAACAGAAATTTCCAAGAAAAAACACTGAGCAGTGATTAAAAACTTAAAATAACAATACTCAGTGAATCAAAGTAGGAAGAAAGAAAGAAAGAAAGAAAGGGCAGTAACATTACATTATGTAAAACAAGATCAAATCATTAGTGAAGAAAAAAAAGTTGAAAAAATGAATAAAAATTGAAAGAATGAGAAGCAGCACCAAACAATAATTCATGAAAATGATGAACTGTGATAAAATCATAAAATGAAATAGTTGAAAAGTGTTACAATCAGGAGAGGGACCACATTGTTCAGTGCCTTTGGTTCTATTCGACCATGTGTCGGTGATATATCTCTCACCGCGTTAGCCAATTATATAATATTGGAGACATTAATACAACTCATGCCACTTTCTGAAACTTTACAACTCCAGAAATAATTATCTTTTTAATTAATTAATACACAAAATTAACAAACCAATAAATCAGTGATAAACTCAATTAAGAAATTAATTAAAAGAAGAAATGGACTCATAATCGTGATTCCAAATCCAAAAGTGATATCAGAAGTTGAAGAGCTACGCTGACATGGTACAAGGAATCCTTCACCTCACCAATGTGTTTGCACAATCATTTGACTTTATTTTTTTTCTCTCTCTCTCTGTCTGTTTTACTTATACTTTTTATTTTAAAATTTATATAATATCACGTTAAAATTGATTGAAAACTGGTTAACCCACAAAAGGAAGATAAGTGTCCATACATTAATTTGCTTCTACTTTAATTTATCTTTTGTTATCCACATTGACTATACTTTCTATGAAAAAAAGAAACTCTGTAAATTCAGGAAAAATAATAAATACAAAGAGTGGAATATCATAAATTAAAAAAATAAATGTTTTTCAAAATGAGTGTAAAATATTAAATTAAATTTAGTTGTATTTATCATTTCTTTAATGAATTTTATCATTTTAATTAAGAAAACATTAATTTTAAAAATTGATTTTAAGCATCTTAAAATATTATTTTTATTTAAAAACAAGTATTTATTATACTAAGAACATATAAGTATAATAAAAAATTAGAATTTTTTTTATTTTTATTAATTCAAAATTAATATTAATATCAAAGACTAATGTAATGCACTTATTTTAATTATTTGATGATGAAATTTTCACATTAAACACATTAAATCTTGGTTGAAAATCTCGCCACCATAAAGGAAGGTTGAGAAATTACATGACACCCATTATTACCCACTGACTCTAATTAAAAAGGGAAAAACAGGGCAAGAAATTGAGAAATCTCATTTTTGCATTGCAGGAGGAAGCAGAAGTGGTGTGGAATAAAGTCAAATTCCTGTTGAAGCTTAAAAGGAAGAAAGAAACCCCATTTTTTATTTTCACCTATACCAAAATAAAAACACATTCATAACCAACCTTTCTTCAATAGTTTCTATCCATCTTCGACATTCCTTACCTTTCCTTTTCTTCCTCCAAGATCACAGTTTTCTTTGACCCTTTTACTCATTTTTAACGATTCTCTTCTCCACCCACTTCCCCTTCAAGTCAATTTCATGATTCTGGGTCTCAGATCGTAGATCTTGCTGTCGGAGGGTCGATCGGAGATGTCGCCGTCAAATGGGTTGCAGAACGGCGGCGGCGGCGGCGGCGGTAATGGGGTGAGTTATATCGAGCACCAGGTTTCAAAACTGGACACTCTTGCTGGTGTGGCAATCAAGTATGGCGTTGAGGTACAACTATTTTCTTGTCTTTTTTACTTTGTTTGTTTTGGGTTTTTTTTTTTTTTCTCTGACCTAGAACTGAGTAAGGCATGATAAAGTTGGTTGCTTTATGTGTTTGTTGGTTTTGGGTTTTGTAGATTTTTGGTTTTTCTCTTTATCTGTTTTATTTTTTCAATATGCTAAATTGGTGTTTAGCGCAAGGGTTGTAGATGTATATGAACAAGATAAGATTTTGTGTGTTATGTTGCGTTTTTAAAAAATATATATATATTTTTTTTGGAGGATTGTAGGTTATCTATGTGTGTTTTGTTTGGTTTTTTTATCCTTTAGGAGTAAGCTGATCTGAAAGAACCGTTTAAGTTACTCAATTTTTCCTCTAATGATTACTATGCTATGGTGGAAGATAGACATCTATATGATAATATGAGAGGAGTTAAACTTTTCGTTTGAAAGTATGTAATCCATGATTTCTCCTTTCAGTTGCATTATCAAAGTTTAGGATTTTTTTTTTTGGTAATGATTTGAACGATTGGCGACAAGGGAATGAGAATAGGAATGAAGGGTTTTCAGGTTCCATTATCAAAAAACTTATCTCCTTCTTTTCTGAGTGTGGCCTAAATGATGAGAGGAGCAGCTGTTTTCAAACTAATGCGTTCCAACCACTTGTGAATGTGGTCATCTGTTCTTAGCATTGGTCAATGAATCAAACACTTTATAGACATCATGGATTCTCTTCTTGAAATGCGTTCATACAAAATTGGTGATTGTCTAATGTGCAAATTCACATAAGCGTATGACAATACATAACCTTACCTTGAATTCTCTGAGATAAAAGTAGTTTACTTGAATTCATCATTAAATTTATTACTCTCAAGTACATATTACTGATGTGTCGTGTATGCATGCACCATATAGCTGATCCTGAAATTTTATAGTCCCTACCAATGAATACATGCATTATTGCTTTATGGTCTCTGATAACAGGACACTGAAATCTTCCAATAAAAATTCCTTGTAAATGACTTAGGTAGCGGACATCAAAAGGATGAATGGGTTAGCCACAGATCTTCAAATGTTTGCACTGAAGACGTTGAGAATTCCATTACCAGGACGACATCCACCATCTCCCACTCCTGGTCCACTTGATGAACCTGCCAAGTTGAGGTACTATTATACTCATTTAGAATTTGATGCCAGTTCTTGTGAGATTACAAGTGCTTAGCTGTTAGCTATGTATGCTCCTAGTTCTCACACACACTAGTTATATTTTTTCACTTGGTCTTCTTCTAATATCATCATTGTGAATTTTTATTGATTTTGTGTGTAAATTTGATATGCCTATCTTAATACTCCTTTTTATTTTCCCTATAGAAAATTTTCATACTGAATATTTTTAAGTACTATGAATGTAATGGCTCAATAGTAAAGTTTACGAGATTTGCTCTTTAGATCAGATAGCATAGCTCTACTAACCAGTCACTTTGATTTAAGATTCTGTGCTGGATTACAGAGACTCATTTTTAATGGAAACTCATTGCAGAGATAATAGTACTGAAAGGAGACCCCCACGCATGGGTCAATCTGCCATGAAGGAGCCTCTCCATTCCTTAAGATTGAAACCGCCACAACAGAATATTTCTCCAGCTATGAGCATTTTACAGAAATACTATGGACTCAAATCTTCGAGTTCAAGAGATACATTCGAAGGAACAGAAATGGCAGTTTACACATCTGTGAGTGCAGATCATTCTACAGGAGAGTGGCTTCCCAAGTCCTCATCAAATTTAGACCCCCCATCAAATGATTACCCCAAGTCAACAAATGTAGCATTCGATCTACTGACTGGAACTGATGAAATGCATGAGTATGTGCCGTTTGCAGATATTGGGGATGGGGGATCTGAGAAGTCCGATGAGAAATCTGTCCGCAGACGTCAGAAAGCTGAAGTTGATAATGGAGCCAGCACACCAGAAAAGATTTTAAAAGAAGGAAATGGTAGTGGATCAAATGGTTTTTCTTCAACTGGGAAAGCATTAAACATGAGGCCAAAATCAGCTAGCCGAGCAGCACTGTTTTCGGAGTCAGAATCAGGATGGCTAGATTCAATTCCAGTGGGGTTGGGAGAATCTATATTTACCGATGGCCTTGCTGGAGTGCGCAAATCGTCAAGTGCATCAAGCCTCAGAGAACAGGAAAAGAATAATTCAGCTCCAGCCTGGCCACCTGCTATATGGAATTTGAAACCAGACTTGCAAGCAGCCATCACAAGACCTATCTTTGATGGTTTACCAATCCCAATAACTGGCCGCAGAAGCAAAGCTGCCCTTGATTAGTGCATATTGATTCTATTTTGTGCAAATTATTCTTTTGACATTACACACATAAATTGCAACAAGATGCAACTATCTTGGGTTAGTAAACCTGAGCCAAGAAGGGGGAAAAAAGAAAAAGAAAAAAAAAATACAGAGTTAGGATATTTATTCCAGGCATAGAGTAGCCAAGGGGTTGATGATTTTCCAAGAAGAAATGCTGCAGCAGTAGCAACTGAGGAAATGGTGCATGAAAATGGTGGATTGTACCAATAATGGTCACCCCACCTGGATTATAAGAGTTATTTACAGATTGATAATTTCCTTTATAAAATGTTTGAGTCCAGTAAGTGAAAGTCATTTTGTTCAGTGGTTAACTGTATCATGTCTTTATCATTAAGTACATTGTGTAAGTATTTATAATTTTTTTTTCTCGAGACCCATTATACTGCAATATTCGGTTAATTTATGTAAACCGTGTTACACGGACACTACTATTATTCAATTGGATTAGTTCTTCTGCCCTGTGTATTCAGTAATTTCCCCATCTAATAAATCCAAGTAACCAAGCTCTCTGTCTGATATTGGAGTTTGCTTAGCAACTGGCCTATTCTAATATAATAATTTTTGTTTGATTTTTGCGTGTCATTAGAAATCAAAATATATAATGAATAAGAGCTCCATGAAGTGGTCCATCCAATCATGGCTCCATCGTACAAAACCTTATATAATGCATAAAGTAGGGTGGGTGCGCTTTTGACATAAATATGCTTTCAATATGCTGAAAACAAGCAAATAACTATTTTATGGAAAATATTGGTATAAATACTTTCGTGGTGGAGAAGCAATGCTAAACAAAGATTTGCAGGTAAACTACTTTGAATGCAGGGATTAACTTACATGCGTGTTCCCCCATTCTATTACACATGATAAGGACAAAGCACATGGCTGAATCACATCACCGACGCACTGAAGAAGATTATCCCCATTGAAATTGCAGATCTGTGGCTCTGTTTATTTTATAGCGATTTGCTATAGGAAATTCTAGGGTTCGCAGTTCGCACATGTATTTACAATAATATTTGCTTAGTAAGATTCTTTTGGTGTCAAATAACCCATCAGATTTAATTGGCGTGTTCTGCATCGCAGTTCACTAATATTGTTGATAGACTGAGATTTCTTGAACTTCTAGAAGCAATGCTTTAAAAAAATAGCAGTGATTTCTCTTGTTCTCTTCATGCAACGAGCCGAGGTACACATACACATCAAATAACCCAATATTTTATTTGAAGCGAAATATTAGTCACTCCTGTATGATTCGATTCGGTTCTAAACAGTTCTTCACGAGAATGATTCGCTCCAAACGAGTGGCTCTATGCCAATAGGTTAAATTGTGCAAACATTTCAAATAAATCCACAAAATTACCTCAACTGAATTCTACATCAAAAAATAGTCCACAATCTAAAACATTGCTAACAATTTTCAGCGCTCAAGTTCACTAAAATGCTATCATTTCCCGCAGAGAAAAACAGTCTTTCTTTTTTTTTTTTCTTTTTTTTTTTTTTGCTTTGGGGGGATAAAGGTTAGAGTTACCACCTGTTTTTAGGTGGTTTCACTTTATAAATACGAACTATCCAATTCTGCGTAGTAAACGCCTCTTCCAAGTACTCAAGCTTTATGTCCTTATTTCCAATTTCAACACCTCTAGCGCGATCATACCTGTAATTCCAAGATATATGTGGTTATAAATTTAAAATATATATAAATATATATATATATATAAGTTTCTTCAAACAAAGCATGTTAACACAAATTACTATCCTGCCAATTTGAAATCCCCATTCAGGTTTTCTTTGGACAAATGCTATGGATAGCCAGTGGTACAATTCATATTCAATTCCTTCGAAAGAAGATAGCAATATTGCAAGAAACATCTAGTTATGAAATTTTAACAGGCATGATATAAGGCCAAAATGAGGTTCTTCGACTTAATATATCTCAATCTAACTGCCTACTACTATACTACACAGCGTATTACATGGGATGTCCTAAACTTGATTTTAATATAGGCCTTCCTACCATCAGAAACTTGTCTAAGTTGAAAATTTGATAAACTATTTCAAGTATTTTTAACAAAAAGCATGATTTCCATATAGCTAATCAAGTGGTACAGATTTTGCATATTCCCTTTGTCAGTAACACTACTGCAAGGACACCTATATTTTCTAGTGTGTCATTGTTCAAATTATACCAACAATAAGGGCTATGAAACTTACCCAGGTGGTTTGCCATATTCTGTTGTCAGCTCCCCAAACCGATAATAAGAAAGCTTGTACCTAAGAATCATAGACCAACAAAAATATAATTATATCATGATTTATCAATTCATCATGTGCCTTTACATTTACATATATAAATATCAGCAACAAGGTTATCCTAAATTACTGAACAACTTCCTTTTTATTCCTTTTTTCTGTGCTTGAAAAAAATAGCACCTGATTCACACTGGGGAAGCAGTAGCATTTGGCCTTACTTTTTAGGATCTTTAAAGCTAAAAATAAAAGCATTAAAATCAAAATTAAAGTTGTTTGGCAATTTAATAATTTTTTTTAGCTTAAAGTTATGCTAAATTGAAAACTGTTTGACAGTGTGTTATTGGAAGAATTGGAATAGAGAATAGATAAGGGGGAGAAGCTCCTAAACTGTTAAATTAAAATCTCTTATTTTATGTTTTATTCAGCACAGACTGTTAAGGAATTCCAACCTAGTTAAACTTCAGTGCCCCTGGAGGGCATAGTCCAACTTTACAATACTGTTATTCCATAAATTGATCTTGTCAAGTTTAGTTTATAACTCTACTGATATACCAAACCCAAACTCAGACTTGTGTCCATTCGGATTTGCAGGAACTTCAATGATAACTCAAATGCCAAGCCCAACTAGTAGTGCTAATAAACTTACATAAGACAGTTCAACATCTTGGGAGCCGCTCCTTTATCTACACGATATTCTCCATTGACAAGGTAATCAGGTTCCTTTATCACAGGAAAAACCCCACCACCAATTCTTACCATCCACAGAAATCTACACAAGAGTTATGAATTACACAAGTGTCAGATGCATTATAGCAGGGAAGATAGATACATAATTATACAAATCATAATGATAAACAAATTAAAAAAAGGGGAAAACAGAAAAGTCAATATCCAGTACATGATCAAGAAATGCATACCTATATCTTTGTAAATGGAAAAAAAAGAAGCAACAGATAAATCTAACACCACGCTACGCAAACTCATTCCAACCAATCAATCATTAGAAACCAAGAGATATTTTTTCACGACAGAAAGGAATAAGACTCCTAAAAAGCCACAAGACAAACATGTTTAGACCCAAGTTATCTTAGTTCATGTTTTCACAGAAATAGCCTGCCAATCTGCCCCAACTTGATGATCAAATGTCTACAAAATTTATTTTCTTAAAAAAAATGAATACACAACAGGTATGAAAGGGGAGGGTAAATACTACACCAACTTTTTATTATAGACAAAAATGACCAGTCTCAAAAATAGAGAAAGAGTAACGCTACCTACAGTCTACACAATACAAGTGGCTCAAAGCTCAGGTGACAAGTCGCAATGCTTAACTTCTATATGCTCAACAACTCTAATGAAGCTACCTTTACAAGTTTTGAAGAAATTTATGACTGCAAAGGTCATCTCTATGTAGCATATTTCATAAAGAAAAAGGCACATGCATTAAGAAAACACGGATGTAAAGGAAAAATATGTTACTTGATAAGGCCTTACTTATTAATATCATCAGAAGAATAACCAGTAACCCCACCAAACACAACTAATACATAGTCCACATCAAGTGATCTCATTATTTCATAAGCCTCATCCTCATAAGATGACATTGCACGCCCAACAGTAGCTATGTGTGTATTGTTCCAGGTGTTATTGTCAACAATAACTGTTCTGTTTCCCATGGCAGTGATTTGATAACCATAATCCCACCATGACATCACTTTAGCATCTGGTGGAGTGTTCTGGCGAAGCCAAAAGTAAGCCTCACGATAATCATCAAAGATAACCCTGTTACCGTGGGCACCCCTTGCAGCCAAGACAATTGAGGGAGATGAGTAAGCCTCTGATGTGACCCAAGTGCAGTGAATAGCATATCTACTGAGTAAATAGAAAGCACCAAGAAGCAACAAAATGGCACCATTCTTTTGGAAAGGCTGGGAATTATCAACTACACCCTGCGTGTAAGTAACAATACACAATTAAATTGTCACATCAACATTCACCACAAAAATATTAATAGACAAGAACACCATTCTAATACAATATTTAAGACTATAGCTGACCAAGATGAACTAATGAAGTTAAATTATTACACAGTAACTGTTGTGAAAAAACATGGCAAGTACCAAACCTACTGTCAGGTGCACATTACCCATTCAAGTAATTATATCATTGAAAAATATCAAGCAACAACCAATTCATCTTTCCAATAATTAACAAAATGGAGCAAGTGGACGAAATTGAAGGATAGGGATGGTATTTATTGGATTAGCATGTGATCAGAAAAGGAAAGAGAAAAACTGAACACAGTAGAATGCAACTCATCTGAAGAAAACTGTTGCTTTACAAGTTGCTTTGAAAAATCTAACCTTCGAAGAACCTTTTGCAGCACTAGTTCCTTTACCAGAACCACTTTGAACAGCTTGGCTTTTGGCCCTCACTAAGCGAGTCAAATTCTTCACAGTGGCAGAAACCGCAATAGCACTGATGAGGCATACAGCAGGGGTAGCAACAAGAATTAGTCGAACCATAACCCCAGCAAAATACATGCTCGTAAGACCATACATAACTATGAAGATTGTGGCATCTGACAAGCGCTTGAAGCAAAAATAAAGCCCAGCAGGGAAAAAGAACAGCAAGATGTGAAAATCAAACATGAATGATGACCAAGCAGTTGGCTGATGCTCAGAGACAGACGCAATAATTGGAATGTGATCCTTAGCATATGTTGGATCAAGCAACGAGTAAAACCGTCCAGTCCATGGAGATATATAACCAGATGCTGTGCCTACTCCCAAAGCAACAGCACCAACAGTGACTGCACCAGTAACAGTGATCCTCAAAAATGCTTGAAACAATCTTGTGTCACTAAGCAAATGCCTCACCCAATCCAAGAAGAAAAACACCTGGAAAATCAACCCAACTTAGAACCCACATGCTAACTTCCTTAAGCAAATCAACAGATGCACTGACACGGCAACATCCACGAAGATCAAACAACACAGCATCACAATATTTTGCAACAGAAACCAAGTCATAATACAACCAGACAAAAGTACCCACCTAGAAAAGTCTATTTGTTGACATAATTAAACATCACCCAAGCAAAATGTATAAAGGAGGCACCAAAACAACAATTTACTAATAATTAAAAAATTTATCATTTATTTAGATTCCTAGAGTATACTTTTATACATATCCCAAGCCCACAAAAAAGAGGAGGGTTGTGCTATGCAGTCACCAATCGTCGTAAAACTTTGTCATATCTTAATGACAAGAATCCTAGAGTATATACCCCCGCTCATCTAAGGAGAGACTAATCTCTAACAACACAGATACGCAGAAATCAATCCCATGCGCATTTATGTTTCTCCATACGACACATATGCATAAATTCCAATGCCAAATACAGGACCACACTCAAAATAACACAGCACAAATAAACTAAGAAAATTGCTATAAAATTAAATTCAATACAATTAATTTACACATAGATACACATCAAGTCAAGAAGGTGATAAAGAGAAAAAACACAATGAACCTAACCAACCTGAAGCAAGAAAAAGACGCCCATAGCAGCCATGTGCTCTCCAGACTGAACATGCTGGAACCCCACAAACCTAATCTGCATGGCAAGCAACATTCCCAACACATACATGCAATTATAAGCAACATAGAGCCTCATCGAGTACCTCCCAGTCACCAACAAAACCAACACATAAAGCGGAACCAAATTGATGATAAAAACATAACCACCCCACGCAGACACCATATAGAAGTACCCAAACGCCGAAGCCAAAGCCCAAGCCAACGACCCTGTGTTCACCGCTTTCACAAAAAGATAAAACGTCAACAACAACGCGAAGATCGCAACTCCTTCGTTATCGTAAGAACCTGCAACAGACCGCGAGATGTAGCCAGGGCAAATCGCGATCAACGCCGCCGCCACGATCCCGGCGCCGGAATCCCATACCTCCTTGCCGAAGAAGTACGCCACGAGCGTCGTGTTGGACGCGAAAAACGGCGCCGTTAAAACGCAAACCTCGCGGATGTGGACGGCGAAGCGGAGGAATCGGAGGACGGAGAAGATTGCGGCGGCGGTGACCATGAGGCCGGGGTAGAGCGTGCCCCCGATGATGCGGCCGAGAGGGTACCAACTCTCTGAGTCGAACCAGTTCCAGAACTCGGCGAAGCCGTGGCGCGTGAGGAAGAGCGTGGTGCGGTAGTTGAAGTAAGGGTCAAACTCATGGATCATGGATTCGTAGCGGAGGACGCTGAAGAGGCGCGTGATGAAGGCGAGGATGTAGATGAGGCATAGTGCAGCGACGCGGATGAGGAGTTCTTGTTGTTTGGTTTTGAGCTTTAGGGTTTTGGGGAGGGAGAGGGAATGGAGTAGATCTTGCGCCATTGGGGATGGAGAACCGGGTTTCGAGGTGCCGACCATAGGTGGAGTGGATCTATGTGGATCGGGTATTCATAGAAAATTTGGGATTTTCTCGGGAAAATTGGGAGTGAGAGTGTGAGTGAGTGAGAAAGTGAAGATGATGGATCTGGCGGAGACGGAAGTGAAGGAAGAGAATGAGTGAGTGAATGAACGAACGAACGAAGAAGAGTCAAAGTCAATGGTTGGATGTTGGAACTGTGGATCGATCCAAGTGTTCCAATTCCTGGCTAGGGATCCAGAGAGTGTAGATTCCAAACACCGCTTTTCAAGAACCTATAACCCCACATATACCATAGGATCCAAACAATGAGGTATCCTTGTCAACTATTAACACGTTTTTTTTTTTCCCTTCAGAAACCGGGCAGAATATTTTATTTTTATCTTGTCCTCTTAAAAGTGTTACATTTAATAGTTTAAATTTTATTATATTATATGTTATCTGCTTGTAAAATTTAATAGACTGAGTGTAAGTTTAAATGTTACTTAAAATTTTATTTGTTAATTAATAGACTTCTTATTTAAAGCAGTTAATGATTTACTAATTAATTAACCTAATTAGTAGAGTTATTTGACTTAAAACATTTTTTTGCAAACAAATTTTAGAGCTAAATAATGCTGTCGCTTTGAAAAGTAAAATAAAATAAAATTCCACGTAGTTGATCACAACCAAACAGCTTGTTTAGTGTAGTGGATCAGTATTATCATATAACAAATTTTCCGGGGAAGTAAGAATGTCTTTTTCATTTTCTGTGGCATTTATTTTAGAAAGATTTCATTTTTGCGGCTTTTTTGCGTAAATTAGAGAACCTGACCCTGACCCCATGTAAGCACCCTTGCCAGCCACTCATCGTCAAAATCTTCTTCATCATCTTTCTTCTCTTCACTAACTGCAAGCCCCACAGAGTGATCATCATGCAGGTCTTGCAGCTGCTCTGGCTCTACCACCAAATTATCCATTTGGAGAATGAGAGGGAGTGGGGAAAGAGGTTTAGGGAGAGGTGAGGAAGCGATGATCTCTTTGTAAAGCTCTTGCATGATCTCTTCAATGGTTTCTTCTTTGAAACAAAATTGGGCTGCACCTTTGTCCGAATCTTTGAGAATCTCGTGGAGCTTTCGGGTGAGAGGTTCAATAAAAGGAGAGGGAGCACTCTCTTCTTCCGTCAAAACCAAACACAGTTATCTCTTTCTTCCATTACATTTCGATGTTGCAAGTAAATATTTTTTTAAATAGTAAAATAAATAAATATCATCTGCGTTGCTTTTAATAAGAATAATATATAGACGACATTTATTATTTTCTTATTAAAAAATACGATACTTGAAATGACATAGTAAAAATAACCTGGACTGAAAATATATTTTGATTTGTTTATTTTAAGAAATTATTTTCCAATTTCTTCTATTTTGGCAAAAGAAAAAGCCCATTTTTGCTGCCCTTTTTGTAGCATGTTTTGTCTCACTTTGGGTGCAAAGTGCAGAGGGTCAATAAGTTTTATCATCATAGCGAACCTTTACACTAATGTTTGCGCACAAGGGGAAAAAAGCATCCTGCAGTGATTTCCCGACCCAATGAAGAAATACTGCGCCTCTCATTGCGGCTAAATTTGACATCTAACCAGCAGGCAAGAATTACAAAGCACAAAATCCCAAATTACGACAGTTTTCACGTCAAAGAGATTATTAATAGATAAAACTAACGCCGGCTATTAAAACAAGCTTTAATTTGTCTAAAACTTCAGAGGAAATAATTCTTTTCAATGTTAATGATAAATTTTAGGTTAATATACGAGCTTGGTGACAAATTAAAATCAATAGTTTTTTTTAATGTAACTATACACAATTCTTTCAGAGTAAAAACAAAAGGCATCATATTTTCAACAAAATGAATATTTTACCCTCATGAACCATCAAAATAACTACTGAAAAATGTTACCTGTTCACGTCTATCAAATACCTTCTAGTGTCAATATTAAAAAAAGAAAAAAAAGAAAGCATCTTCATAACAAATAATGCTACCACAAAAATTCCCAGAGCTATCCAGAACGAACATGTTATCATAGGATAACATAACTGACCAAACTCGCAGACACGTTTGGAGTTATGGCTACTTGAAGTTGTTGGAAATTCACTGCAAAGGATCTGTTAACAAACCGGCGCCACAAAAACTTAAGTTCAAAGGGGCTCTATCAAACTTTCCCGTATATATAAAGCATCTCGAATTACTTTTATTTTAATGCACCTCTCGTAAATTTGAAAAAGAAAAAAGGCCCATCATTATCAATGGGAATCAAGTGTTGTGAACATGTTATAAATAATCGAAACCAAAATGATTTGATGAAGTTAAATGAACCCAAACTATTGCACCAAGCCCCTCTGCTTGAAAACATCAAGCATGGCAGCTCCAATTTTGGCAGGGGACTCCACAACTGTTACCCCAGCTTCCCTGAGGGTATTAATTTTGTCTTGTGCAGTACCTTTGCCACCCGACACAATAGCTGCAAGAACAAATGTAAGGATGCACGATTATAATAGTATCATACAAAAATGAAGCAAAATGAAGATCGAAATAAATTACGTGCAGCTGTAAAGCTAAACATGCATTTTCACCAGCATGCATGTATTTTCCCAAGCTGGCTAGCCTCACCAGTTTCAATAGAGATAATTTACTCAAGTAACCCTTCATCTAGATGAAGGCACAGTGCCAAATCTCCACAAAATAACTTGACGGTTTCTGTGTGGATTCATTAAACCATTGCACACATTGTACCAAATATTTTGCATAAGTCCAACATGTATCCAATCATACCCACCACAGTTCTTGGAACAATTAGGAAAGAACAAATAAAAATATAATCAATAAATATTGTTACTTGTAAACCAAACTAAACATCAAAAGCCACACAATCTAGCAAGTGGATCTACTTCCTTTCAGTTGGAACCAATAAAGTGAAATTTTGAAACAAGTTCCAAAAATAAGTCAAGCAAATTGCTGGAATGATAATTTCTATCAAAATCCTTATGTTTCAAAAAGATTTAGAAATAATCTTACCTCCAGCATGACCCATACGACGGCCAGGAGGAGCAGTTAATCCAGCAATAAATGCAACAACAGGTTTCTCAGTCCCACTTTCCTGTATAGTCATTCATAAAATCAAATCAACAATTCATGAAAATAGTCTTGGGAAAAGACAATGAGCATGTGTTTGGTCTTTGTCGATAGAATGAGACTATCCAACTACAATTAAAGATATCCAAGACTAAAACACAAACTCCCATCATTTTGAAATTAACATTTGATACATCAAATCAATAGTTTGCCATCCTGTTGAAGAATATACCAGATTTAGAGATCATAACGTCAAAATGCAACTGTGTAGAAAAACAGAAGCAAAATAACAAGAAATCATGCCTAAATAATTTGGACTAAAGAAGAGATCATTTACAGTTGATCACTATCAATTCACATTATTGAGAACAAGGGTGAGCATATATTGATCTAGTGTGAGGGAGGTGAGAACATGACTGGAACAGAATAATAACAATGCAGCATGTTACACACTAAGCAGTGTGTATATCTGATAGGCCCTGTACCCATGTTTACAACAGGAGGAAAGGGATGATAGGTGTTGCATTAAACAAAGATGATCTATTAACAACGAAAAACAACATTAGCTAAATTTATTAAGTCATCTATTATCAAAATGATTTATTTAAATGAAAACCTACTATGTATGGGGCGTAAAAAAAATAGGACTGTGTAGTGGTGGGTTATGTGGGGTGGGCTGTGGGCTATAGCCCATATTGCAGCTCTACCCATGAGACAGAAAAACTTCAAAGTTATTTGAAATGTTCAGGCAATGATGACATATAAAAGATAGAAATTTATGCACAGAATACATTTAAAAAGGAACCTTAATTAGTGCAGCAGCATCCTCTTCTGCAGTACCTCCTATCTCTCCTATAAGAATGATACCTGAATTACACCAAAAAAGCAATTATAATAAATAATCATGTCCCGTTAATCCTACTGAAACATTCATAAGGCAAAGAAACTATACACAGATGACATCACCTAGATTCATTGGATAAAGTGATAAACAGAACACACAGCAAAAATATGACAAAGTACCTTCTGTCTGAGGATCTGCCAGGAACTTCTGAAGGCAATCAACAAAATTTGTTCCATTAAAGGGATCTCCTCCTATACCCACACAAGTGGATTGTCCAAGGCCAACAGCAGTTGTTTGGAAAACCTAAATAGGAATAAACAAACATATGGTTTATGATCCATGGGTAACCATCATCACAGTGTGCATCCAATAAACTTCAAATTTCAAATGGCAATGCAATAACTTCAAGGGATAAGCTCATTAATACACAAGCATCAGGTGTGTTCTCATTCTTAAAGCTACAATTAAAAAATTTTAAAAATGTAAGAATTAAGAAAGTTGAGATTTCCTTTTACAGCATAAAATACTACAATAATGGCATATTATAGACAGTACAATACGTCAATATTTTGACAAATCACCAACACATCACTACCAACTGGTAGGGGAAGGATGAAGTTAAAGTTTAAAAGCTCATCAACAACATATATAAGGCAATCTACACTACTGCAACAAAAATAAATTGTCTTCCTGATATCAAAATAAGGACTCACCGCTTCATATGTCAAGGTACCAGAACGAGAAACAATTCCTATGCGACCAGGTTTGTGAATATAACCCGGCATGATTCCAATTTTACATTCCCCAGGCTTGATAATACCAGGGCAGTTTGGTCCTATCAGCCGAGTTTTGGACTGCCTGTTAAGTGCCGCTTTAACCCGTACCTGACATTGAAAAAATATCAACTTCAGCTCCTACATCTAAATTAGCAGCAGAAACCCCAAAACAAACTACACACTAAATTCATAAACACCATATTCCCAAGTTCAAACAGAAGGCATCACTACACAAAACATTCAACTAGTCCCTGTTTCTCAAAATAAGTTAAACAATATCAAAGGGAAAACCTTTTTGATACAAAATATACAGCATAAAAACTCACAAAAGAAAGTTATAACATGCAAACCCTTACTCTATCTCCTCTCTCCCCCGATCTTGTATGGACATGCAGAAACTCCAATCATCAATTTCAAATTTGTGCAAATCCGTAACGAAAACATTCATCCTATATACCATTTCTCTATCAAAGATGTGCATGCATTAGGCATCATATAAACTTTGTATTACACAAACAGGCAGAAAACAGACCAACACAGACTTACACCAAAACCAAAAAGCAATTTAAATCACAACAACATAAGCCTTTAGATAACAAATTGTGAAGTACATTCCACATAAATGGCAACAATACAGTTGACAAATCACATAAATTATTAACAATTCAACAGTGAGAAACGACTCACCATATCATGCTGAGGAATTCCCTCAGTGATGCAAACAACGAGATCCAATTCAGCCTCCATAGCCTCCATGATGGCGGCAGCAGCAAATGGCGGAGGAACGTAGATGACGGAAGCATTGGCTTTGGTTTCAGCCTTCGCTTCCGCAACGGTGTTGAAAACTGGAAGACCTAAATGTTCGGTTCCACCTTTCTTAGGAGTCACACCACCAACCTGTTAGAAGTTAGGGTTCCGTTAACGAAACAAAACCAGCGTCGTTAGCATCAAAAGCATAACAACAACGAGAGAGAGAAAGAGAAATGCATGGATCGATCTATAAGAGAGAGAGACGGAACCATGTTGGTGCCGTATTCGATGGCTTGTTCGGTGTGGAAGGTGCCGTTTTTGCCGGTGATGCCTTGGCAGATGACGCGAGTGCTCTTGTCGACGAACACCGCCGGCGTCGCCGCCGAGAAGTGGCGGATGAAGTGGCGGCGCGACGCGATCGAAGCCATCAACTTAGTTATGGCTTGCCTTCCCATCTCTCTCGCTCTTAGTTGAGAATGTGATTTGCACGCTGCTTGCTAATTGCTGGTTCCAAATGATACTCCTTACCAAAATACAAATACCTCCCTCTTTCTTGGACTTTTCTTTTTTATTTCAAAAACTCAGACATAATATTTATAAATAAATATTTTAAAATCATATTATTTGTGTAAAATATTTCTACAATATGATTCTTTATTTTTTATTTTTTTTAAGCACGCTAATCATTTTGTATCTGTCTATTTTGATCTGTTATGACTCCAACATAATGCTCAAATCAAAAGTATATCTAACATAATTACTAAATATATTTTAATCCATTTTTATATAAATTCAAGTAATATTTTATAAAAATAAAATGGTTGCATTTTTTTTTATTATAATCACGTGTATTGGTGAAGTTTATATAATTTTTTTTTTCACTTTAACTATTTTCTTCTCGTTGAATTCTCCTTAATTGACTTTTTATGTTTAAAGGAACATTTTTCTTCTCAATTGGTTCTAAAAAAAAAATATTTTAATTGTTTATAATTAGTGGAAAAATAAACAATCCTTCCATGAAAGTTTGCGGTCAATTTAATTATGCAAAAGGATTTAACAAGCATAGAATTATGGACGTGCACATTGTATCGTTAATAACATAATAGTATCCTGGATTTAAAATGAAATTTACTTCTCAAATAATAACCTCAAAACTTTTAAATGTGTTTAATAAATTTTTAAAATCTAATCATCTTATTAATTTGAAAAAGTATTTAATCCATAAAATTATTTTTTTTTCATTATTTTAAAATTAAATATTAACAAGTCAATGAATTTAAATTTGTAATGTGCTACATAAATATTATTTGTTAAATTAAAATTTAAGCACACTTGAAACTAATAATTGTAACACGTTAAAACTAAGTTATATAACATGGACCACTAACTAGTTAAAAAATAAATATCTTTCTATTTTAATAAAAAGAGAAGAAAAACAAAAATAATTATTTTGATTTGATTTAGCCTTTTGTCTAGTCTTTAAAAGATTAAAAAAAGGGCTTATTTTATTTTTGGTCTTGTTTAACATTTAATAGATTAATTAGGTTCAATATATTTCCCAGTCCCTGGTCAAATTAAAACTCTTTCAACATCAATTTCCCCTATAATTACATAAATTGCTCGTAAAGTGTTTTATCATCCAATTTCTTGTCCTGCTTGCACTACATTCTTTATATTCCATCCCCATCATGCTATAGGTCAATGAACACAAGCTAACTAATATAGAATTGACATTGAAGAAAGATTATAGAGTTGAAAAAATAAAAAGAATAACAAATCTTTACACATTACTTTGGTTAGCAGAAAATTGAATGCGAAATTTCAATTTTCTGGTAAACCCCAATGAATACGCCAATCAATCAGCTCTTTACAGGTCATAATCATAAAGAAAAGGAAGGGATGGAGGAATTTATATTGTGTAAAGAAATTCTTAGGATGTCATCATCTGCCTAAATGGAGTAGTTTTTCAATTCTAAGGTTCCAGAAAACTAATTTAAGGGAAGGAACCGAGTTAGCTATAACATCAGTTATCCTGGCGTGGTATAGTAATAAGCTCAAATGTCATGGTGTTCGTATATCACCTTCACAGAACCTCCATGATCCATCATCTTGCCTCTTCATAACATACTTAACTTTGTATGTGCTGCAATTAATCAATAAAAAAATAAATGTGTCATTAAACACGAGAAAAAGCAATGAAACCAGCTCAATTAATTGTTTGGAAAGTAGAAGAAATGTAGAAGCAAAAATAATCAAAGGATAAAAGGAAAGATTAGCTAATGTCTTGACTACTATCCAGTTTTGCATGTAGTATGTCTGACCTATAGTAGTTTGGGTTTTTTTGCTCAGAACCATTAATGAGTTCAGCTGCTTCCTCTAAGAGAGCTTCTATTTCTGCCATGTCAGCTCCATTTCCATCTGACAGAATGTCAGCTCGTAGGACGGATAATTTCAGCAAAAGAAATCTCCAGTGACACGATTTTTCTTTTGCAGTATTAGCCAAAGCTTGCCACTGTCAAAGATAGAAGTACTTCTTGAGTTCCATGAATTTCTATTTGTTATCATTCCAATCCATCGTTATATTCATAAACTTAAAAATTTCGAGTATTTCATGGCATAGCCTCGTTGGACATGTCACTCGTCACAATCAAAGAAAGAATGAATGGATATAGAGGATAACTTCATCTTTTAACAATGAAGTTCACAGAATGACATGTTGAATGATTGAACAATACCAAGAAATAACATTTTGTCATACAAAAAATAAGGTTACAATAAGCCACAGCATGCAGTACCTGAGCAAGCATAGATTCGTCAAGAACTTCAGCTAGGCAATTAATTTCATGGCTAGGCCCCAAAGCTTCAGCTTTGATTGTTTGCCATTGCCTAACAAGGGTTTCGGCTTCTTCCACAGGCATCAGGCTTCTGTACACATTAATTGGGGAGGATGATGAGGCAAGAGTAGTGTGTAAATTACTTTGATTTCCAGCATCTGACTGGTGCAACAACTGTATCCTAAACATTGACAGGAATTTCTTCAGTTTGTTGGCAATAATACTTTGTCTAATATAAGCAGGACCTACAGTGTAGTCAGATGTATCTGTAGTCCAAGTAATGTCACCATTGGCTTTAGTAAAAGCAAAATGAGAGCCAGTGAGAGTCTTGCTCAGGCTCATTCCCGACAACTTAATGGTAGCAAATGATATACAACCCAATACGGTAATATATGTTATTCTTTCAAATATGTGTCCACGAATGAAGTGACTATCCCAAATTCCTGAATTGTGATGACTACCAAGTTTCCTTTGCACTTGAATAGGTGACTCGCTAGGATTGTTTCCATTTTCAATTTTTCCAGATAACAGTGAACTTTGCAAATCAGTTGGAGTCAGCTGCTTGACAGCAAAACCTAGATTAGGAGAAGAGTTCACATATGTGCGAGGTTCCTCAACATCGCTTTGCTCAAACAAACCAGATGCGGATAGAGGTCTATGACATATAGCAGGTAATGTTTGTAAAGCTCCTTTAGAATTCTTGCTTCCAGAAAATTTCTTCTGAGCATTAAAGAAAATGGCCTGCAGAAACGATCATTTATAAACACTTTTTTACAAAATCTAAAGTATTAAAATAGTTGTTGCCTACTATAATGTGATCTCACCAAAGCTGGAGAACAATCTTTAGTATCTGGATATAATGCAAGCACAGAATCCTTCAGCCACATTTCCTGGTCAAGTTCAGCAAGTGGTCTGATATAAGAGATTAAAAACTCAAGATTTTAACACAAATTTAAGATGAAGGATGGAACATAGTTCTTGATGCGTTAAAACTCAATTGTTACCTCATGTGAAAAATAAAAACTTATTTTCCTGAAGCCAAATAAGCACAATAATATTTTCTCTCAAAAGGAAATTCTTTTTCTATGAAAGAAACCAATTTAAAAAATGAATATATGAATGACATTTCAATTTTCAGTATGTCCTTGAATTGAGGCTAGAGTTTACGTAAGTATAAATTATTCCAAAATACAATAATCTTTGAAATCCAAATCATAGTTAATAGCACACACTTAACATGCGAAGCAGACTTTATCACCACTGTTCTCAATATTAAAATGAAGGTTGGAGAGGCGGCATGACTAAGGCCAGCCAAGAACTTTATGTTCAATAAACAAAGCCACCTAAAGCATGTCAAATCCATGTCCCAAAGGGCAACAAATACAAGAACCTGAGAGACATGACCAAAACAAAAATACCAGTGATGGGTTCACAGCAGAAGCATCGATTATTGCCTTTCCCAAGATTGAATTATTTTTTGGATTTGAATTCAGCTCAAGCTGCTTAAGCTTTTCAACCACCTCAGATTCTGTGCCCTAGAATTTAAGACAAAAGTAATGAAGAGAAGGAAAATTAATGATTGCTGGAAACCAAGATTCAAAATGTCTAAATACTTCATGATGCCAGCACCAATTATTAGAGATAATACAATAAAATTTACCTGTCCAAGCAGGAATAAGCAAAAAGCTTCCTCAAATTTCAAATCAATACCTTCTGAAGATATCAAACATTCACATATGCCTTTTGCTTTGTTAATCTGCATAAAATTAATAAAAACTATTAGTATGAGGATGAAATTCAGAAAGCAACTGTTTAAGAATGTATGCCAACAAAAAAGTATTTATGAAATACAGACGATAACAGGAGTATTAAAACATGCCTACAAGCTTCAGAGAAGGGTATTACCAACTCTTTTTCCTTGCTTGAAAACCCAAGTGCCATATGAGCTGTAAAAACTCTATAGAAACAGTTTGAATCAATTATTGCCCTTAGATTCTGTGATTCAATAGTCTTCTTATTCTTTCGCATCACAGCTAAGTTATCCCAAGGAAGAAGATCAACTATCTCTTTTGCCAGCAAACTGTCGAATGCTTGGCTTAGAAAGGAAGGCCAGTCCTGCACTTGGCATGAAGCTTCAACATCAAGACCCTGCCTGAGCAATTCACGCAGAGCCGCAATTGCTCGTCTTCTTCGATCAACATTTTCAGGAGTATGTGGCATGCTCAGTAGTTCCAAGGTGCAAGCAGGTGCAAGATCTTCAAGAGATTCTTCAATCTAGAAACCATGGAAAGCATCCTCAGGGTTGGGTTCCATGCCTAATAAACAGATATAAAATGTGATAATGCAAAAAGGAAGGAGGTTGAAGACTCTTGTTTGGTCTTAATCACTTCTTATAAAAGTAGTCATCCTTTTTTCGTTTTTTTTGAGAGCTCTCTTAGGAAGCTATAAAAAATGAGCATTTTTTTCTCCATAATAGGTTGAACCAACCAATCCATTCTGTCGAACAGAGGGGTGGGGTTTACCCAATCTTTCCCCTATAAAATATACAGCAAACCAAGTATTGAATTAAGGATCTTTAGTAAATTCACACATAAAGAAAGTTTCTTACCTGTGATAGCAGTGTCATTTTTGCAAGAGATGGTTTACTTCTTAGAAGACACTGGGCACGAGCAAGAGCTTCAAAACCTTGAGATACTTTTTTCTTCTCAAAGCCAATCTTCGCAGCTGCACACTTCAAGAAAGCATCTACAATAAGGAAAGGGTACGCAACAAGACTGCAATAAATTCAGGGACTAATTTTCGAACCTCTCTGTCCATATGTCTTACCTCAGCTAGTGCCATAGAGAGAATCAAGTCGTCTGTGTATGGCTTGGCGTCTTGATGCTGAATACTTGTCCGTCCAATGTCCAGCACAAGCTTTGATTCTCCAACCTGAACAAAAGGAATAGAAAAACAGCAGTCAAAATATTTCTGGAAGAGATAGAAAACTTTGCTCAAGTGAACCATTTGAAAAAATCTAAAAGGACAAAGCGTGTGCCAAGCATACCTCTTGAAGAAGGCATAGAGCACCTGCCAACCAAGACCAAGGAATTCGAAGGGAAGATTTAGGGGGAATCTTTTCCCTCAGGTTACCAGCATACTCTGGCTCAAAAAGAAGCTTATCCCTAACATCCATTAGAAGATCCTGCAAAACAATATTAGATAAGAGCATTTATCTGCATGCATCTCTAAAACAAATTTTGCAAAACTTCAAAATCACACAGCATAATTGTTTCATACCTGCCGAGCTGTAACAACATCCATTGTATAACCTTCATCAATTTCTGCATTTTTCAAACCCATAACTGCCTTAACAATTTCATCTTTCTCGGCTCGATCAGGAACACCAATAAGCTGCAAAATGGTATGAAATGAGTGGTAGAGGATAAATCATAAGACAAATTAAATGAAATTGGCACCAGTAAGCTAACACAAGAAAAACAACTGAATATTTAAAGGTCCTGTTTCAATAAATCATATTGTGGCATACCTTTTCTTATCAAAACAAAATCATAGAACGACCATTCTATCCATAGAAAATTTACAATTACCAATAACCTAGTAATGAACTCAAGTGATCCAAATTTCCCATTATTTACTGATCATCATCATCCACAGTCCACAGTAACCAAATCCCATCAAACACACCACTGAGAAAACTCAAGGGCATCCTTACCTTAAGAAATCCCTTTCTAATTCTCGCTTTTCATTCCATAAATAATTAGAAAAACATCAAGCCGTTTTCACTTTAATTATGCTTTCAAATATTTGCACTAACTATTAAAAAGTCATTCCCGTACCTAATTTTTTTTAAATACGAATAAAAAATTAGTAACATTTTCTAAACAGAAACGTATCCCGTTATTCGTCCTTGACCATACCCATTTCGCTCAATTGCGTCGTCAAACCGTAAATAAATAAAGAAAACACACACATACACACAAAACGACAAACACGGCAAGCTTTATCACCTGATAGCAAGAAACTGGGATTTCAATTTCAACACTCGATTTCATCGGCGAATTCTCAACAGTGCGTGTATCGACCTTCTTCAACTTCCTCCTTTCAAGCACCACATCGCTCTTCCCTGCGTGCGACCCAACGCAAAAAGCGGAACCACAAAACCCTGAACCCACAAATGGAACCTTCGGGTCACAGTAACCCACGCGCGCAACGCCATACAGAGAGGAAGCGATCGCTGTTGCACTAGCAAATGCCATGCGCTCTCATTCCCCAAAAAGCAAAAACCCTAAAACCCTAAATGGTGGAAATCAGCTTCAGCTTTGCATCATTCTCTTCGAATTGGAATTGGAAGGAAGACATTGCTTCTGAGGGAAGAAAATGAAGTTGAGAGTTTGGGAATAATTGAATTGGGATGAAAACAGAGAGGGGAAAAAAGAAAGTGGTGGATTGGTGGGAAGTGTGGAAAACGTTTGCAGAGAAAAAGAAAGGAGCGAAAAGTAACGGAAAATTAGAGAGGAGTGGGTTTTGGTTCTTCCAGTTAACAAAGATGGAATCATGCAACTTTGGAAATAATTTTGGATAATTAGAACTTAGCTGTTTAATTTCTCTGCTCAATCTTCTTTAATTTCACTGTCAATGGAAAATTTTGATTCTTCACAGATCCAACCAACTCTCTGATTGAGTTTTTTTCTTTGACTTGAACTAATGGTCAAACCACCATGATAATGCATGAAAAATGTTATTATTATAATAAATTTGATGTGTTTTTTAAAATTAAAGACAAGTAATAAATAAAAAAACAAATATAAATTTATTGGTCTAAAATTTTGTTGTAAGAATGATAGAAATTTTTTGGTGTTGTAAGAAATATATAAACTATTTTTTTCATTTTTTTAATACTTTTTAAAAGTTTTAAAGAGTTTTTTATTAAACAATTTATATTTTTATAAAGTGTTTATTATATTTTCTTTTTATTCTTAATAAATAAAATTAATGAAAAAACAAATTAAACTGATACTTTATTTAGATGTAAAATGAAATTAAGAATAAATAAATAAAAAGATGAGAAATAAATATAAATAGAGTAAAATAAATATTATTTTAATGAGATAAAAAAAAAAAAACATCGTTAGATGTTTAATACATTCAATAACATTTTTTTTCTGATAAAAAGCTACTTTGTATTAAATGCTTATTGAGTGTTTAAGAGTTAAAGTTAATGAAATATTTTAAAAATATACTAAAAAAAAAACATAGACATGTATAGACTAAAATGGAAGTACAATTTTTTTTTATTACATTTACATTAGAGAAAAAAAAATTAACATCTTCAAACAATGATATAACAATGCGATGCATAATCACAACAAATTAGAGTGTGTTTACTAAAAATATGTAAAAATAAATAACAAATTAAATAAAATAAGCAAACATTTTAATAAAAGTATTTTTTTCCTACACCTTCTTTAATATTATTTTTTATTTTATCTTGATTCAATCGCCTGCCAGCATAACAATAAAGTTTTATACTAAAATAATGAAGAAAGACATTAAAAATACCAACAAAGGTATCTCTATTGTGAATTAAAGTTAACAACAATGATTTTGACCGACTTTAAAAAGGGAAAAAGAAAACGTAGTTATAAGGAGAGATTAGAGTTGACAATAGAAACAATGGATTTTCTGAAATAGGTTTAGAAAAAAGTATGAATTACAAATTTATTTTTTAAATTCACAAAATAAAGTTATAAGGAGAGTGATAAAGAAAAATAGATCTAAAATAAGGAAAATTAAATTTAAAAAACTAATACAATAACTATGTGTTTATCTTATTGTTTTTCTTTAATTTAATTAACAAGGGCTGAGAAAAAAAAAAGGTTAGATGTTATACAAAATTAACTCTTTGAAATAATATTTTTTGATCAAATACATTTTTTCATAATATAATTAAATAAAGTATACTAATCAAAGATTATATATAATTACAATTTAAAAGAGAAAAAATTGAAATAATCATTTTACTCATGTTAAAAAACATTAATTTAACTTAATAAATAGTATAATTTATTAATAGTAATTCACATATTATGCACATGTATGTCTCAACAATAACAACTCAAGATAATTTAGAACAATATAATTTTCTTTAATATTTTTAATGAGTTGTGTAAAAGGACAAGTCTAAAAAAGTCATATTTTATAAGTTTTTAACTTAAAAGAAAAATAATTCTTTTAAAGGATGAAAATATTGGTATAAATATATTGATTAATGTAATTTAATATTATATTGAATTGAAAAATAAATAATAAATGTGGTATATATATATACCATTGCATGCATGTTAATTAAAATTTGAGGAAGTTTACTCGTATTAGTGGACTCCAATCTAAAATCATGGTCACAACTTACAACATTACTTATTTTGATTGTTCAAATATTTTAGTCATTGCAATTACAGTTTATTATCTGAAATAATAAAAATTGACATTATATGACAGTGTATTATTATTTTTATTTTTCACTTGTTATTTTATTTTTTATATATTTCATTCTAAAGTATATTCTAAATATTAAAAAATACTTAAAATGAAAAAATTTAAAATGAACTAAAAAAATAAACATTTTTTAATCATAAACTCTAAAATTTTACTTAAATAAGATTTTGTATAAAAAAAGATTTTAAATTTTTTTCACATAATTCACAAAAGTAATATAATCCAACCAGACACTTAAAAGAAACAAATAACACTGACATAATTTCGTTATTGACCAAAAAACTTCACCAGCTGCTCTGTACATTGCCACACACAAAAACAAAGGTAACTTCACTTCACTTGTTGGTTCCCGCCTGTGACTGAAGAAATAAGCTTCAGTTTCAATGGCGCGAGGGAAGATGAAGAAGAAGGAAGAAGAAAGGGAAGAGGTGGAAGAAGCAACAAACCCAGAAATGATTGAACGCAAGAGGCTCAAAGCCTTGGCGTTTTCTAACAACGTGCTCTCAGAGACCCAAGCAAGGAGCTCCATTCACCTGAACCCTTCGTCCATCGTGGCGAAGCATCACGGCAAAGACATCATCAAAAAATCTCAAAGGAAGAGTAGCAGATACCTCTTCTCCTTCCCCTCTCTCATCGCTCCCATTGGGGGTGGCAAGATCGGTGACCTCAAGGACTTGGGAACCAAAAACCCCATTCTCTATCTGGATTTCCCCCAGGTTCCTTTTTTTATGTTTAGTGCAATTTCTAATCGAAGTTCGGGTTTTGCTTCATGGGTTTGCTATTTTTTGAGTTTCAACGAATGATAGGAAATGAGTTTGTTTTGATTTTTTGTAGTGATAATTGAGTTATTGAAAGTGTAATTATGCTTGCAATTAGCTCTTTGATTTCAGTTCAAGTGTTTGTTAAATTATTTAAACTTGGTTTGCCTGCTGTAAATATAGTATTTTATTATGCTTCCATTTGAAAGGGTACGAGTTTTTGCTTTGGTTTTCTCTTGATTTTGTTTGGCTTCTTTTGCGAAATGTTATAGAAAGGGATTTATAATGGACCTGTGAACATCAAGCGTATATGTTAAAGTGGTTGTTCAGTAATAAGTGGATTTAGTGTTTTCTGTTGTGTGGTTGACTAAATTTGTGTAATGGGCTTGACGATTTTAATCTTACTATCAGGGAATGTATCAATTGAAACTGTAATAAGATGATTGCAGGACTAATAACAGACCAAGGTTACCAGTAAAAAAAATATCAATGATTTGGTAATAACTAGAGTTCCGGAGGAAGAAATTCAGAGAAGCTAGAGAGAAGAGTGTAGATTTAGGGTACAATTTGTCCCACCCCATCATTTCTTCCATCCTATCTTAATATCTCCAAGACTGACCTCATGAATTCCCTTCACTTGGGGTAACTGCCTTGATCTGTCAGTTCTTAGTTCTTATCTGACTTTGGTTTCTTGCCTTCCATGTTGGCTGTAATAGATCTCACTGACTTAGTTGTAGTGCGTGGCTTGTAGTTAACAAGTTTGATTCAGCCGCTGACTTAGCATAAAAGACATGTTGGTCAAATCTTGTCGGAGGAGAGTGGAATACAAGAGAGGAAATGCTTGATTTAATGTTATCTTTTTTTCCTTTTAAGTTTTGGAACAGGTTCAGCCATTCAGGACTTTTGATTTGGTATGTTGTCTATTGGTAACTGATGAGATGTGTTTTCACTTTCACTTTCACTTTACAGGGTCAAATGAAGTTATTTGGGACCATTGTATATCCAAAGAACAGATACTTGACTCTACAGTTCTCTAAAGGTGGAAAAAGTGTGATGTGTGAGGATTATTTTGATAACATGGTTGGTTTTCTTACCATTCTTGTTTATTTTTGTTTTCGCTTGAGACATGAATCAGAGGAAGGTAGATTAATGTTCAAACTATGAGGGGATTAATAAATGCTCGGTCAAAGAACTTCTTTGTGCACTCTGACTGTCACAACCTTTTAATATCTTAATATTATGATGGGTGAATAGGTAAATGAGTAATAGCGGTATTTGTATGCATAAATTCTTTCTACTTATGTGTTCCATACCAGAAAATAGGGGCCCTAAGTGAATAGTAAAATGTAGGGTGGATGGAACAATGCATTGGATTTTCAAGAATAGGAAGCAAAATAGTGAACAGAACCAAACTTAAGTTTGTGCTGTCATGATTTCCATTCCATTCAAGTCCTGCAGTTTTAGTTCCTATGTTTATGATATTGGAGTTACTGTTCCTTACTGATTCCTTTCTCATTTATAATATGTGTCTAGATCTAACACATCTTGGGTTCTTCCCATTCCTTTTCCTCTTGTGACTTCTAGTTGGTCTAGAAATAAATATTTTGTGCATTTCTTTTTTCTTGTTCATTTACTAATTTATATCTTCTGGAATTGGGCTTTTTGGGTATGAATACCTTTGTTCCTTATCTGCAATATCTTGATTTTACTAGATTGTATTTTCGGATGCATGGTGGATTGGGAATAAAGATGAAAACCCAGAAGAAGCCAAACTGGAATTTCCTAAGGAATTGTATGAGGTTAGAAGTTTTTACAGTATAATGGTTGCAATGTTATAAGGAGCAACTTTTGTTTTTCCTTATTTGGCATGAGAAGAAAATAAATTCCATTTTTGTGGTCTACTCTTGGAATGTCCAATTTCAGGGGCAACAAGCTGAGTATGACTTTAAAGGGGGTGCAGGTGCAGCTTCTGTAGTTAATCAAGCTGTTCCCAAAACCAGGATTCAACATGCAGAGCCAGAGTCACCAAAGACACCCCCTGAAGATGATTTATCTGACAGTGAAATCAATTCAAAAGATACTAAGGAATTGACTCCAGTCCGCCATTCACTGAGAACTTCAAGAAAATCATACAAGTACAAGCCCCTTCTATTTTAGTGTACTTTATGTGTGTTGCTTTCCAGCCATACGGTTATGAAAAAATTGTTGTGTTGTGTGTAACAAAGCATTATTATGTCATATGCTTGTGGAGCCAGTGGTTCAATTAGCCGAAAAATTTAATTCTAATGTTTTGTTTTTGTGTGACTATTTAAGTTTGAGTTATTTAACTTAAAGTGGATTGTCTGACACTAAAAATTGTTGCATTTGTGACTGAAAGTCCTATTCATTTAGTTCTTATGTTGGATCAGATTTGCTGAAATTTCTTCTGGCGATAATTCTGGCGAAAGCGGCCCTGACATTTCTGAACATGAAGAGAAAGTGGTAGAAGTTGACACTACTGTAAATGATCACAATGGCTTAAATATCCTTATAATCGGTTTGATATACCCTTAAAACTGTGGATGAAAAATGCAAGATGTGTTTTTTCAAACAATTTTTTACATAAACCTCATCCCTGAATTTTGCACCTCATTTCTTAAGGTCTATCAAACCGACCCTTAGAATGTATTAGTTGATTGGATGCCTGTATTCATCTTTATTTCCTTTTGGTTTTTAATGTCTTTGATCAGCTGTCAACCTGGAATTTATAGTTTATCTTCCTTAATTCATGGATACAGAACAAGACTGTAGTTATTGACATTGATAATGAGAATGATGCACAAGGAGATCAAGTTGCCAAGGAAAATAATGAGTGTGCTTCACAATCAAAATGTAAAAAAGTGTCTCAATCCGCTTCAGCGACTGCATCTACTGAAGTTGTGTCCAGTAATCGTGGTTCACTTGTTCAGGCTACTATATCGACATTATTCAAAAAAGTGGAAGAAAAGGTAAGCTTTTGAAACCATTTGCAAGAGTGCCAACACTTACTACCTTTAAAAAAAAATATTAATTTGTTTTTACATCCCTTATATATTTTATAAAATGTATAATTTCTGCATACATGTCAGCATTAGGTTCCTATTTTTTCCTACATAAAAAGAAATATGGTAAAATAGCATACAAGGTATGTGATGTTTTGAAGTTGTGTGTTGACTGTTTTTCTAAGCACCTATGAAATAGGTTATCTAGATCTCTCACTATTCATTTGGCTATCCTATCATTTGATCTTGTGTTTAAAGTTTAAAATGAAATTCCATTTTCACTATGGGATCTAATATTTCTTCAAAGGCCTTCTCCTTTTGTTATTCTTTCACTACTCACTAGTATTTTTGGAAGATTCAGATACTTGCTATTTTGGGTAGTGTAATTATTCTTGGTATAAATATTTGTTGGAAACAATTTTCTAACTTCTAAAACATGGAGATGTTTTGTGCTTGTAAATGGTAACTTTGAGTTCCTAAATGCAATGTGAACAGATATGATAATATTTGAGTCTTTGGTTGCCTATGTTGCTAAGTATTCATTTATATGAAGCTGGGAGAAAAAAAATTGGTTTATATTTATTTTCATTGCCAGATTCTGATGATGTTTGTGGCTTTGCGCTTTCAATGAGTGTAACTGCAATTTTTTTTTGTGTCTTTTATGTATTAATAACCTTTGATTGATAAATCTTAGTGCATAATGAATTTCCCATAAAATAAATTGAAATTCGACTAGTTCACTTAAAGAATTATGAATCACATGATGCATTGATACATATATCATGCTATACTGTTTCTAAGTAGGCACAGGTGGCATTGGTTTCATGCTTTCTTGTTAAGTTGTGTTGTCTTGATTGGATGGTTAGACCACTTAAATTGTGAACCAAACACCTAGATTTAGTTTAGTCCCTTGAGGCTATAACTGAGTTCAAGGTTGGGCCACCTTGGACTGTTCAAAACCTGTCAATAAATGGTTAAACTAGCTGATTTGTAACCTGTTTGCATTCGCTTTTTGTGGACACAAAAGCAGTTTGTGCTGCAGTCAAGGGGTGTTAGAAGGAAGCATTTAAAAGAAAAGTTCTAAGTGGCTAAACAAACCAGTCATTTAATATATTTTTTGTTTCAATATTTTTCATATTTTATTTCATAATGTTTTTATGTATTTCATGTTGTTGTATCGGTTGATGACATCATTCAGTGCAACCAACCAATGAGATGGTTGAACATGAACAAGAAGTCTCACCTGTCCATTTCTAATGTAGTTCTAACAATGCTGCTTTTAAGAATCTATTACAAAATATGAAACTTGAATTCAGAGCTTGGGTTGAGCCACAGGCATTTCATAACTTATATTGCTTTGGAAACTTCCCGTTCTGTCTCAATGGCCGTATTTTGTAAAGGAACACCAGTTACAAAATGCCTGTGATTATGCAAAACAATAACCTTCACAACTGCTAATTTGTTTTATCTCTTTGATTAAACCGTCCTAAGAATAGATTATTATTTCATGATTGTTTATGTTTGTAAAGTGTTTCTATATGACGTGGAAGACCTGAGTTTTGCAATAATTTTGCCTTTCTAAAATGGATCTTAATCATCTGATGTAGCCTAATATTGCTCAACACCATTGTTTATCTTATGAAAATCTTATATTTTTCAGAAGACTCCAAGAAATTCAAGGAAATCTCCATTATCAAAAGGTTGTCCTTTTCCTAGTTTCTTTATATTATTATGAACAAAACTATGAAGATTGAGTAACAAAAATTGTTGATGTTTTTCAGCTTCTGCCCAGAAGTTGCAGCCCGCTGGTTCAAAAAGAAAGATTGATCTGGTTGAATTTTCTTTTTTCTTAATTCCTGAATCTCTTTTCTTCATGTTGGAGTAGGATTCAGACTGAGTTATTGGCTATTGTTGTAGGATGAGGGATCCAGGAAAAGGGCAAGAAAGACCAAGAGCAAAGAGCCCAGTGAGTATTCTCCCTTCCTTCTTTGTATCTTCTAATCGCTATGTGATGTTATCATTATTAAAAGATAATAATTTGATATGAATGTAAGTATGCATCTATGGATATTTGGTTAGACTACATTGATGAGAGAATTATTGGTTGCTCATAGTATTTGTGTTAGAAAGAGAGAATGCCATGAACTTGTAGTTATTATAGCAAGATGGACCCAGTCAAATATAAGCTGGATGCATGTTATTAAAGCTGTATTGTCACTGTTGTGCTAAAAATTAATATAAAACTTGTGAATGAATTGGCACTTGTTCGGCAAGGTTTAATGTGGCCATCAATACATGATAATAAATGTTCGTGTCCAACTTTGAGTTACTACCACGATTGATCAGTCTTTAAATTTTTCAGCAATATTATGATTTGGTAAGGATAATTTTTAGACTGTTATATATACTTAGAATAGCAATTGGGAGTCTTCTTGAGTCTTCTTTCATACAAATTTGGACCTTGTTGATGCTGTCCAATTGACTTGGTATATGGCTGGTTTGTGAGAATGTATGGCTGCATATCATCAAATCAATAGAAGAAACTAAAAGATTATTGTATGATTTTCTTCAACTTATAGTACCTGTCTGAATATTTCAAATAATTTGTATCTAGCTACATGTTCTCTTTTCAGATGACTACCAATCATTAAAACTTGTGTCTTAATAAGTTGTTGCATAAATGAAATGTTGGAAAACTTACCATGTGAATTTTTAGGTGAAAAAATCAAGGCAAAAAGCAAGGAACACAAGGTAAATTTTTTCTCGTTCTTGGAACTCCATGCTATTCTTTTTATTAGTTTAGTGATTGAATCTTCATTCAATTGGTTCTCATATTTCGTGCTTAATCATAATGCTAGCCACCCAGCAACTGTTAAGTGAGAAATTTGCAACTTAACGGTTACTCAACCCAACAACATAAAATGTTCTCGATTCAGGCTAGGGCTTTTTATGGCATTTTTCATGTTGTTGAGCTTTCAAACTTTTTACATTGGGGACTGTCTGAAAAATTAACTCATTCCAAATGTCTGAAGGTGGTCATGAAAGGTGAGGGAAACCTAAATATGTTAGGATGATTTCAATGTGTAAAAACAAAAAGAAAATAATGTATATTTTTTAAGTCTTCAAGCTATGTCAAGATTAATTGTAATAAAACAATAAAAAATATTGTTACTCACTTTCTATGGACAAGTTAGCTTCAAGAAGGTACTTTCTGAAAATTGGTGCAATACTGTTTGATTATGATGGATATTTTATATTCCAACTTTTAGATCGGCCACTAATTTGTGCAATAAGCTTGTAATGTACCCATTTAATGCCATTTACATTTTCATCTTATATTCTTCGCACTTGGAACTGAATTAACGTAAACCTCTCTAATATGATTACTTGGTGCTCTGAAATATCTTCTGAAATTGAATTAAGATTAATCTCTAGAATATAAAGTTCTCTTAAATATCTTAGAAGATAAGAAACTTTGCATGTCATAGAGTTTTCCTTGAGCCATAATTTGACATTTACATATTCAACTTAGGTTGAAGATGGTGATGATGATGACATTGAAGAATTTTCAAATGCTTCAGAGGCAATTCTTCCTAACTTTACGCTTGGAGCTAGTCTCTTACTGTTTATTTAGTTTATAGCAGGCATGGTGTTAACCTTCCTTATACTGATTGTGTTCATTATAATTGTTTTATTTAGGATACTAATGGAAGTGATGAAGACTGGACTGCTTGAATGAGTGATATAAGTTGTAGTTGCTAGGCACAAGAGATTACAAAGGCCAAGGTCATGCAATTGATGAGAATGAAGTACCCTTTGTCTTCCTAGTCACTAAGATATATCCACTGTGAAGACTTAGCTTTGCATATCCATCATCTCAGTGCATATATGATTATGAGAAAAGATAGATACCATTTGGTTATTATGGAGGGAGAATGAAATTTGTTCGCCGTTTACCAATTCAACTCTTATCTCACAGCTGTGAGGCATTAGATATATACTTCCAATTTCAATTATCTTGTAAAGAGTTCTACAAAGGTGAATGAATGCTAAAGAAGCAAGCTTTAACTACATGGCAAAAAGGTTTTATGGCTATCATATTAATTGAATTTTAAAAAGAATGTGCTCGTACTAAGATAAAACAAATTATTGAGTTTGGTTGGTTGGTTCCCTTTTCTTTGAATTGAGAGTAAGGAGCAATTTCAAAAGGTGTTAATGATTTTTTTAGGGGGATGAGGTTACAACTTTCACAATGGACAAACCCTTGTCACTGTTACAGTGCTTGGCACGTTTTCATTTTTTAATCATTAGAGTAAGAGTTAATAATTGAAAAGGATAGAGCTAGGACTTTTTTATTCAATTGTGTCATTTTCTAAGCTTAATATAATAACTTATTAAGGTGATATTTTTTGCAGTTGTTCTCACTAGTTGTACCACCCTTTTTTATTTGTTTCTTTCATAATTCAATTTTTGAAAGTACAAGTAATATATTCTGGAAATTAAATTTTAAAAACAAAATTACTTTAGAAATTTTATTTTTAAAAGTGAATTATGCCGTACAGGAATTAAATTTTTTGAAAGTTCATTGCATATTACTTTTAAAAACTAAGTTTTAGAAATGATTTTATACTTTTTAAAATTTAAATTAAAAAAATTACAAGTTTTTGTTTACAGACAATTTTAACCATTAAGCCTTCGTCACAATGAACTTACGTTAAAACAAATAGAGGATTAATAGTTTTCTTACATAGCAACCAATATATTATTCTCAATGAGGGAATGGAGTTCAGAAGTCACGATTGTCTGCCTAGTGCATCAACGAAAAAGTATTCTACCTTGGGTCATAGTCACATCATTTATATTTAGATGATTGCATTTTATAGCAAATTAGTCAAATAAAAACAAAAACGGATAAGGTTTATTTGAGTCATATCTACTCCTACCAAGTTTGAATCCAAATCCAGACTCAAATTAAATTTATGTTTAGAGCTCAATTAGTTGAAAAAAATATTTTTATACGAATTCTTCTTCTTTTTTTGTATATTTTGAAAATTTAATTCCAGAATATATTAAACATTCTCTCGTAAATTTAATTTCAGAAGTGATTTACAAATCACCTTTTGAAATTAAAATCCCATAAAGGTATTGTAAAAGGAATTGCCTTGGTTGGAACTTAATAGTCCATGAATCTTCCTATTCTATTATCTATTGTGAAGGAATTAAATCAGTTTGGTGATATTCTCTGATTGTCCCCAAATTTCAACATGCTCATCTAAAATAAGAAAGGATATAAAATGAGAAAATGAAGATGCCACACTGTCACTTTATTCAAGTTAATTCAAGATTATAACTATTTCACCTTATGCACTTTTGTGCTTCTTATTGCTCTAAAAGAAAGAGCTGAACATGCAGAACTCAATGACACTTAACACCATCAAATTAATTCTCGCGAACAGATGAAAGTAATTGAGATGCCCCTTATGCATATGTAAAAAAATAGAAAATTATGGCATGTTCAGAGGAAGCATATTTGAAATTAAGATGTTTTAGGGGTCCCACTGACACAATGCAATCTAAACATGCGAACATATATACTTTCTTTCTGACATATCTGATATAAAAACACATAATTTTTTTCCTATGTTGTTTTGTTCAACTATATGGCTGGAAAAGTTTAAAGTGAAAACTTAAATTGTGTTTCACAGATTTACAAATCAGCAACTTTTCACAAGATACCAAGTCCAATTCAAACTTGATCTTAATTCCCTAAGAAAGTATTAACCCTTTGATTTGTGGCCCTAGACAAGAACTTCATACAAATTGGAGGCTTAACTCCAGCAAGAGCAAGAATTGAAGCAGGTAGAGTCCATATTCCATCTCCACATATCAAACCAGAAGCCACAGCTGGTCCAAAAGCATCTGCCTTAGCCTTGTTAATCCTTTCCCACACATATAATATCAAACTTCCGACACACATGTCAATGGCAAAGTATGATCCTATATAGAAAGGTATTGCCATAGCCATTGGAAGTGGTATGAACCTCCCTTTCTTACCAAGGAAATCTTTGATCAAGTTTATTACAATGGCAGCACCAAAGAATATATAACAAAGTAAGAGGCAGTTTTTTGGTAGAGAGTCAAAACCTTGCACCCCCAACATCGCCATGTTACGGTACACAATTGCATACGGGGCAGGGTATTCGCTTGTACTAGTTCCAAGGTCAGGAAAAGCTTTGTAGAAAATCCAAAATACACAAGGAGAAATCACACAACCCATTATAGTGCCAATTATTTGGCTCACAAACATTGAGCGCGGCGAAGCTAGAGTAAGGTAGCCGGTCTTAAAATCCTGCATCAAGTCTGAAGCTGTGGAAACAATGTTCATCATCACTCCACAGGCTGCTAGGCCAGCAAGAACTCCACCATGTGCTGCACCAGCCCATGCTCCAATTGTGAAGATGGCAAGCTTTCCATAGGTGGATGCAAGGGACCAATCTGTTAGCCCACAACCATAAGCATTGCAAAATGCTAAGGTGGGGGCAAGAAGGTAGATAACAAGTATGTAATACCATTTTAGTTGGTGAAAGATGTGTGGCAGAGTGGCTGTAGAGATGGCAGCAATGGCAACATAACCTCCAACTGCAAACCATGTTGGAATCTGATCTTTAAGGAAGAGTTGGATGCGGCGCTGGTCATCATATGATTGCTGAGGATTCGAGGGAGAGTCTTGATCTGCAACAGGAAGGACATTCTCCCTTTGTTTTTGCGAGATTTGATTATACAACCCCCAGAGCGTATGAGTTAGCACTTTTACGAAGTTATATAAACCATCTCCCAAGATCAAGGCAATGGCTATAAATACCTGAACTCAAGGTGCAAGGTAAATTCAATTAATAGGTAGACCTTAGAAAGTAACTAAAATATCGTGATGCTACAGGTGCTTTAGAATTTTACCCTATAACCTTGGATGCCATGAAGGTTGCTTTCACCAAGGCCCTTGTCATACCAATCACCCTCTTTGTTTTTAATGAGAGGCCACATTATGCCCCAAGAAATAATTCCTCCAAGAAGCACTGATATATTTATGATATATGGGCATATCATTCCCACTCCGACATAGATTGCAGAAAAATCAAAATAAAACCTGCAAATATGTTAAGATTGGATTAACTACTTCGAATTCAAACAGGACTAATTTGAAGAATGTTGGCATTGGATTTAAGTGTGTTTAAATATCAATATTTAAAATGAAGGAAATGTGACAATGTACCTGTTTTCATATGCTTTGAGCCCCAACGAAGGGAAGGCCTGAAATCCACACTGGTCAGCAGCTGTATAGAACCATTGAAAGAAACCCCATAAGAAACTAAAACTGAAGAATTTTGCCAACACTTTCACTTGCTTCCTGGAGAGTACAAAAGAAACAGCAGATTAGTTTGGATGCCTAATTTCTCATGCAGTCACTTATAGTAACATGGGAGTTTGCTATAGTGCCTACTTTGCTAGTTTGGCTCCCTGGGGAGTGTGGAAGCTGTTGATGAGATGGGCAGTTGCAGTACCACTCGGATATGTCAATTTGAAGTCAATGATCATAATCTACAGTCAATGATAGAAGCAAAACTTGATCAAGATTCTGGCAAGTGAAATACTGATAATAACTGCTAAGGGCTTGAAGCCGTTTGGTTGAGAAATTTTTTTCTGTTTTCCCTTTTAATTACAAAAATGCCACATTGTTTTCATTTTGTTTTATGTTTATAAAGATTTGCATATGAAATAGTGAAAACATAGTGATATTTCTGTAATTAAAAGTACAAACAAAAAATGAAAACAGAAAATATTTTCTGAAATCAAATAGCCCCTAAGGGTATGCAGGTTTTCCAAATTAATATATTCATTTTCAAAATTATTAGGAATAAAATGGAACACTAATGAATAGTGCAGTCAATTTTCAAGAATGTGTCAGTGTCATACCTTTCTTAGAGGTACAACTGAGAAAAGACCAAGGAAGCTAACAACAAAGAGAAAAGCAATTATCCACCCTAATTTTGGGTCCTTAAAATCACTGGTGTCTGTGGATTGCTTGGCTATGCGTTCACTCATTCCAAAGAGGTAACTCCCAAATCCTCCTGCTCATACAAGTCAATCACAGTATGAAAATTTTCATTTAACTGGGCCAATCATGTATGACATCAACATAAAAACAGTTCCTATATTACAAATAGACTAGGATTCCTTTCACTTGCATAGCATCGAATCTCATTCTATATTTTTCGTTTGTTCAAAAAGTCCAATTTTCTTAAACAACTATGACATAACATTTCAATTAGTTCAACAGTTTGTAATTCTTCAACAAAAGACATGACACAAACACATTCAACAGGAGAGTTAATATTTTTTGAAAAATAAAATAATGATGAGAAAAAGGATAAAGTAAATTAACACTTGTGCTGATGTTATAGTTGAAATTGATAGAAGACGTGAACTTTCTATTCAAACAAAAGGAAATATCTGAAACTTTTTGCATTCATAGAGTGACGTAACTTGAAACTGTTGTTGAAATTGAAACAACGCATTCACATATAAACAGTCATTTTAACTTTTAATGCTAAAAAATTAGCATGATTTGGCTTCTAAGCTTCCTTCTCCCCTCATGTTTTAGCAGAGTTAAAATCTCACGAAACTTGGTTCAATAATACAACCCAAAATTTTCCGAAGTTCTTGTCATAAATTGAAATTTGAAACAGAGAAAAAAAAAGCCATATCTTCAACGCATGGACAAAATTGATGACTTTGCAGCTCTTCTTCCTGTAGCTATTCTTAAATTAGTATATTCTAGAAGGCAGAGTGTGACCGTGAAAAGTAGTGACCTTCGATAACAAAAGATTGTGATGTACCAAGAAAAAAACAAACATACAATTATCATCCAGCCATGAAATTTCTTCCAATTTATTCAAACTGAGGGGGTTTGACTCTAAAATTAGGAAATCTTAAAAAGAAAAGAGAAGAAAAGGTTAATTGACTCTAAACTACGTACTTTATAGACCGCTGAAGTAGTTAATTGATTGGCTGAAATGGTTATAAGTTGATTACATACAGATTTAATTAACCACTCCAACAGATATCACCTTTATTTCTCTTTTGAAAACTTTTACCTAATAGAGAGAAAATGATTTCAAAATCTTTTGAAAACTTTTATCTAAATCCCCCATAAATTAGCTTACAGTAGAATCTAAACAGTACCAAAAAACCCAACTCTTGAAAATTTCCTGTCAATTTCAAAAGTAAAAATTTCAACCCATGAAATAAAAAAAGGGTTAAAAATTACATATATCATAACAAAATAACAAATCCAGAAAGGGGTAGATAGAGGGAAAGAAAAAAGGTACCACTAAAGGCTATGCCAGATGAGGCAACAACGCAGGTTTGGATGACAGTGTTCTCCTGCCTTGTAAAGGGTTGCTTCAACATGCCAGATTTTTCCAAGAACTTGGTCCAAGTCTTCACAAAGAAGAACCCAAGAAGGCCAGCAGAGACATTGAGTGAAGGTATGATACCAGTGGTAAGGTTGAGTTTCATAACAATGAAACTGAAGAGTATGCTGAGTGCAAAACTGACAACAAAGGCTCTCAAAGTTAACTGGTTCTTCCATGAGGGAACCAAAAGGTGCTGGAACACCCTCTCCACAGAAACCTCTTCCTCTTGGTGTTTTTTGATGCCCTTTTGGCTTAGTTTTTTCACATCATCGTCATCTGCATGATCAAGAGATTCAAAACCATTGTCACCATTTCCACTTTGAGCCATGCCTCAATTCTCCCTGGAAAGCGCAGTGGTTGAGATCCCACAATTGTCGATATGCTTTCGGATTCTACGATGAAACTTCCTAAATATCTTAACTTGGGTTAAAGTTGGTGTTTCATCTTTATTCCCAAGGATTAAGTTGGAATGTGCATGGTGGTTCAATTACTAGTATTTATGGATGCACATCAACATCATCAACACTACAATAGAGAGAGAGAGTGAGAGAGAGAGAGATCATGTGAATGCAATAACAAGTTGATGTCCCCTCACAGCTTTGTTGGAAGTCATAGTGTGACATAGTGGAATAAAGCTGCCCACATAGTGACCAGAGAACTTGGATATGGATGCCAATTAGGGTGGATTCGTATTAGACTAACTTTTTCATTTTTTTTAAACTACACCTATAATAGTTCTCTTACGTGAATTTAAAATATTTAATAAAAATTTAAAAACCCAATTTAGTAAGAATTTTTTTCATAGATTAACTTTTAAAATAATTTTTTCTATATCTAGCTTTAAATAATCGACAGACATTTTAACATTGAAAGATATATTTTAATATTTTTTCTTTAAGAAAATTATTATTAGAAGACAATTTTGTAGTCAAGCTCAAGACGCAATTTGAACAAATTTATTGATCTAATCTTTGGTCTCTCTGCACGCATAGTGAGAACACCAATCATATAATAATACACCTAATATGTAATAAAAATAAATTTCAATTTAAAAATGCAAAAGCTATAAATTTAAATTTAAATGAATAAAATATTTGAGTAAAAGAAGATGACGAAAACAAAAATCTTAATTCCCGTGCCGTGGATAAATGCTATAATTGGTGCTTTCTTGTATGATCTTTTGTCATCTATGATTGTGACACTAAGCTTTTCAATTTTGCAAAACGGTGAGTGTTCAAGTTTATCTAACATTAATCGGCACACTGAAAGAAAAGGTAATGAAATATTGGATTATGGAAACAAGACAAGATCTTGTTATCCTAACGTTGTTTAATCAAACTCTGTTTTTTTACAATAAAAAATAGTTATCAAGTTTGATGCAAATGGTTCCAAAGCTATGAGCTTTTCGAGTTTCATGTGAGGTACAGCTGGTCATTATGGATGCTGAATGAGGCAAATCTTTTGTATTTCATTCATTTTTTTCCCTTCTTGCTCTCAATCTATATTATTAATGATATGATCAAAATATATATAATCTTTTAAAATAGTTATATAATTAATGTAGTAATAATATTAAATGTTATAGTGTTTCATAAAAAATTATTATTTATTAATTTTTTTATTATATATAGTTAAATATATGTTAGGAAATTAATATTACTGTATTGTTTTTTAGTCTAAATATATTTTTTATAAAGTTGTTAGTCTACTCTAAGTAAGTTGGCTTTGTATCAATAATTTTTTATAGATAGATTTTTTAATAAAAATAAAGTAATTAATTAAATAAACATAAATTACTGAGTAAATCAACTAATATAAATTTATTTTAATTTAATCACTTATCTGGAATTTCAATTGTAAACATAAAAATACATTAAATATTAAAAAATTATTCATAATACTTATATTTGTATTATGTATTTAAAGAAAATTTTATTATTTATAATAATTCTATTTAGTTTCAACAAGATTGTTTATAATAAAAAAAATACCTGTTATTTAGAACAAATGTTATTTTTTAAAAGAAGTAGTGAACACGGGAATTGTTATTTAACAATTAAGGTTCTATTAAAACAAATTGTGGCACTCAAAAATTAAAATATTTTGTGATTCATCCAAAAGATGTATTTGTGTCCCTCTCTTTGTCACTATCTTTGAACTGAAGGCAAGTAGACGACAACAGTACCTTGTGGAATTTCAATGCCATTGGATTCAGACACAAGAGAACCATAAAATCATAGATATATGATTGAATTAAATATTTTATGCTATAAAATTATTGATAAACTCATAAAAATTATGAATTATTTTTTACAAATTAATTTAAGTAGACTCGCATTATCATAAGTATGATTGATATTATTTTATAATTAAATTTAATAATTAGATAGTTGTATGACATGTTAATTTTAATTTAAAAATAATATTTATTTTATTAAAGTAATGGGTCATAATTATAGGGTTGGCACACATAAATATGAACACATTAATAGTGATAAATCTCAGTTGTGCTTCTACATTACATATGGTTGTCAAAATGATAAAAAAAGAAAGAAATAAAAGCTACTATTATAAATATCAATCAAATCATATAAATTTTATTATTTTGTATTGTCAATTTTTGAATTTGATTAATTTGAGTTAAATTTACCTGAAAAAACAGTGGTTATATATAATTTGATTTTATGTTTTTAAAATGCTAAATAAATAAAGTTTTGTATGAAATTAAATGAACTTAAAAACATAATTTAAAAATAATAATTTTAATGAATAAAAAATAGAAAAAAGACATGAAAAAATTATTAAAATTTGTTAATCAACAGATTCACGTTAACGTTAGATAATGACATGGAAAGACTGTTCCTTAAGCTACGCCGTGTCTATTGTTTTGATGATTTCATAAGAATATTTGACTGTGATAGGGACCATTCATGTGCTTCAAGTTCACGCCATGCCTTTCCTGAATAATGTGTATCAATGATGTAAAAAAGATACATATAATATTTTTTTTATTAAAAATTATAAAATTTAATAATATTATCGTTTTTAATAAAAAAAATATTATTTATTTATTGAAGATGTCGTCAAAAGTCATTATGTTAACAAAAGCAACGTCAAAATAACCTGAATTAAGTATTTCTTTTATCTTAAATATTTATTTATTTATAATCGGAATAAGAAAATGGGATTCTTGAGAAACATCTAAATTATTTTTAAAATGTTGTTCTTGTCTATTGATATTTGCACATAATTATATCAACCAACAACAAAATAATTCAATTCAATATACATATATTTAAAATTTAAACATTGAACGATCATAAATAATTATTATTTTAAAACAAAAGAATATTCAACACAGTCATGGATAAGTAAATATAGTTGTGTTAAATATTTATAATTTTTTTCTTATTATTCATAATAATTTTATCCAACTCAAATATGATTGTTTCTAATAAAAAAATTGAGGTATTAAAAGGAAAAAAATCAATGCTAAGTCCAACCTTTACGCAACCTTAATATTATCGTGTGAAATGCCCTTAATATATGTTTAGTTCTTTACGAGATGAGATAGCTCCAATGAACAAGGCGTAAAAAACTAAATGGAATTTGCAAACAAATAGTACAAGAAAAGGCTTTTTTTAATGTCAATTTGTTTCGTTCTTTGATGAATATAACAAAGTTTATATAATTAAAATCAATGGTAGTTTAATTTTAGGTATGATTCGCGATGAACGTTAATAGATTTTTTTTTCCTCTCGAAGGATCGATTTTGAAGTCCACCAACAGAGAATCAATCAGATTCTTAAACAATTTTTTAATGTCTTGATTTTCAAAGATTGAAATGAAAAGTCATTTTGAGTTGACGTTTGTGGGGTTTGAATCTCCATTTTTGTTTAAGAGGCAAAACATTGAGCATAACAGAGGGGACACAGAGGTGAGGTTGGCATAATACCATTCTCACATGTTGGTAGGAAAAGAAGTCACTATTTATATGCAAACATGACACGAGATTTTTACTATTTTCACCTCTCTCAATTTTTTTAAATAATGATATCTTTAAAAATAAATTTACTTATTTTATTTAGATAAATTATTGTTTTAATTTCTTTTTTAAATATGTCTAAATCAATCGCAGATATACATTTTAAATTAATTTAGACTTAATTAAAATAAATTTTTAGATGATTTTTTATTTAAAAATAATATACAAAAAAAAAAAACTTTTATTTCCAAAGCCTCGTTTAGGTGAAAAGATTGGGTAGACCGAAGCCATTGGGAGTGACAGCGATTTGGTCCAGCAAACCACTCTTCTGCAGCAATATGAATTATTATGGCCTTCCGCTAAAATCATTTGATTTTGACCCAAAGAAAAAAAGGCTACAGCATTTGTACTTAACACGAGTTACATGCCAGCATCACAGTGTCTTGTTAAATTAGAAGTCAATATTGGAGATCATTTGATTTCAAAATCAATCTAAGGATATTACTTTGGTGAATTTGAAAATAAGAAAAACCTGTAAACATAGATTTAATGCAAAAATTACAACTAATAGTGGTATAATAAACATGGTTTCAAAATCATTTTAAACGTGAATATAGAAAATTTTATTTTTGAATTTAACGCACAAATCATTGATTTAGCATTTTACATATTGCTTATTAAATGTTCTGTTAACATGAGATTAGATGATTGGGCATAAAAATTAAATTCAATGTTATGTATATACCTATTTTTCATTAAAATTTTCACTTCAATAGATAACAAAAGGTTTTTACCAACCAATATCCTTAGAACATTGATTAAAACACCAGTAAATATTTGTATACTGAAAAATGACAATGACAATGTAATAACATTTTTTAACAAACTTTTAGTACACTAGTTAGCTAGGAAGGAAGTAGTTGACATTTATCAAAAAATGTATCATCCAATGGAAAAAAGATCAAGATAATAAATTCTAATACTTTGATGATTTATGGATGAGATTATATTTATTAAAATATACACTGTCAAATTTTAACCAAATGTTAGCTTAGGTGATATCATTTATATATTGTTATTTTAAATTGGAATCAATAACCGGATCATAAAGGTATGATGAAGAATTGTTCCTTATGTTTAATAAGCATATCAAATTGACTCAATTGTATTTCTAAATGGAAGAAGAGCAAGCTGGAAAGTATGGATGGAATACAAGTAATCTAGTCTGAATGCAAAAATGGCAGCATTCACTGTAGAAATATTCATGGTGAAAATTTTGAGAATCATAAACTGAACTGTAGGGAAAAATTCCAGAATAGCTGCTAATCTTTCATATCACCACTGCATATTCTTTATTTTTCACTCTAGCAAGAAACAAAAGTGAGCTAAAATTGAAAGGTAGAATGTAAAGACAAAAATTGGTACTGCACAAAGCTATGTACAACCGAATACAATCAATCACACTCGGATCCTATTTGAGACAATATATCCTATCTGGATGTAGCCAAAATTATTTGAAAAACTAGTTGGTCTACTTAGAATTGTTCATGATGAAAATTTTGAGATATCAATACCGTCGCCGAGACAAGAAAAACTCATAATCAGGATGTCTGTTAGTACAGTTTAGGTTTCCCTTGTTGACAACAGCTCTTGCCATTAGAGATGCTGTTTCCTCAAGTGTCCTCAAACGCTCTTGGAGAACTAAAGAAGGGTTTAAGCCCAGCCCTTGTGCTGCCAGAGCAGAATGATTCAGCTGGAACCAGCATTCACCCTGTTCATATTAAATAAAGTGCATAACTGCTTAGTTAGCCTAAAATATATTATTCACTTTGCTTATCAAAGGTGTCATTGCAAGGTAATCAGTGACATAATCAAGCACTAGTCCAATCACAAATATTTGAAGATATATCAGAATCGCTTTTGTTAATATCGGTCTTTATGACTGATTTTAAGTAACTACAAATGGAAAGTTTTTCTTAGGAGATGAAGCATTTATTACATCAAAATTACAGAAGTATAATCATTTCTTAGGAAAAACCACCAACTTTTAGTTGCTTAAAATTAGGTCTAAGCACTAGTGTTCACAAAACCGTAACATAATGGCTCCTATCCTTCATGCATACACTACATATGAAAATAACCAAATTAGATGCTATTTTGAAATCACAGTATACAAGCTAACTATAATTTGAACTTCCATTTAACAACATAATTCCTACATCATCTTCCAACAATATTCCTAATTCAAATAAACTTTTCCTACATCATATCATTTAGTAAACTGCAAAAGTTAATCTTTTTGCCCCTAGTAGAGCAGAAAATTCATATTTTACATTATTTCCTTCCCCCAACCCTGGAAAAAATTTCCTCCAAATAAACTGTGATTTACATGATTGAATATACCAATAAAACTTCCCTTTATCTAGAAATCAGTCACTCAAATAGAATAACCATAAAGGCGTCAAAATCTTATATGCCATTGACTCATTTTGAAAGGTTTTGCTTGACCAATTGAAAGGTTCATCTCAAAAGGGTCCAATGCAAGGAAGAATATGAAACAACAAAATTCATACCTGGGCATTGTAACTTTGAAGACCCACAACTGGAGATACAGTGCAAGAATCTATGGTTGAAAAACCAGAACTTGTACTTCTGTGTACCAAATGTCCAAGTGAATGGTAAGTCAAAAAGGCTGCACGAAAGTTGCCATCTGGTATTCGGTAAATAGGATACCATGCTACTGAGTACCTGCAAATCAGGCGGTCTTAGAAAATGCTACCATTTGAAATTTCACTTGAAATTAAGTGAACATTTATGTCTGGTTATCTGATCTTAAGGAAGTAATGATCATAACTTTGTTTCTGCACAAGAAATATAATTAACACGCAGATCACTTACCAAGATCTAGGGTGAAGGTCCCGTAGGTTTACTGAGTCCAGCATAGTTGGGTCCCCATAAGTTGTAGACCGGATTGTTATATTGCCTCTAACCAGTTCTTGTATCCTGTAAGAAGATCAAAATCAATTCATAAGTACTTGCTCACCAGCAAACTGCTTCTTATAGTGGCAAACTTTATGAGCATCTATTACTCTACATTAAAAAAAAAAAATCTCTCATTTCCTCAACTACCCCCCTCCAATTCCAAAATGAGTACAATGACATTAATTTTATTGATGATCTTTTTAAAATTATTCAGTATAATATATTCATTTATGGAAACATACAAAATGTCAAGAACTATCTGTTCTCAAAAATTGAAAAAAAAAAATTCACTATTTTCTAATGACAGGATAAAGAAGATGAGCAATCTTACATCTCATATAGAGGCCGTCTTTGTTGAGGTTGTTCAAATTCAAAATATTCAAAAAGAAGTTCTAAACCACGAGGGCATGCTGAGTTGATAGGTGGATTAGATGCATCATTGATAGAAAGCATCTTCTTTGGTGTTTGAATGTATGCATCCTGATTGCGAGGCTGGGGAATGAGAACAGAAAATATTGAATGTTGATTGCCAGAAGACGAGTTTTCTGAGTCAACCATATCACATGCCTCTGAAACCTCACAATATGGAATCTTGTCATTGCTATTTAGACTTTGATTTTCGTGGTTCTTAAACAGCTGAACTGCTGATAAAGAAGGGACAAAATAGCCACGAAATGGAAAATAACCAACACCTCCTTGTCTCTTCAGATTTTCACAATCCTGAGCCCATATCTCTAACCCATAGCTCCCATGTTTCTCATACCACTGCCACAGGCAGCCCAAAGGTAGGTCAGGAATCTCATGTCTGCACAGTGAGACACCACCAGCATGGTCGTGGGAGCATGTTGAACAACCGAGTGAATCTAGTGATTCACAAATAACAGGACTACAAAAATGAAGTAGTTTTTCAAACTCTGCAACTGGAAAACCTGTAGCCATATGTACAGCTTCACAAGATATTTGTGCCCTACAAACATCATTCACAGCTTGAGCTATTCTGTATGACTCATTTTCTAACATATCTTTATTTTCACGTTCATCACCCATGCAATTAGCTACTTCAAGCTTGTCCTTGTGCTCTGTCAATGTACATGCAACCTGACTACCCATTTTATGATTCTCATCCTCATCAGGACAAGAAACTTTGTCATTAATCTGACTAATGCATTTTCTGCTTGCATTTAGTGAAGAATCCTGATTTTCAGAAAAGGAGGCCAATTTTGGTTCAACACTGCTTTCCAAGTTAAAATTATTACAAGTGGGTGCATCAGAGTATTCTTGTGATGAACTATTAGATTCAGAAATTTCCAACCCTGTATTCTTTCTCCCAATCGGTATCCATTTCCATAGGGTAGATCCAGAACTGTGGTTTGGGGCAATGTAGTCTGCGGAAGATTCTTCTTTCTTAGTTTGACCAACTTCATCACCTAAAAGACTAGAGGACACTAGAGATTGCTCCTCAGACGTATCCGATTGATTGTTCTCACATTGCATTACCAATAAACTATCTTGAATGTCAATATTTTCATCCTTCATGTTTGCAATAGTATGGCAAGCATTTTTTTGAGGATTTAACTTCTCTGGATGGAATCCAGCACTGTGAACTATTTTAGATGTTTCTTGATCAACTCCTCCATTGGTCTGGACCCCATCCATCAGGCAATTAATATCAGAATTGAATCCTGAGACAGTGTTCAATCCTTGTTGATTGATTTCCTGAGATGAGATATGCAACATATCATTCTGCTGAACACTAACCTTCCCATGACCATTCAACAGAGACCTGTTAAAATGGGAACCCTTCCTAGAATAATTGCAGTGTCCTTTTTTTGAAACTGAGCTCGTTTTACCTTTTGATTTCCTACCAACTTTATTTTTTGACTGTTTTTTATCCTCAGTTTTTGATACCACATTTACACTGACAGAGCTAGAGTCTCTGATAACTGAAGGATCCTTTTCCATGGTGGAAGAAAACTGTGATAGACTAGTGTTCACTTTCTTCAAATCACCAACACATTCATCAGAACTGTTCTTCTGAACTTTTTGCCAGACAGAATGACTGTTTTCCTTCCCTGTTCGACCATGCAAATTTCCAACACCCCCAAACTTGTTGGAACTTGAACTCTTCGACATTGTTCTTTTTTGCTTAACTCTCTTATCATTACTGATGCAACTTTGACCATCATGCCTAATCTCCTCATTATGTTCAGAGTTATTGTGAACATTGTTCGTTAAGTTTTGACTAAGAAAGTACCCATCTCCTGAATCTGAAGTGATTCTGCAGCTTATATCGTTGGATCGTTTTCCTATATCATCAGCATTGGTACTTTGATCACTTTTTGAACTAATGGAAACTGAATCCAATACCAAAGAGTCTTGTATATCATTAAAACAGCAAGGATCAATATGTTGGATGTCCTTTACTTCTCTATCAATGACTGCAAAATCACAGCCCCCAGCCTGGAGCTGATTCATGGACTCAAATGTGGCACAATCTCCTGCAGAACTTTGAACAATAGGTGCACTAGCTTTGGACATCACTGCCTCATCAAGATAAGAGTTGAAACTACTAGATGCTTCCATAGCAGTGATGCTGTCATTCACCTCACTTTTTTCATAATCAGTTTTTATTAATCTATCATCTGAAGAAGAAAAGTCTGGTGCAGTTGTATACATCAGCCCAACCTCCTTATCCGCATCATTGCTGCTGCAGGTTTCAGAAGCCAAACTTGCAGAGACATATTCCTCAGCAAGAACTTCTTGTTCCGGAGAGCCACTGTCACTTGACTTCTTCTTACTCTGTCTAACTTTCTTTCTTGTCCTTTTTCTTGAATTTTTCTTCAAAGACTTGTCTTCCTTGGATTCACTCTTATATTTATCAGAGGAATTAACTGCAGAAGAACTGTCAGAGAACAAGACAGGGCTACAACTCTGTGAACAAGAATTCTCAGGTAGTTCATTCAGTTTAGAAGCTCTGCTAGCAATCTTATTTTGACATCGACGACGCACATTTGAACCAGTAAAGCCTTTTTTCGAACATGATTTCACTGAAGAAGCATAAGGAGGAACAGGCCCTCTGGACCCCTTACATTGATCAATCTTCAAACTATTAAGAGATGGAAGGTAAAGAAGTTGCAGACCATCCATATTTACACCAGAAGCTAAGTTAATGTGATTGTGACACTGCACAAATTGGGCAACAATTTTCCAGATTCCATCAGGCTCAAGGTTATAGCATGAAATGATGGCACACCTGATCAATAATTAGCAGAACTTAACCATAGTCACTTCCAAGTTTCAAGTGTCTTATGAATACGACAAAAAATACATAAAAAAATAAAATAAAAGAGTAAGGGAGCAATATAATAATGGCAAAAAATTTGGTCAGTAGTCAGTTCAGCCATTAAGAGGCTTACAAGCTTCAACTTTTTGAAAGAAATTAACGAATTGTATTTCGAATCAAAATAAATGTGTTATAGTTTTGTGTTATAGTATTGCAAAGAAAGACCAGATCACCCTTTGGAAGTTTATGCCACAGATAAAACATAAACGAAACTATTTTTCAGAATTCCATTTCCCCAATTAAAGAAATAAAACTAGGTAATATTCGAGTAGTGATAAAACAAGGATAGCAAGAAGATATAGAATTAATTGAGAAACTCCTTCAACTGGGGAGAGTATGGTATCATTATGACAATAGCAACATGGATTTGTGTTCCCTCCCATCATGTACAGAATCAATGACACTACCAGGTTATGATATAAGCTTTAAAATCATTCTACAATTAATAATATATTTCTTAAAAATGACTTAGAAGGTTAGGAGTACATGTTCTATCAACAGGTCGACAATTTCAATAAAAGAAACATGTAAATTGATTATGAAATAATATTATCATAAGAACAGAACATAATGAAAGAAATGCTACAGTAAAAAAAAATATTTTACCTACTATCAGAGTTAATCCTTGAAAGAGAAGATTCTTGACAAACCTGAATAAAATTATTACATTAAAAGTGAAAAAAAAAAATAGAGGTAAGGATCAACTGCCTGGCCAAACTCAATTAAAAAATCATGGAAAAAATATGACTGAAATTTATTGTTACCTCCAAAGAATTGAATTTATTTTGTTGTTGATATACGGTTGATAAGGAATCCTTTCTTGCTTCTGAAACTTTTGGACTATCATTACCTATCTCTTGAAGGGCACAGGGCATCTTCCTCGCCTGTCCATGTAAGAAGCATTGGCCAAAGAGTAAAAAGAAGAGGAAAAAGAAAAGAATAAGAAGAAAGAAACTGCATTTTTCAAAACATTGATAAACAGATTATTACTCTCGAGAATTCATACTCAGTGACCTAAAAGTCATCTAGAAATCAATGAAGTAGTAGGTAATGAATAAATCATGTCACTTAAAAAACTTGCGAGCTAAATTTGGAACAAGAGGAAAACTTATAAACATTAATGAAAGAAACATGGACAAATAGTGTAAGCTCCTTTACATTTTTATTTTATAATCTTCTTTAGTTCCCAACAGTTCTAAAAGATGACCATTTACTAAACAAACAACTATATACCATTTTGATTTCAATGTTTCTACTAAATAATTAAAGGAAGAGGATAAGCCTTCCAGAAAACTTCTGCGTTGGAAAGGTGGAGTTAAATATATTAGTTATCTTTTATTGAATTGTATAGTGATAAGATTGTCTAGTCGTAACAATATCAGTTAGTTTGTAATTGCTAAAATTGTAACTACGTTGTTATTCTGTTAGAATTAGAGTTGTTATCCTTTATTGTTACATTTCCTAACTTTTAGGGAATACTGTTTCTGTTTAGTGTGGATATGTTTGGAATCCTTTTGACAGAATTACAGTGAAATAAACATGATTGCAGTTCAATTTGCGCTTCTAGAAACTGGGCTGTTTGGTAGACAGTGTCCTAATTGAAAAATTGCCGGCAATGAAAATTCAAAAGCCTAAAAACTATGTGCAGAATCTGATGTACCTAACCTTTATGCCAATTACCGAATCTAATTTCTCCTCTTATACTTAGTTAACAAACCACTACTGGGATAACTGCAAAAAGGACAATAGCCACATTGCTTAGACACAATAAATTGGCATTTTTCTTTTTATCTGAAAAGAAATTGGGCACACAAAGAAATGGAACTTATATCCATGCAAAATGCAAGGCATGCAACGATTATATTAATATCATAATGATTCAAACAAGTTAAGCAGATATACAAATTCAAACTCAAAGCAATTACAATTTCGATTGGGAAAATTGAAAACTGCAAAATACTAAATAATAATTGAAAAAACCATGGCAAACATAACAAATAGGCCTAAACAGAAAATAATTAACTTTCTCAAGCCAATTTTATTGAAAAATTCCAAGGCAAATAGGATTGTTCCTAATAAACACCATACCTCCTTTTTGCAATCTTCGAATGAACCTTCTCAGTTCTAACATAATAGATGGCAACTAAACCCAACAAAATTTCAACTTCTAGCTGTTCAAACCCCATCGGATAATGCAAGCACATTTAATTAAACATGAAAGACCACAAAGCCTTTATTCTCCTAGCTGCATATAGTCTTTGGTTCATATTCCATAGGGCATATACAAACAAAGCACACCCCCTCCATTTTTCTTGTCTTTCATGAATGAACGAAGCTCAAATGAAAGAGAGAACTGTGCAAAATCAAATAAGAATGCAATTCCACACACACAACAGCGATGTGTAGGAAAGGAGAAACCTCAACTTGGGTTTCTCCAAATTAAAACCAGGAAAAGATTAAATTATCCAAAAAGGAATTGAGTTCTGACTACCAATCAAAAGAAAGATAACCCTCTAATTAACCAAAACCTCACTAAGGCTCCAATAATATAAACAAAGCCAATCTCAATAACTGAAAATTACATAAATAAGTAAAGGATGAAGAAGGAAAAGAAAAAACGAAAGAAAATCAAACTTGAAACCATGACTTATTTGAACCATTGATACAAAATCTACAAGTAAAATTTGACTAAACCACAAATCCACTGCCTAAAATATCAAAAAGAAAGAGCACCGTATCATTAGCCATACAAGTCGTCCCCAGATTTAGGCTTGGGTTTGAGATTACAAAAATGCACAATAACACCTAAATTCACCAAAGATTTTCTATATATAGATTTCCCCCACCTTATAAGCCCGATCATTTATCCACACACATAAAAAGTAATAATAAAAATTCAATTTTGATTAAAGAATGAAAGAAACCAGCAAAAAGAACCGCAGCCCAACATCACTCCTTAACTCAAAAACCAAAATTTTAAATCAATCAAATCACACACGCAGAAAACATAAAATGGGTCATCATCAAAATCATCAAAAATTAAACTTCGTGAGAAATAATTGGAAAAAAAAGAAGAAGAAGAACAAACCATGATTCCTAAGGGTCGGAGTTGAACGGTTCTCTTCCAAGCCTCAACGGCTCTCTTCTTTATCAAGTAATCACCCGTTTTGTTTTCTGGGGTTTGAATCACTCTCACTCTCACTCTCACTCTTTCTCTGTCTTGTGTTGTGGGTGTTGTTCTTTCGAGAGAAAGAAAGTAACTTTGCTTTTGATTCAGAACACACAATCACACACTGAGGTAGTTCAGTGGCACACAGAGACACTCTCCAATGAATTGAAAGAAAATATGAGAAGTGAACTCCAAAATGAAATGATTTTGATTTGACTGCAACTCACATCATCAGGAGACACTATCGTCACGCAAATGCATTTTTATATACAAATTTTTTGGTAAACAAGAATTTTCTTTCCTTTGTTTTTGTGTCAAATTTGAAGTTTTTATGACACAAAATTCAATATAGTTGGGTTGGTGTTGCCGTTTCAGAACACGTGCACCAATAAAACCAAATAAAAAAAAATAGAGAGAATGATAAACCTAAACTTGGAGCAATAAGCATGTTGCACGAGCAAAATAAATATATTTTTTGCAATGAAAATGAAAAAAAAAAGTTTTTTTTTTCAATAATAAGAGCTCATATTTCAGAAGATAATAAACTTTAAAATTGTTAATATCTAAAAGTTACTTTTTAATCAATTAGCTATATATAATTTGTCTTATGAAGTATAACCGTCTCATTTTGGAAGAGACAAACATTATTTTAAAAAATTGAACTTTTAAGGTACAAATAAATGAGGCTTTAATGATTTGTTTGAATGCAGATATAGAATAAAAAAAAAATAAGGAAACAAAATAAAGAAGTGAGAATAGTTTTTTATTGTTTAAATGAAGAGAAAAAATAAATAAAGTATTAATTAATTTCTCCTCCTATTTATTTAAGAAAATTAAATCACATATTAGATGTAATTTATTTCTAAAAATTAATATTTTTATAACTTTATTAGAGATTAAAAAACGATTGTTTATTTAAAGAATCTTCCACACAGATCCTAATATTAGATGGGATGATAAATGAATTTATTATACCTTTCATTTCCTTTAAAGAGAAAAAGAATAATTAAATATGATTTTGTTTTTTCAAATTACATTAAATTTTGATTTTAGTCTTTATAATTTTTATATATTTAATTGCATTTTTAATCTCCATTCTTTGACTTATATATAATTTTGATCCTCTAGTTTTTATTGATCATGTTCATGTTTAGTTTTCTTAATTTTTTATTGTTTAAATTAAGTCTCTCATTCTAAAATCTTATTTAATAATCAATAAAAAATATAACAAATAAGTAACATATAATTATTTTATACGAAATTACAAAAATAAATAAAATAATTAAATGAAAAGTAAACAAAACATTTTAATATATTTTATTTATTTTCTTATAACTATTATATTATTTTGTTATTTTACCCATTACGTGTATGTGTCTTTCTTAAATAAAAAACAAAAACAAAAGCTCATGATATTAACTAAATAAAAGATATAATATTTATAAGAATTAAAGAAGTAACAACGAAGATTGATCTAAGTGACAAGTAGTTTAATATCATTTAAATAAAGTTTCATATTCAAATTTTTGTGTATGTAAAAAATTTTCAATGATAGACTTACTCACCACATTTAAATACGCGATCTGGATCGAATTAGAATTAGACTGCTTGAAAAACAAAAAATAAAAAATAGTACTTAACAAATAAAAATAAATGAAAAATTAATATAATTATTATATATATGAAAGGAAAGCTTTATAAAAGCATATTATAATTTTTAAAATAAAAATATATTTATATTAATTTATTTAAATTTTTATATAATTATAAAAATTCCCTTAACATTAGTTACATTATTAAAAATTATAAATATGTAATAAATATACACTTTCATATTTTTCAATGCAATTGTGTCATAATTTTTTTGAATGAAATAGTTTACTTACATGTTTGGTTCTTATTATTTTAGAGAATGTGTAATCTTAGTTCTTTTAATAATTTTTAAGCTAATAAAAAATATTTACTTTAGAAATTAAGCAAATCCAATAGCATGACTACTTAACCTCTTCCACCTTTGCATTAATATTATCTTTGAGTGTCATTACTGCATGACATTATCTGGGAGTGCCACATAGTGCATTGCCATAAATATTCAAGACATTTTAGGGCCCTTATGTTATTATTACCACTGCCACCCTTCATTGTTGAAATTTTAGTAAATTTAAGTCTCAACATACACTGTTTTCATTTAACACTTTTTTCCTACCACTGTTGTTTAGTCTTTATATAATATAAAAATAAATTTCATTAATTCAACTATTAAATTATAATTATATATTATTTATATAATTTATATTATATACATATATATATATATAATTATTATCAAATATCATTATTTTTATAATTTTTAAAAACATATATTACATTAATTTTTATATATAAATAATATATATAATAATTTAAATAAATATCAAATTTTATACATATAACTGTGCTTAAAACTTTTAATATAACATTTCAATAAAAAGTTATTAAATAAAAAATTAAACGTAACTTATGGTGATATAATTTTATAATATATATATAAAAACATTATTTATTATTAAAGTAGCGATTACTTTTTCAAATTTGTTTGTCAACAGTCAATTCTTGACTCGACCCTGACGGAACTCGTTCCATGTATCACGCATTTATCCCACCATACAAATTGAAATTAAAATATTTAATATATGTATATTTTACATTTTTAATTTTTCTATATTAAGAAATAATTTTAAATTTTTTTTATTTGACCATTTTTATTCTTCACAGAAAAGAATTTTACTTAAGCTGGATAAAATTATTGTGTATGATAAGATAATTTGAAGTTTTTTAAAAATTAAAAAATAAGCACAATTAGTTTTGAAAAAATGAAAGTATAAATATTGAAAATTCATCATATAAATAACTTATTAAACGAGATAATTTAAATGTATGAAAATTTGAAATTCAAGATAAAAAATTATAAACAGTTATTTTAAAAAAAGTTAAAGTTTAGTAAACAAATATCAAAGTAAAAGAATTTAACTTAATTATAATTCATTATTTTTAATGTAAAAACATTTTAAAATAATAAAATCACTTATTAAAATAAAATAAGAGATATTCTCATTTGTAAAAGAATAACTATCCTTTTTTACAGGGAGAATTGTTTCCAGTTCCAGAGGTTCAACATACAAAGGGTTATTTCCCCTTACATAAAGGTTAATGGGAGGAAAAGAAACATTTAAATACAACATTAAAAATATTTTTAATCTAAATTTTTAATCATAATTGAAATTTTACTTTTTTGGGTAAAAATAAAAATTTTACTTTGATGATTCATACAACAAAAATTAACATCGAAACTATTATTATTATTGATTAAAATGAAATTAATTTCAATTAAAAATAATATTAAAATTATAGACAACATTGTAATTAAATTTTATGGGAAGTAAAAATGAGTGGTAGGTGGCCACAACACAAGAGAGGTGTTGGTAGCTGCACCAAGAGTGTTTGTCTCTGTAGGCACATCGAGGACAAATATTTATTTATTGATATATTTTATCTTTAATTAAAAAATTATTATTTATTGATTTTTCAACTGATACTCTTAAGGCTTATTAATAGAATATTTATACCTTAAAAAATAATAGTGATGCATTTTTAATATATTTTGTATTAATCAATGAATTTTATTGAACTTTTACTTAATAAAATTAAGTTAATTAAATATTAAAAATTCATTAAATAAATGTATTAGCAATATATTTTTTCTCCATAAAAAAATACTCTAGTGTTTTTATCTTTCAACTAAAATTATTTCCTTATACTCGATTATCTTTTAGCACTTAGTTTGTATGTGGAAAGAAAGTAAAAAGTCAAATAAAATTATAAGATTATTAAATTTTATCATATAGTTTGAAGAAAAAAATATTAATTTTCATTTTTTTTATTTACTTGAGAGTAAAAGATACGTAAGATATTAGGATGTTGATATGTTGTATCTTTTGTATAAAGGTGAGTAAGTAAATTAATAAAAAATGTTGTTTTTATAAAGTTTTATATAAAATATATATATATATAGGCTCTTTTTAATTTTATTTTTCAAATTACAAAAATATGAAATTTTTGGTAAAATTACATAATATATATATATATATATATATATTTTTTTTAAAATGGCATTTTTTTCACTTTTAAAATATTTTATTATTATTTTAAAAATTGTTATAAGCGACTTCTGATTTTTTTTAAAATTTTTTAAACTTTTGTACTTACACAGAAAATTTTCATTGAAAATTTTTAAATTCTACATTTTTGTAATTTTCAATAATATCATATTTCAGTATATATAATTTCTAAATATCATATATATAAAAAAATCATATATATAACATTTTACTCTTATTCTCTATTAAATAATATATTTTCTTTTTTAACCAAACAAATAATAAAAAAACAAAATACGTTATGTTCAGTCACATCTTTTCTTTTATTTTGGCTTATGGTATGCCTTTCTTTTAACTTTTAAGAGGGTCCCCTCCCTCATAAGGATATCATGTCCCACTACGCAGAAGGGACAATCATTGAGACGGATAGAGAGATAGTGTTGTTTCCTCCTTTTAGAATCAACAATTTAAATTTTTTTTTATTAAAGTTTAATAATTTCTTTTTCTCTCTAGCTTTGGTTCATATTATAAGACTACAATATATTCAAGGATCCTTTGTTTCTATATCACTAACAAAAGCCCTTTGCATAGTACAAGTATTTTACTTTATAAAATGATTTTTCAATAAAATGTTTAACACCTCATATCATATACCAAACTTAACGTAACAAAGCACAAGTAAAAAAGTAATGTATTTTATGTAAGCGCCAGTTTTGTACTTTTATATGCCATGCCATAGACGTTTTAAATTCTTGATTAAGGATGTACTTAGATAAATAATTTAATAATTAAGCTTTTATTTAATAAATTATTATTAATAAAGATTAATAACATAAAGCCCATTGTAAAATTTATTTGAAAATTTTAAAAGTTTATAAGAATTATAAATTATTTAAATAAACTTCCCCTAAATTCTTTGCAACACTTAATATTTAAATGATCAAAGTAAATATAATACAATTTTAAATAAGAAACTTTTAATTTGTTCCATTCGTTCTTAAACACGTTATATTAGAATTTACAAATTATTTGGAGAATTATAGGCTCTGCGTGCAGTAAGTATATGTTTCTTATTATTATACATATATTTTAAAATTTTCATGAATTACATTCATAAACGCATATTTTCAGTATAATATTCATTATTTCTGTTATTAAGATTTTGGGCATTATGTAATTATAATTTGGTTAAAATACGTTATTTCTGAATGGAAATCCTTTTACTAGCTCCAATTTGAGCTTAGGTGGTAGACAACAATCCAAACACAACACGTCAAAAATTGTTGATCCACTGAGGACAAAATCCTTTCAAGATGTGTTTGGATCATTGTTGGCAAACATAAACGCAACGGAAAAACGATCTTCTTTTGAAATTTCAACTCGAACCATAATTTGGAACCCGAAATCATATTGAAAAACAACTTCAGTTCTGCCCAACATGTAATGGAAGTCAAACACTGCAGAGGATGGTTTAAGGTGTCCAAACTGCAATACAAACATACACTTTTACTTAATATTCGAAAGTTTGTTTTAAATCATATCCGTGATATAAATTTGCAGACTATTAAACATGGACGTTTAACATATTCACACATTTCAGAGTTCTTTTCTAAATACCCAAAGGCAACCCTACCTTAGAATTACTCAGATCATCAATATATTAAAAACAGTTCCCATATGTCATAAAACAAGATAACCAACCACACGTGCAGCAACGGTTTCACATGTTATGATGATTCATGGAAATTACTTGCCAATGCTTCTGCAGTTTTCTTCAGCGTGCCTCATACTGAACAACTGCATAAAAACCAGATAAAAAAATTGAGCATAATATATAAATTGCAAGAATGTATGTACAAGTTTAATGAAGAAAATTTTCTTTAAAGTCAAAGATTATTGTTAGATAAATCAAAGTTTAATTAAAAGTTTGAATCTTTTGCCCAATATGCAGAGGCAGCAAAGTCATAGCAAATCTTTAAGGCCCAAGTCTGTCTCTGCTCTCACATGCAGGCACACACAACATATTCATGTTCAACAGTCACATCGAATAAATTCCCACGAGAAAGAACCATTCATGTACAAAATATCAAGTAGCCAACAGTCATTGGTTATCAGGAATCAGGAGTGATTATTTAGTCTTCCAATCAACACAAAGGGCAATGGAGAGAAGAAAAATCACATTGAACTGATGTGAATCTTCCTTTTTCAATAAGACTAAACCCCAAATGCTATGTTAAAGATCAATTCCTGTCATTTATCTTCCACCTTCACATATTTTCACTTTTCCTAACCTCCGGAACTCTAAATCTAAAGTTTCCATAATAAAAACCTTTTATTGCTCTAAAGTGATTTGGTAAAACTAGCTGAAAACTTATAGCTTATAGCTGATACTCTAGCTATTAGCTAATAACTAACTGGTTCTGAAATGTGTTAAATGACTAAAAAGGAAGTGTAAAGATTAGTTAGCATGAGCAAATTATTTAAAACAATAAGGGTTAAAATGAAAAAAAAAAATATTAGAAGCAAGGGCCTAGCTTCTAATAATACTATTTAAAGTAGTTTTTTATAAATTAGCTTTAAACTCCTCCTAATTTTATTCACCAACAGCTCTACTACCTGATTGATAAAATAAATAAGTTAAGCTTCTGTTATGGAACACACTTCCAATACTAAATCAATTACGTCTGTAATGTGAATAATACACAATCATTTTAATTTAAACAACTGAACAAAGCAAAATTTTATGCTTATAAAGAATAATTCAGCAAACACTAGGAATCAGAGAAATTATAAAACAACGCATTGAAATGTGAAGCTTACTGCGACGAGTGCGCTTCTTGTAAAGGATTCGATAACCGCACTCACGGCACTGAATAACATCACCTGGCTTCAGCGTATTCTCCATTCCACAATCTGCAGAAACACACGGGTGAAACCACACTTCACTCTCAAAAACCCTAAACACACTTGCACAGAGCACACAGTCGAAGAGAAAGCATTAAAACCTATGAATTTCAGAAAATCGTTTAATTTCGAAACTCGAATAAACACAAATCTTACTCGTTGAAAAATCGTTGCACGGGGAACGAAAAAAGAAGTTAAAAACAAAATCATCGAAAAACCAAACACAGCGCGTAGTTTAGAAATTTAAAAAACCTCCGCAGATGTAGCTAACTGGTTCAGGTTGGGGATCCATGGTTGAATTCAGAGAACTGTGACCGAAGAAGGTTTTAGTCCTTTAGGGTAGGAGCTGCTGCACGCTGTAAAATTTGGTAAACGGCGCCGAGGTCTGAATTTATAGGGATGATTGGGCTTCAAATTTGATCTTATCGGGCCCAGATTTGTAATAAAATTAGCTAGAGGATTGTTTTTTTTTTCGAAAAGGAATTTTAAATTGTGCGTGGACGAGATAATAAAATTTTTATAAAATTTAATAATTTAATATCATATCAAAGAATTAATATGGAAATAAATTAATATTAATGAATTTAATTTAATTTTAGCATATATATATATATATATATATATATATATATATGTAATTTGCTATAATAAAAATAAACTGAATTATTAAACTACTAAATATATAGATATATGATAAAAAACTGAATTATTAAACAATTGCCTTTAATCCATGGTTATGGTTACGTATTATCACAAAGAGTTTGTGAGACACCTATCTTATTATGATTTTATACATGCACCTGCCGCTCCTAGTCCATGATGTAAAACGTTATATAACTCTGGTCATGAGAATTGAAGACGATTGTTGAAGATTCTTCCTATGTGTTAAATACATTAATTTCATCAGACATTGTATTTTGTTTAAGATACTGGTTCGTGAGCCATGGTGACAATAAAGGAACCGTGAGAGGGCATATAATACATGTCATACTATCATGGTGGAAGTGTTGGAATAATAAACTCTTCTCTATTTTGACATTATCAACCATGCTGGAGATCTTGTTGCTAAACCTAACTTTTTGGGCATATCAAACTCCATTACTTCATAAGAAATATTTTGTGTGGGTCAGGTTCAAAAGTTGGGAGTTCTCTCTACATTACAGTCCTCCTCTTAGTGTGCTTTTTGCTTGATGATATCAAATAAATTAACATTTCGTCTCAACCTAACTAACCCTTCTTTAGAAACTAGGTGATGTATTATCTTAGCTTTGTCCACCTAGAAATTCAAATAATTGAAAATATGTTAAAGATTAATTTTTATGTGGAAATTTACAAATTTTAATGATTACAAGAATGAAAACTTACCATGTGTTGTTTAACTCCATACTATCGAGTAGTCCAATGTCGTATATACTTTATATACTATCTTATGTAGTGAGAATGGGACTCAACAACCCTGTTTGTGGAAGATTAGTAACTTCAAACTTTGACATACAATTTCATAAGTCGATGATATATAGTTGATAAATTTTGGACCAAGTTTTTTTCTCAAGTGTCATTCCATGTATACTCTCATCCTGCCTTAGGTCACTAGGAATATGTTAAGCCATATTAATTTGCTGAATCACTTGATTGGACCGGTGCCATTCAACAATTTGAAAGCAAAATAGTGGAACAATTCTTTAAGTATTTATTTTATTTAGGCAAATTTGAGGTAATAAGGTAACGACATTCAACTTGTACAATTCCTATACAATACGTAGACATTACTAATAATTAATTAGTAATTAAAAAAAATACAGTATCTAATAAACAAATAAAATATATGCAAACTTCATATTATTTTCATCATCTCAAACATGCTTTAATAGAACAACTCCTAATAACATTAATAAATATTATATTTTAAATATATTTTAAAATTATTATATTTAAATATACCTTGTACTGTATTGTTGTCCTACTTATATAATCTCTTGTATTCTTGGGTGCGATAGATGAGAATCTATCCCATAAGCATAATTGAATCAACCGTGTCCTACTTGTATAATTTTTTATATTCTATTGATGATAATATGTAGCTATACATATATGTCGATACAAAATTATTTATGTAGTAAAATTTTAATTATATTTTCAACATTCATCTAGATAAACTATACAAAATTGTTGAGCTAATTGATAGAAAGCCAACTTAGCACTCCCACATGACACAATGTGGTATGTCATGTCATTTTTTTTATTATTTAAAATTAATATTTATAAATAAGTTCTTGAACACATTTTACATCATTGCAAATGAATCATTTCTCTTCTCCCTATCCCTTTCCCTTCTCCATTGTTGCGCACCTTCCCCTCTCTCTCTACTTTTCTCTTTCCCCACACACTCTTTCCTCCCTCCTCTTATTCTACATTTGGAAAGTCAAATATTATGCTTTAGTTAGTCATGCATGTCATTAGACTTTATCTATGGTGATTTAAGTAATATTTACTATGTAATACTGGTTATAAAGTGAAGAACATATAAGGTTGAGATAAGGGGTACAAGATAGTATTGGAAAGAGGGGAGTGGAGAATGGAGTGAGAGAAAGTATAAGATTGAGATGAGGGAAAGGTGAATAGTGGGGAGGGGTGTGGGGCTAGGGAAAGGGTGAAATGGGTAGTAGGAAGGGAAAGGAGAAAGGTATGAAGTTGGAAGTGAGTAGCTAGAAAGGGCACAGAGGTGAGGATGTCGAAAAGGGATAAAGGTATGGGGAAAGAAAGGGTAAGGAGACGGGGTGTGGAGGGGGAACAGGGAAGAGGAGAGAGTGAAGGAAAGAGGGGAGAGAGGTAAAATTGAAAGAGAAAGTGTGTAGAATAGATGCGACTACTTTTATGTAATTATATAAAATATATTAAAAAATTTATTTATAATTAAGTAATTTTAAATAATAAAAAATTAAATAATATGACATATAATAGTGCTAAACTATCTCTCTGTCAGTTAGATTAACATTTAAAAAAAATAGTTAACTAAATCATAATTTTATAATATTTCAAAAATTAAATCTTAACAAAATTTTTTATGAGAATAAAACAAAATACTCAATATTTATAAGAATAAAAAACATAATTAAGCCTAATAAGTTATTTATATATATATATATATAATTTATAAATTAAATATTTAACATAATATTTAATTGTTTTAATTATATTATGATTTTAATTTATATTATATTTAATTTTATTTTATATTTTTTATATATTTAGTAGTATGATAATTTCAGTTTACTTTCATTATATATATATATATATATATATATATATATATATATATATATAAAAGAGACAATATTGTTAAAGTTGAGAAGAATTAATATGAGTGATAAAGACTTCATAAGATTCAGTCAATAGCACCAATTATACGTATAGTGCTAGGTATTTTACCATCTTGCTTCATTCTTTTAATTTTTTTGAGACATTTCCAATTCTTTGGTTTTTGGTGAAGTGTTTTATTCTGTTGTTAGTATAGAGAGAGAAACATGGTGTAAAAATTGAATTAGAGCATCCGGTTTTGACTTCCCACTCCTTAAGCAATCAATGTTAATTGAGGGAATCCGTTATTCCCTATTTTATGTTGTAGCAATTAGGAAAATAATCAGCCCCTAATTAATTGTATATATTTAGAATTAATTGCTGTAAATCAGCTTTGTGTTATTTATACATAGAAATACAATGAACGAAGGCATCAAGTCAAAGTTCTTTGACAATTAAAAGCTTAAAGTTGCTTTCTTATTTTATTCTAAAGATGAAAAGTAATTTTTCCAAAGGACAGAAAAAAAAAATTGTGAAAACGGAACACACTGTAGGTTCTGCTATGTTTCTGTTAAAAGGCATTTGAGAATGATTCGTTTAAGGAGGAGCAGGTAATGGAAGTGATTACTCCTACTATTGCTCATTTCTATCTCAGAACTGGGAAGCATTTTTATTTTCTCTGAAACAATCTATGGAAAATCCACAGGAACTCATTCTATTGAGGCTTAGTTGATTTGCTTCTGTTTGAGGACTTGCTGTCTTCTGGTTAGGATTTTGTGACTTACAGGCAGACACACTCCTAATGCTTTTTTGAGTAGCTAAATTTGTTTGTTGATTGCCAGTTTAGCTTTTGATCTCATATTTCATTACATAGAAGTTATCAGTTCACTTCTCACATTATATTCACGAAATTTTCTGCTCCTATTCCATGATCTTCAGTTTTCTAAGTGATTCCAACCCAAAAAACCAAATATAAAAAAGTAAATTAGAGAAGGAGCAGGCACAAACTTAAATGAATGAAAAAAGAGAGAATTTTGCTTAATGGGGAGAGGTCTTGAGAGCTGGGAGAACAAGGTCATGATGAGCATCAGTGTTCCATAACTTTGAAGTTACGGACCCTTCTTGGAGTGAGAAGGTAGAAAGATACACGGTCTTGTGGGACCCATTAGACTCGTATGCCTTTCTCTCTCTTTGCTGTACTGTACATAGAGAGAGGATTCATGTAAAAAAATATTATAAAATAATTTTTAAAATACTTAAAAGCATCAGAAGGTTATAATGTAACAATTTATTTTATTTTATTTTATCTATTTTACAAAAGTTTAAATAATAAATTATTAATTAAAATTGAAAATTAACCACTCTTTTCTTTTCTTTCCATTTTTTCCCATCCAAACATAGTATAAAGCTCCAAGTCAAAATCTGATTCAAAGGCCAAATGACCTTTAAGAAAATTCAGGATCTGTCCATGAACATGAACTGTGACTCCCACTATGGGACAGTTATACGATCTTCTATGGGTTCTAACATTTTTGGCTCTTCAAAGAATAGTAAGTTATATTGTCATAGTTCTTCCTATTTCCTTGGTTTAAAGAAGGGTATAGTAATTGATGAGATGGACAAAAGATTGAGCTCTAATGGATGTACTTTGAAGAGTTTAACAGAAAGATTATTGAAAACTGAGTATAGTCCCTGCATTTTCCCAGCTCATTAGAATTCTTAGCTAAAGCAAGGTCGTTCATTTTCTGCTGCTGTTTTATTCTAAACCACAAAACAACAAAGAAAGTACAGTACAAAGCAGAATAGAGAAAGAAGATTATAAAGGGGTTATGGATCTCTGATCAGTGAGCTTTTTCATTCTCAAAATGAGCACCAAAGGGTGTGTTTACACTTAGACAAAAGCATACGTTCAGCAGAACACTTATCATAAACATGTCCATCCCAAAAGAAAGGCTAGTCTGATTTTCACTAATATTTTATTCATGCTTGCATTGATTTGGTTGGAAATTAAGCCTTCTTGAACTTGACTCTGAAGGATGGAACTTTATCACTCAGAGCCAAATGCTTGTTCCCACTATCATCAACAAACAACCCAAGTTCCCTGCACAAAGTTTGGCATTTGCAGACTGAGGGACAGAAAGAAAGCACATAGTCTTTCTCAGCTTTCTCAATCTTGAACCAATTGACAATGGTGTCAACACCTGGATTGCCTTCAACACCACCAGTGCTCAAAAACCACACTCCTGTCAACACTTTGAGAAGCTTCCACACTGGGGGTTGAGCACAAGTGGTGGTTGTCACATGGGACTTGATGTTGAGATCAGTTGAGGTGAGGATGATACCATCTTTAGCATTCCAGGGTGTGAAAGTAACTGGGGTGCCATTCAACACTTCAAGCTTCTCTTGCAACACAAAAAGAGGGCATGTGTTGTTACCGGTGCTTGCAACTGTTAAACCACCACCTTTCCCTCTTATCACTGGTAAAATGTAGTACTTGACACCTGTTCTCAGTTCCTGGCCTGAGATATCAAGCACTGGTTCAGGTGCTGCAGCAGTTATGCAAATGAAGAGTTCTATGGTGAAGAGAAAAAATATGATGGAAAATGCAAAGATTGAAGTCTTCATGTTTGTCTTTGGCGGTAAGAAAAGATGTGTGTTTATATGCATAGGTAAGGAAAGAGTAGCCTCTATTTATAGGCCTAAAAGGGAATATGGAGAGTTTGTGTTTGGATACATTTGCATTAGGATAATATATTTTGGGGAGAAATTATGACTTTGGTGAATGGCTTGTGGGTTACATTTAAAAATTATTATATTTAATAAAATCCACTAATAATTGTATTTCTTTTTCCACCGTCAGACCAACCTTTTCTCTTAGCAATGTGCATTGTTGTGAAAATCATTTAACACATGTTTATCATGATAGAATTGCAACAGGAGTTTTAAAAAATGGTTGTCAAATTCTTTTCGTTTTTACTGTGCATGCTTTCACCTATTCTGTGATACAGTTTTACAAAGGGTATGCATGGATGTACAGATATATTTCATTAAAAATTTTTATTAATATTTATAGTGCAATTTAAAGTATAATCATTTTAACTGTTATTATAAAAGAAAAGAAGCCTTTAACTCTGTTATCTCATGTGTACTTCACACATGTTTAAGGTTTTGTAGCTTTTGAAATATATTTTGGTGCCATAAAAGAAGACGACTTTGGTTGACTTGCATGTGTAGGCCATGATATCATGTTTATTGTTTAGTTGCTGACAGTGAAGCATGTCTCAATTTGATTGAATCCTTCCAGCTGGACATAATCTGCAATTTATATTCTTTTTGAAATAGACTTATAGTCTCTTAAAAATATATATTTTATATTACTTTTTAAAAATATCTTATAATTTACTTTAAGCTTTTATTTGTGTTCGACTGGCCCTACAGGTAACATATATCTATGATAGCATCCATTATGAGACAGGTTAAATATAGGCCATAATCAAGATTAAGTGATAACAGAGATTATTTTTTGAAGTTTTAAATTTTACGAGAATTAAAATTAATAAATTTCATTTGAAAGATTAAAATTAAATTAAATTTTATTTACAAAAAAATAAAAATAAAAATTCATCTTTTTTACTCTACCCATAAAATTGTTAACACTTACATGGGAACACACATCTTGCATTTAAAATGGGTGATTGTCATTACACTTTTGTAAATTAAGAGAAATTAATTTTGTAAATATTTTTAGGATTAATTTTAAGCATATGAAGATAGTAAACTTTTATTAAAAGAATATTTATTATATTTTTGTATTCTTTATTTAGTAAATATTTTTTTAAATAACAATTTATCATTTTTAATTACTTAAAACTAACCTTAAGAATATTACCCTTTTTATGTTCTCATAATTGAATTGATGTCTCTTTCCCCTCTCAATCAAGTTTTTTCCCCATTAAAGTCTTCACCATTAACGATAAACAATTTCATGTAAAAGACAATGTTAATATAAAATATCTTTATCTCATGCAAATATGAATGACTAGAATGATGGTGGCTAAACGCATAACTAAGTATATGGACCTCAATTTCCCGGCCAATGAAATGAATCGGACCTACAAGTTAATGGAGTATTCCATGGCCCAGTTATACATAGAGTGTGGAAGTTAATAGACAAAATTTAAAATTTTTTTTCAGTAGAATCTGTTATTCTTCAATTTTAGTTTATTAAATTTTTAAAATTAAATATTCAAACAAAATATTTTAATACGTAAAATTTTAAACTCACATAAAATTGTTAATACATTTTAATATTTTTTATTTTAAACTTTCTCAAGGGTATTAATTAATATTAATCATTAATTATTAATATTAATTAGTGATAATAATATAAATTTATAAGTAAATATAAATAAATAGCCAAATTAATATTTTCATCCTCCAAATTAAGTGTTAAACTTAATTTTTTCATTTAAATCTATTTTAATTTATTTTAGTCTTCTAACTTTTAAAAATATTTTAAATAAGTCATTTTTTTGTAAAATCATCAGGTCTGTTAATATTTTTTTTAATCTTTTTTCACTACATATATCATTGCTGCATTGTTTATTATTTTTTTCTTCAAAACTCTAATTTTAACTTTCTTGACCTCCTACTTCTTCATCTTCATTGATTTTAAACATAGTGATGGAGTCAAATTCATCTATACTATTTTATGGCATATCTCTAAAAATGATCTCAATCTTTAATGTCCAGGCTAAAGGACATGAACATCATAACCCGTCCTCAAATATTATAGTTTTCAAACGGTTGTAATCCATTAATCAATTTTTTTCTTTAAACATTATGACAATTTTATTAGCATATTTAAAATATTCAAGGAGAGAGAGAATATTTCACTTTTCAACAAGAATTAATGAATTTGACTTTAGTATAGGAAAATTATAGGAAAATTGCTCAAGAATAATTTTGAATAGATAATATGAAAGTTGCACCTAAATGTTATAAATCATAACGACAAAGCGGTGATGCTAGGGGCTTTGAAGAGAAAGTAAAAAAAATGAAGATTAGAAAAAGAGAGATTGAAGAAAAAGATAAAGGAGAGAAAAAAATGGAACTAAAAATTTGAGAAAAAAGACGATAAACATTATATAAAAATTTAAGGAAAAAAAATGATGAATAATATAATAACATAATAGAAAAAAATTATTGGAGTTAATGATTTTTGTAAAAAAAACATTTAAAATATTTTTAAAATTAGAAACTAATTTAGTCTAAATAAAGGCGTGTGCATGGCTAAGTCCGTGTTTCGTTAGTCGCTTAAGGAAAACGAAAGTATACATTATATGAATCCTTGTAGTCATTTACAAGGTAGAAGCCTGTTTATAATTCAGCACATAGGTGCCGTTATTCCTTTTGAAATATCCATTAAGCACACCAAGGAACCACAGTATCAGTCAATTAAAATCTTATTCAAATTCCACTTATTACACCATAATTCAGCGTGCACAGTACACAGGGAAAGCCAATTAGAGTTGAAGACCTTAATTAAGGGCCATATCCCAAGGGAATTTAAACAATTTAGACTCTACCACGGTTACGGCTTCAACATCTTCACTGTAGAGGAGTTCGAAATATTTAGAATATTTTATTTCACTAATTAAATCATTTTTATTGAACAAATTATCATCGTTGTACTAATTTTCTTTTCATTTATTAGTGCTAAGTACGAATTTAGAAAAAAAGATATTTCATAATTATAAAATAAGAGAAAACAATACACTAAAATTCAAAGCAAGAGTAGACGGAGAGAATAGTATAGTATGTGTAAAGTTACATGGGATAAGAAATTAAGTACAGTAAATTTTTATGAAAAGTTATGTGATTTAATAGTATTAGTGTATTAAATTTTATGATTTTTAATAAAAAATAATACGTATAATTATATATATATATATATATATATATATATATAATATTGTACAATCGAAATATTATTACAATCACCTGAAAAAGAAAACAAAAACAACCCAAGAAAAAAGATGGAAAAATGAACACCTTGCTACCTTGGGATTTGGGAGAGTGAGTTCTTTATTGGAATTGTACGATTACAATGACTTCAATGGCCAATTGTATTTCCAAATCATTGAACTTAATTAATTATACACATTTATGTAATCGCGCATGGAAAAGAACCTTATTATCCATCTATAAATTGATGCTCTTCAACAATCATAAGCTCCATCCATCACCAATCAAAGTGCACAATTCATTCCCCAAAGCACACACATACAAAACAATGAAGAGTACAGTGCTAGCATTGGTCCTTCTCATTGCCTTGAGTTCACAACCACTCCTTGGAGCAGCTGAAGCTTCACCTGAAGAAGTGGTTGACACATTTGGCAAGAAGCTCAGAGTTGGTGCCAATTACTATATTATTCCAACATCTACTATTCCCTACACCAAATTTAGAACTAGCAGAGGCCTTGGCCTAGCCAGCATTGGTAAACCTTGCCCTCTTGATGTTGTGGTTGTGAATGGATATCATGGCTTGCCATTGACATTCACACCCTTTAACCCCAAAAAAGGTGTTATTCGTGTCTCCACTGATTTGAACATTAAATTCTCTACACATACAAATTGTCCCTACCAATCCACAGTGTGGAAGCTTGATCGTTTCGATTTTTCAAAGAGACAATGGTTTGTGACCACTGGTGGTGTTGTGGGCAACCCAAGTTTGGAAACCATGCACAATTGGTTCAAGATTGAGAAGTATGATGGTGATTATAAATTGGTCTATTGTCCCAGCATGTTGCATTCTTCCAAGCATTTGTGTAAAGATGTTGGGTTGTTCGTGGATGAGGAAGGAAACAAGCGTCTTGCTCTCAGCGATGTTCCCCTCAAAGTTAAATTCCAACAAGCCTAAAGAAAGCTCCTCTCTAATAATGCATATAAACAAACAATGAATAAGTGTGTTTAATTTCCTTTTCAATAATGATGTTCTTTCAATGTTTATCAGGACCCTCAAGTTAATTAAGTTTCCTTATTGTAAAAATAAAATAAATAACAAATGTTTTCTCTTACTATCACATTTTAAATTGTAGTTGTTCACTTAAATCATCATTAATTACTTCATATATATATATATATATATATTTATATATATTTATTGAGAAAGAAAAAAAAAAGAAAGATTTTACATGGGTATAAATTTAAAAAGTTTTATACTTAATCTAAACTTTTTATTTAATTTATATATAACAGTTAATGAAATAATAAATTATAATCCATTAAATATAAATTAAATAAAAGATTCGAATTGAGTATAAAAGTTTTTAAATTTACACTAGTATAAATAAGATATATATATATATATATATATATATATATTTATTTATCTTTATAAAGTTTCTCACTCTGATATATATATCCATAATATATAATTACTTTTGTATGAAACTCCAACATATATACGGGATTATAAAAATTATATATTAGTTACACTTAGATCAATGCCGGTGAAATATATGACTACTGGAAATACATTCACAAACGAATAATGTCGTGTAGGAAGCTTATTATAAATTTTATTGCTAGTTACACCGATATATATTAAAAGAAAAAAAACTTTTTACAATAATTTTCAGAATAAAAAGAAATTTTGAGCTATAATCATTTGCATGCAATTATTTTCAAGTATTTTGAAGCTACTTAATAGTAATGGATGATTAGTTCAAGCGTACATGCTTGATTTTCTATAATTAAGAAAGTTTTGGGATTGAGTTTTGTGGATAGAAAAAAAATTCCAAAAGAATTAATTTCACCATATTATAAAGATTTTCGATTAGAATAATTACCTTTTACAAAGAATAATTACTATCTAAATAAAAAGGAAAAAAAGAAAAAAATAAAACTACTTGATCAACGCTTATCTGATAAAAAGGTTATTTGGACCTAGTCAGATTCCACTGATAACCGAGTAAATTAGTTTTAAGGTTAAAAATCTCATCGATCTACACCCCATACCAATTCAAGCTAAAAATAATCTTGGCTACCCCAACTTGCTAACTAGGTTGAGTCTTGTTAATTAACATGCATAGATAGATGAGTGTGTTTTCGACTTTTGGTGAATATAATTTTACATTCTTCAACATATTTTAGGCAAGCAAGGGAGACAAAAATGTGAATGGATATGCCGAAAAGCAATACGAAACTTATCCAGATTTTAAAGCAGTTGACCGTGATGATCTAAGATCAGATTAGTCAAAAATAGCTACGTTGCCGACATTGACTTATATTGTACAGTCATCCTATCGTATACTTCTCCGAATGCCAGGTATCTTTTTGTCTTTCATTTTCATACTTTTCAATTCAATTATATATACATAGGGGAAGGATAAGAAAATATCATTCTAAAAACTCTACTTACACCAGTATAAAAAATTCTGTTATATATATATATATATATATATATATATATTGATATAAAAATAAATAAAAAAATTGTCCTATATATTGTTAGATAAGTCCAGCTTTACGCAACTGATTTGGGATGTGCATGAAAAAAAATTGAAGATATAGGGCAATTCTCATTGTATCCCACTGTACACGGAAGAGACTGTTTATATACAGCCCACAGGAAGCCCTACTTTTCCCTTGAATAAGGGCTTGTTTGTTTAATCAATCAAACGGAATAATACTATTTTCAACTTACAAAACTACCGTCTGAATTATGTTTTCTCGAGAAAGTTGAACACCTCAAGACAATCACCATGTATAGTAGGAGATTTAGATAACTAGCCGCTTGAGTTGGGAATTAGACAGGTTAACTACTAATATTATTGATTGATGAGAACATTAGTAGGTTAAAATTTTTATAAAATGCAAGTGCTGATATAAAGTTTTTTGGATGTGTGAATCTATTGGTTGAGTTAATTATATGCCCTATTCTCTCTAGCCTTGTTTCTCTAGCCTCTACATGACATATGCCTCAACTAGAAGTTTGAGGAGAGAACAAATGATTATTTATTGCCATCGTACGTCTGAATACAATTGAAACATGTAGCACCTCGGGATTCTTGAATGTGTTCTTAAACGGAATTACCATTACAGTAACTTGTTATCCAACAGTATTGTTCAAAATCTTTGACTGCAGATATACATGAACATTTTATAAAGAAAAAGTTTCTAAGGTGCGTTTAGAAACACAAAAAAAATTATTATATATAACTTTTATTAAAATTACAAATTTATATATTGAAAATAATTAGTTTTTAAATGTTTTATATTAACGGACAATATTGTCAACTTTCAATTCTTCAAATGACTAAATTGCTTTTAAAAAAAAAAAGATCCATAGATAAGAATCATAGAAGGCCATTATAAATTGGCACTTCTCAGCGCCCATTTCCTCCATGCATTACCAAAACACAAAGTATATGAAGCACAAAAATCAATGAAGACCACGCTGCTAGCATTTCTCCTTTTTCTTGCCCTTACCTCACAACCACTACTTGAAGCAGCTGAACCTGCATCTGAGCCAGTGATTGACACATCAAGAAAGAAGCTCCAAACTGATGCAAATTACTATATCATCCCTGCAGTGCCCTTTACCATATGTGGCTTTGTTAGCTGTTTCACTGGTGGAGGCCTTGCACTTGACAGCGATAATGAATCTTGCCCTCTTGATGTGGTTGTAGAGAAAGCTAATCAAGGTCTACCATTGAGATTCACACCTATTAACACTAAGAAAGGTGTTATTAATGTCTCTACTGATCTCAACATTAGGTTCTATAATGCTGATGAAAGATGTCCTCACTTTTCCACAGTGTGGAAGCTTGATAATTTTGTTGCATCTATAGGACAAACATTTGTTACCACTGGTGGTGTTTTGGGCAACCTGGGTCAGCATAAAATTCTTAATTGGTTCAAGATTGAGACGTTTGATGATGCTTATAAGCTGGTTTATTGCCCCAGTGTGTGTCCATCTTGCAACCATGTGTGCAAGGATGTCGGAATTTTTGAGGATGGGAATAAGAAAATGCATCTGGCTCTTAGTGATATTCCCTTCAAAGTTAAATTCCAGCGTGCTTGATCAAAGCTTTTTCCAATAATGCAAAAATGATAATGAATACATGTGTTTATGATGATCTCTTAATTAGATTTCTGTGTGAAAAATAAATAAATGAATAAAGTGGACAATGCTTTTCTCCTTACTTATATATATAGGGTAATTGGTATTCACCATATATATGGCTTTTGTTATTTTTCACTTAATTAATTATATTTAGTTAATTCGTAATTTTGGTCCGTATTTTGCCTTTTAAATATTTCAAATGAACCATGATCACAATTAGATAACAAAATATTTGATCATCATGAGTTCAAAGAAGACTGAAGTTTTTTTTTAATAAGATAATAAGAAAGTCAATTAAGTAAATGAGATATGTACATAAAAGTATCACATGTTGGGAGTTGAAAGAGGGGGAGCTAGGGGGATAGGAGAGAGACCAATACATTGAAAAACAACTTGGATTAAAATTTTGGGTTTGTATTCGTCAGGGTCAAAGAAATATTAGATGTGATTTTGACAAATTCTTTATTATGATAAATAAATAATCTGTATTTCCAACCAAACACAATAAAAAACCTAAATATTTATTAAGATGCATGATAGCTTTCCACATGAATATTCTACTAAAGTTCTAATCAAACCTTTTAAATCTTACTTGTAAGTTTATATTATTTTACATGAAAAAGAGAAATGAATAAGACTTCTAAAACATATATTATACATTTAGTGCTTTCTTTTAATTTTCTCTTTATTTTATCATTAAGTTCCAATAGGTTTTCTTTTTTTCTTAATTTGTATTTCGATTATCTTAATATCCCGAATGAGATGACATGACATGGACAAAAATTATAATTTATATATGTTTCAATAATATGACTATTTATATATAAAAAAAATTTATCTTCTTTCATCTTTCTTTTTTGTCACCTCACATCATATCATTTTTCTCTCTTCTCTTTTGTATTTTTCTCTCTTTTCTTTGTATCTCTCTTTGGGTGTATACGCCCAAAGTGTGTCTACAAGATATTGATTCGAGCAAAAATAATTAAGATCACCTCAACTTTAGCTTATCGTCTCTCTTCAAAGCAATATACTATCTCGGGCTACAAATCAAATTTTGCAAATGATTCTAACTATAGGAATCAATAAAAGAAAAGAATAATGGTGCTAAATTAATAAGAGGTATATATAGACAACATTGGAATGAAATATATTGTATTGATACCTTAAAAGGTGATACAAGGAAACCAAGGAAACCAGATTTCTTTATTTTGTTTTATTTTTATTTGAACATAACATGTAAGAAAATATAATTTAAGAACTTAGTAAACATTTAATGAACATCAAATCCATAAGAAAATACACCCTTTAATGATTATTCATTCATTACTAGAGGAGCTTAATTTGATCATCATGCCAACTGAAACTTAACTTTGAAGGGAACATCACTTAAAGCCAAACGCCTATAGCCATTCTCATCCACAAACACACCAACATCCTTACACATGTGCTTGGAAGAAGGGAATACATTGGGACAATAAACAATCTTATAAGCCTCATCACACTTCTCAATCTTGAACCAATTGTGTATGGTTTCCCAACCAGGGTTTCCCATAGACCCACCAGTGATCACAAACCACTGTCTCTTAGAAACATCAAAGTTATCTAATTTCCACACTAAGGAATATTCAGCACAACTCGTACGATGAGTAGTGAACATGATGTTCAAATCCGTGGACACACGAACCATACCTTTTTTTGGGTCAATTGGTGAAAATGTTATTGGCAAACCATGGTATCCATCCACAACAACAACATCAAGAGGGCATGATTCACCAATGCTTGCAAGTGCAAGCCCTCCACCACTTCTACATTTTCCATAACGTCCACATTTGGTTAAGGGCATAGCTGGGATAATATAGTAACTGAGACCAGCTCGTAGCTTCTTGCCTAATGTGTCAACTACTTGTTCAGGTGAAGCTTCAGCTTCTCCAAGTAGTGGTTGTGAGCTGAAGGCAAAGAGAAGGACAAAGGCTAGCAATGTGTTCTTCATTGTTTTGTGTATAATGTGGGTGTACTTGGTGTTTTGGTTACTTATGGATGGAGCTTGAGGGAGATGAGGACTATGAATTTATAGATTGCTTCATCAAATGATGGTTATTCTTATCTTTGGATCTATAGTATAATAAATGTACTTTGTATCTTTGTGCTGTGTTTGAACAATACAATTGGCCATGTTAAGTAATTAGTTTAATAATAAATTGATCAGAAACCGTGTAGCTATATATCTATATCGCTTACTATACACACACGGTTGTTAGTTGCTAACAATGTTCTTTGTGCTGTTGGCTAGGTTTTATTTTTCTATTAGCAGGAGCCTTCTTTTTTTCCTTGCATCTCTCTAGGTTATGAATGATCTCCTCTTCATAAAAATAGGTTTTGAGGAACAATTTATTATCTTCTTGATTCTATGGTCTTGCGCTCACTTAATTACCAATTGACTATTTCAAAAGGAGTACAGGTAGTACTCCGAACTATGGGCTAGAATATATAAACATACCCCTATTATTACTGTTCTTCATCACTCTTTTCTCGCTAAAAAAATTCATTAAGTTCATGTTTTCCCACTATTCTTACGATTAGGGCATAACATTGCCTTGATAGATTGGATAATTTTATTTTTAAGCGAATTGCATTGGTTAAATTATTTCTATAACGAGTTAATTTAAATTCATTATTAATCTAATCTTAAACATTAAAGAGGTAACGATTAAAAATTTATTTTATTATAAATTTTGGAGTGCTGCACTCATAATTAATAATCTAGATATATATTTCATGGATATTAATTTTACAGAGCATGCGTTGTTGTTATATCAAATTAATTATACTAACTAAAATGAACAATTTCAAACTTTTAAATTGACATGATAAATAAAAAACCATACTCGTGTGAATTGATATATATATAAATCTGGCACAACGTACAATGGATACATGCATGATATCAACTTACCGTACAAAATTCACGAGGAAGATACTGTTTATTTTAGCCCACAGCATTATTTACGCATTTCGAAGTCATTTAATTAAGACTGCTAATAATAATAATAATAATAATAAAAAAACAAGCCAACAAGAATTTGTTTTTCTTCCAAGACGTATATATGTATATTTTAACACACAAGAGAAAAGGATTCAGCGTTATATGCATGCAGGCTCCAGCTGGTAGGTTGAAAAACACAAAGCCCATCTTTCATCAATGAGTTCCTTGATGCTGACTACAGCTAACTACTTAGGATATATAGTAATGGAAAAAGCAAAACAAACAGGTAAATGTTTACGTCAAAAACCCAAACAAACAAGTAACTAGAATAAGACTCAAAGATTTAGACACATGCAGCAGTTGTTAGCAACTTCATTTGAGAAGAACTACCAGTGTTATTGCAAATATCCCGAAATGAATACTGCCGGAAAATATATAAATCTTCAACGAGAATTTTAAGATATTTAAAGAATAAAAGATTAAGTATAATATTATAAGTCTAATGTTATTTCAAAAGGCTTAGTTATATTAGTATTCTACATTTTTAAAATGTTTGGTATTAATATTTACCGTCAAGTAATGGATTGGATTAAACATCTTCAATCTCCGTTGGTGCCGATGACATTCATGTTATCCTCGATTTTCAACTTGGTGATTGATTCTGTGATGATCCGGGCACCGGTTCTTGTTTTTTATAAAATTTTATTAATTAAGCACTAAGGTTGCTTAGCTCATATCTACAAGTATTGAGTATCATGTGATAAATCTCATTGATCCACCTAAAACAAACCATCTTTCTTAAGCTCAACCTTCTCTTAAGCATTAAGAAAGAAAATATGCTCTAATTTAAATAACAGTTCTCTATTATCGTGTAGAGAAAAGCAACTCCATGTTAAAAATGAGTTTGGAGCCTATTTTAGTACAAGTAGCAAGTGTTTGTCATGTCTTTAATTTAATCATTGGTTCTTATTTTGGATGCTCTAGTGTGTTTTGATTTGTTTTAGATATTAAGGTAAGTGAACTATTTATGGTGTGTTCACTTTAGCTTTTGCTTTGTGTTTTTTTTTCTTAAGTCTTGCTTTTATTGCTGCCTTTTCATGCTTTTTATAAATTATTTTTCTCACTCATTTTTGTTACTCTTTAAGGTGTTTGCTACTTTACCGGTAATTTTGAAAGGATATTTATTATCTTTTTGACATTAACAATTGAGGTTCTTTTAATATCTTAAAAATTAGAAGGTATTGATATCTTTTTAAACTAAACTACTAACCTACTGTATGTTAATAATAGTAATGATTGTTTCATGTGTAAAAGAGGTATTAAACTTTCTCAATTACAAGAAATACAATAGACTTTATTGCTTTTTAATTTGGTTAATTTTTGTTTATATTTGATAAGTAGTAAATTTATATAGTTCATTAAACTCTTGGACTCCGGCTTTGTTGATTGTCGCATCATTTTAGCTCCTTGCATGTGTTTTATAGATGAATTTTTTGTTTACCTCGCATCAATTCATGTAATGATGATAGTCTCGTTGCAAGATTACTAGTTTTACCTTAAAATTTTGAAAAGCACAAGTGGGATGCAGGGTATTGTTAGGTACTGATGGAGTTGATTTTATCGGTGATGAGGTTATTGTTAAGGATGATCAGTAAGCAGGATTTGATTTGTTATATTGCTATGATTTTTGGATGTGTTAGAGAAACCAAAGAAGAGGAAAGAAGAAGTCTGAAATATTAATCTTATTGAATTGAATTCATTATGTTTTTTTTAAGAGTACATAAAGTTATATATACACACACATAACTAAGAAACTAATAATAGAAAATAACATAATAACTGTTATTACAGTTTAGCTAACAAACTAAACCTATTATTACATAATAATTATTTAACACCCCTTTTATCCATCGTCAAACTCAGTGTAGAGTGTTTGTCAACAGTGAGTTTGTCTTGAAGATCTAAAAAGATTGCTGAACTAGGAGACTTGGTTAAAAGATCTGCAACTTGGAATCTTGTTGGAATATGTTTGACGTGAATTTGACCCTGAGCCACCTTTTCCCTGACGAACCATAGATCTATCTCAAAGTGCTTTGTTTTAGTATGCATAATAGGATTGGCCAAATGAAGAACAACACCTTGATTATCACACTGAATTAAAAGAGGTTGTTTACTTTTGATATGAAGCTCAAAAAGAAGGTTTTGAATATATTGAATCTCAGTAACCAGGCTTGCGAGGCTGTGAAATTCAGCTTTCGTGCTGGATCGAGAGACCACACATTGTTTCTTTGCCATCTAAGAGACAATATTGGAACCCAAATACACACAATTCCCAGAGGTGGATCGCATATTATCTTGATCACTCGCCCAATTAGAATCACAGTAGGCTAGAATGTTTGTATCACTAGAATGCTTGTAATGCAATCCATGATGAAGAGTGCCCTTGAGATATCGAAGAAGACGTTTTGTTGCTTTCCAATGAACTTCAAGAGGACGATGCATAAATTGACACAACTTGTTTACTGTGTAAGCAATATCTGGTCTAGTGATTGTAAGATATTGAAGAGAGCTAACCACAGACCTATAAAGACTAGGATCATGACAACCTTAAGTATTGTCACTGGTTAGTTTCAAAAATGGAGCCATAGGAGTTTTAATTGGCTTGGCCACGGACATGTTGAGTTTAGTAAGAATATCTGTTATATACTTTGTTTGAGAAAGATGTAGATCACCTACATTATTTGAATGAACTTGAATGCCGAGAAAATGATGAAGTTTGCCAAGATCTTTAAGAGGAAAAGAGTAATGAAGAGTTTGAATGAGGTTTTGAATTGCAAAGGATGAATTGCTAGTAATGATGATATCGTCGACATATATAAGGATGTATATGGCAATGGTGTTAGAGATGGAAATGAATAAAGAGTGATTAGATCTAGCTTGAACAAAACCTAATTTGAGTAAAGTGACAGTCAGTTTTTGAAACCAAGCTCTAGGGGCTTGCTTGAAGCCATAAATGGCTTTGCGTAATTTGCAAACAAGATCAGAGTTCCCTTGATGAAATCCCTGTGGCTATTGCATGTATATATCTTCTTGAAGATCTCCATTAAGAAAAACATTGTCCACATCTATTTGATGCATTGGCCATCCTTTTGAGACAACAAGGGCAAGTACCACACGAATGCTAACAGGTCTGATGACAGGACTGAGCGTATCTGTGTAATCCAGCCCTTATTGTTGAGTGAAACCTCTTGCCACTAATCTAGCTTTATACTTGAGAATGGAACCATCTGATTTATACTTAATTTTGAAAATTTATTTGCAAGTTATTGCTTTCTGCCTAGAGGTAAAGTAACAAGATTCTAGGTATGATTCTTCATTAGAGCCTTGTATTCGTCTTGCATAGCTTGTTTCCAAAGAGTAGTTCCAAGGGCCTGATCAGTAGTGGTTGGTTCAGATGTTGCCAAGAGCGCTTTAGGCTTAAAAATGCCAGCTTTGGCTCTGATGATCATAGGATGACAATTATGAGTAGAAGGGACAAACTGAGCTTGAGTGGCAGATTGTGTAGGAGACGCGGATGAACTGAATTGAGGAATAGGTTGGGCAAAAGCAGCATGGTGCATGGTTATGGGTTGAGATTCAGGTTGAAGTTGAGCTGAGATGATGTTAGTAGTTGAGGAAGAGTTTGTGGGAGTGATTGGTGTAACTGAATCAGCAGAGTGAAGCATGATTTGGGCAAATTGAAATGGTGTTGGGGCTGATACTTGAGATGACAAAATGGATATTGTAAGTACAACTGGAGTTAAAGACATTAGTGGTTGACCTGCAAGGTGGTTAGTGCTGAAAACACAGGAGGTACAAGGGAAAGTACCTTCATAAAAAATCACATTCCATGATATAATAACTTTGCCATTATTCGTGAAACATTTATATCCTTTATGTTGCAAGCTATAACCAATAAAAATGCATTGAGAGGATCTGAAATCCATTTTATAATTATTGAAAGGCCTTAAATGAGGATAACAAGCACAACCAAATAGTTTTAGTAGAAGATAGTTATGCAGCCTTTTAAAAATAGTTTCATAAGGAGATTTCATTTGAAGGGTAGGTGTTGATAATCTATTTATGACATGAATGGCCGTGCTAAAAGCATCACCAAAAACATATGAGATAGACCAGCTGAGGATAAGAGAGTTACACCTACTTATGTGATGTGTCTATGCTTTCTTTCAGCTGACTCATTTTGTTGATGAGTGTGAGGGCAACTAATTCTGTGAATTATGCCATTTTCATTAAACATATTAGTAAGACATGTGAATTCTTTTCCTCCATTAGATTGAAACAGCTTGATATTTCTTCCAAATTGGTTTTCAACCATGTTTTTAAAATGTTTAAAATGATGTGCAGTTTCAGATTTATGCTTCATCAAATAAACCTATGTGAATTTGGAATATGCATCAATAAAATAAACATAATACCGGAAACCTTCTCCAGAAATATAGTGTGAAGGTCCCCAAACATCATTATAAATGAGATCAGGAGGAGCATGATATATGGTAGTGGAATCAGGAAAGGGTAGAGCATGAGATTTACTAATACAGCAAGATGTGCAAACAGAAGTGTCTTTATCCTATTAATAGGTATAGAAATATTACAGGATTTCATGATAGCTTCTGCTATTTTTCTAGAGGCATGAGCTAATCTATGATGCTATATATCATAAGATTTGTCCACTCATTGAACATTTAGAGCAGTAGAAGAAATAGAATCATGAGTAGTAGGATTCACACATGAAGCAATTTGCAGAATTAAAACTTCATCAAAGACATACAATCCATTTTTAAGGATCCTTTACTGAAGAATTTCCTTCGAATCTTGAGATTTTATAAGACAATGATTTGTATGAAATTCAACAAAAACCTCATTGTCTCTGCAAAACTTAGATACACTAAGCAAATTTTTAGTGATTTGAGGTACATGCAATAAATCTTTCAAAGTAAATACTTTAGAGGACATGGGAGTATGAAAGAAGCAAGTACTTGTATGATGAATACCTATTGGTTGACCGTTACCCATATGAATCTTGTCTTGACTAGAAGTAGAAGTTTTGGAATTAAGATTGGTCAAATTAGGAGTGAGATGATTGGTAGCTCCTGAGTCTGGATACCACTGATCATCATAAGCCATGGTTTGAGAACCCGCAAACATTGCTTGCATTTGCTGTTGTTGGTTGCCTGAGTTAGACGAGTCAGAAATATTATTAAAATTTGGTTTAGCGAATTGCTGATCATACCTGTGCCAACAATGAAAAGCTATATAGCCAAATTTGCCACAAACTTGACATTGTTGTTTGTTACCTCTACCAAGTTGCCGATTTGATCTTCCACGGCCTCTTCCTCTTTGGTGACTTCTTCTAGTAGAACTATGTATGATAGACCCTCCTCTGTAATTGTGAGATTGTTTTCTAATTTGACATTGACCTTGAGCCAAGTTTGCTTGAGGAGGGACACTGTCACTTTTTTTTATGCCTTTCCAAGCATTCTTCTTGAGCTATTAATAGGGCTTCAATCTGTTCAACAGAGTAATCTTTTGTGCGTGTAAGAACATAAGTAATGAGTGGGTCGTATTCTTCGGGTAACCCATCGAAGATGGCATCAATATGCTCAGATGTATGAAGAGGTGACCCAATAGCAGCAAGAGTGTCTACAATTTTCTTGATTTCAAGAAGAAATTGATTTAAGGCTGTGGTTTTCTTTGTGGTCCTTAGTTGAATCTTGAGTTTTTTCACTCGAGCCTTGGTTTGGGAAGTAAAATAAGTTTCAAGATTGCTCCAAATCTGATGACACCATTCGTAGCCAACCATGCGGACCTTGAATTGAGGTTCCATACTTTCGAGTAACCATAATTTTAAAAGGTTATCTTGTTGATCAAAATTTTCATAATCTGGATTGATAGCTCCTTCGTCTGTGTCTTCTTCACTCAGATATTGAGGCAGAACATGCTTGTCTCTAAGAATATGATACTTTAAGCAATATCCACATATGGTCAATTCAGCTTATTGTCTCCAAGTGAGAAAATTGTTCTCATTGAGTTTTGATAAGATAGGAGTGGAAAAGTTTATGGAATGAATTGTTTGGAGGTTGCAAAAGCCATGAGAGAATCAGGAAAAAAAATTAACTACTCATGCTACCATGTTAGAGAAAACAAAGAAGAAGAAAGAAGAAGTCTGAAATATTAATCTCATTGAATTGAATTCATCATGTTTTTTTTAAGAGTACAAAAAGTTATATATATATAAAGAAACTAATAATAGAAAATAACAGAATAACAGTTATTACAGTTTAACTAACAAATTAAATCTATTATTACATAATGATAATTTAACATCCCTTCTAGGATGTGTTTGAGATTGTGGAAGCTGCGACGAAAGTGTACATGAAAAAGAAGAATGAGTTTGAGAGAATTCATATGTTGCATGCTGTGAAGAGAATTGAGATTGTAGTGAATAATTTCTAGTCTACACTTACAAGTAGGCTCTGTAATAGTAGTAATGAGAAACTCAAAAGAGAATGCGATTTCTTTACGACGGTAGCAATGCCAAAAATGCAATGCCAACTAATAAGGGGAAAGAAATAAAAGAAGGATTATTATTTTTTAAGTATAAATATTTAAATAATAAAATAAAATAATAATAATAATATAATAATGAGGAACTCTAAATTTTTGTTATTTATTTCATTATTCAACAGTGAATAGTTAATCAGAGATAATAATTTTAAAATTTTTGAGAATATCATATATTAAATTTAAATTATTTTTAAGGAAAAAGTTGATATTTTTATATAAATAAAAAATATAATTAAGCATTAAAATAAAATAAAAGTAATACTTTTTTAACCTCTAATATTTTAATTCGTGGATTATCAAGATAAATCTTGTATTTTGAGAGAATTATATAAAAAACACATAATAATACTACCCCAAGGTTTATCCATTTTAATTTAAAATTGAAGTCCTTCTTGATGAAAACATGGGCCCAACTTTAGCAAAAAAATGAAAATGGGCCCAAAATCTCATATATAAGAATCCCACTGGCCACCTCAAAATGGATGCAAACCATCTCCCCTCAGCTCCACATTCATAAGTAAAACAAAATTATACACATTAATTAGTGTGAATAATATTTTTTTGTAGATTATTTAACTAAGGTTGCTACAGTTGCTTTGACTTGTGGGCTTCCTTTCCTGTATAACATGTTCTTAATCCTACTTGAGAGTTGAGAGGGGTGTTCTCAAGTATTGATATCCTTGTTAATGAACTGCTTTATGTTTTTGAAAATATTGTATAAAAAAGAAAACAATTGAAGGTAGTAATCACATATACAATATTGCATGGTAAAATAATTATAATACTTTCACTAAAAAACAAAGTTTAATTCTTTAAATCTCTTAATAACAAATTGAGTAAAATTAAGTGTTTTTCGATTTGGAGGAAAAAAGATTTTAATAATTAATTATATCTATAACTGATTATTGCAAAATTGATTATACAAAAAAAAAATATTTGGATATAATTATAAAAACTTGTTTTTACATAATTTATTATGTTTTGAATGGCATATTAAATCACTCTTATATATACTAAAGCTACCAAAATGATATGAAATTATTATAACATGTTGAAAATACTGTGAATCCGATTACAATTTATATAATGTTCATTTTTTTAGATTATTTTAAAAATATTTTTCTTTATCATAGAAATAATGACGGATCTTAATATTTTTTTATAAAATAAATTCCAAACGTTCATAAGCAGTAATTTTTAAGCTATTTTTATTAAAGTACCTTATAACTATAAAATCAATTACATTCAAATACGCACAAAGCCCACACATATAAAGGCTTCTGTTGAATAACCCATATCTCATGACTTTACAAACAAAACAACGGGAGCTGGCAGTCAGGCTACATAAGAACATAGCCACCCATTTTACTTGTTGCCTTCAAAAACAATTGGTGCTGACCATAGTAAGTAAATAAAAGTACTTACTGTTCACAGTCAACACGAATATATATTGGTTAAGTTCTCATGCTTGTTGGGTGAAGAAGCATATACATAAAAGTTAAGCAAGTAAGGAGCCATTGTAATTGTACTGGCCGAATTGAAATCAACCACTTTTTTGTTGCATATATGCATCCACGACATAGGATGTGCACTTTATAATCAGTGGGAGTTTTAGTCTTGAAATTCATGCTATTTTACTCCTTTTAACCTAAACCATTAGATGCATTCACTTGAGAATAAGATTAAGCAATGAAGATCACATTAATACCTTTGCTCGTTCTCTTTGTCTTGAGTATAAAATCATTACTTGAAGGAGCTTACTATTCGTCTGACCAAGTTGTTGATACATCAGGCAAGAAGCTAAGGGTAGGTACCAATTACTATATTATTCCTGTCCCTACTACCAAATGTTCAAGTTTTGGCACATGTAGAGGTTATAGCGGGCTTGTGCTAGCTAGAGTAGTAACAAACAAGACATACCCTTTTCATGTTTTGGTTGTGGAGGGATACAAAGGCCAACCATTAACATTTACACCTATTCATGGCAAAAACAAAGGTGTTGTTCGTGTCTCTACTGACCTCAACATCGAGTTCTCCAATCAAACAAGTTGTCCTCAATCGAATGTATGGAAGATTGACCATTTTGATAGGTCAATGAGAAAATGGTTTGTGACAAGCGGGGGTGTTGTGGGCAACCCAAGTTGGAGAACGATTAGCAACTGGTTTAAGATTGAGAAATATCAACATCACTATAAGTTGATCTCATGCCCAACTTTTTGTGCCTATTGCAGGGTTCAATGTAGGGATATCGGGGTATATGAGGATCAAAATGGGAACAAGCGTCTTGCTCTCACTGACATGCCATACAAAATTCAGTTCCAAAAGGCCTGAGCACTTATCTCCATACAAAATGTTCCTATAACTTCCAATTCTGGCAGAAATATCTAAGTAAATGTTTGATTATAAACAACAATGTTGATGAAATTGGAGAATATACTTGTTAATCCTAATATCGTGGAGTCCTCATAATTTAGCAAGGTCATTTAAGCTTATTTATTTAGTTGCTAATAGTCAGTGATTCATCACAGTTGTGGACATAACTGAAATTTTCTCTTTTGATATGTTTTTTGTAAATTTATCGATATTACTAGTGCTTTATTAATAAAATCAATATTATTACGGATAAAAATAATTAATATATATATAATTTCAACATTTGCTACTTAATAATTTTGTATAAAGTATAACATTAATCAATTTAATAGTTAAATAATTTTATATTATTCGTACGATAATGTATATAAATTTTATATAATTTAAATATTTATAAATATGTTAAAAATAAATTTACTTAATAAAAATGGTTAAACAACATTTGATTAATTAATTTTGTATTTAATAAAAAATTATTAATATAGTAATATTAAGCTACTCTAAGAGTAAATTTTAACAAGAATTACTTTACTTAATAATTTTTTATAAATATTAAATTTTATCCATTCAAACATTAAATTCAACATTTTTCTAATAGATTAAATTCGTAAAAAAAATGCAAATAAAAAACTAATTAACAATACATAAATAACTTTATTTTAGTATTTAATATCTATTTTTTAAAATATAAGTAAATGTTAATTATAAAATTACATATTTGTGAACATTTATAAAATTTGATTAGGTGATTATCATCCACATGTAACCTTATCCAAAATCGTGGCATTAAATTAGATAGTCTCCTCACAAATTAAAATGGCCACCTTCATATAGAAATTGTCATCCTTTATATAACATTCCCTGCTGCATGCATTCTCTTCTCCATTTGAATTTCTCGGCCTCCTGGGAACATATTACATTGTCTGCTTTCTGGGAAATGAAGAACATCTCTCTGAAAGATTGATCTGTATACCATTTATGGAAAATGCGTGACTTTGTTCTATTATGTCTTTTGTTGGTCTTCTTCCCTGGATTATATATTTTTATCTGATATAAAAATATTTTTATTTTTATAATTTTTGTTATCACTAGCTTATAAAAAACTAATAAATGCCCGTGGTATTTCCATACTTGACAAATTTGTTAAATTATTCATGTAAGAAATATAATAATTAGAAGTTAACTGCATAAAACATTAATTATACTTTTCGGCATCAATTTATTTATTTATTTATTTATTTTGACAACGTCCAGATATTATCGATTAAATTATTGACGAAATCACATCATATATGTGGAGGTTGATTACTTTACCTCAATGAGTTTGAAAAGTCAAAATCCCTTCACATCTATGTTCTTGAAACTTGCCAATTTCAATATCAAATAGAAGTGAGATAATAATTAAAAGTTTTATATTAATAAATTGGTAATTAATTAAAAATTATATAAATATTTAAGTTTAAGTTACTTAAAATATTTTATGTAAATAAATTATTTAAACTTAATATGTTTTTCAAACGAATTTATATTCAGATTCTAATAAGAAGAAAAATGTTAATCGTGCCGAATGCATGGACATTAATATTATTAAAATAATTAAAAGATTTCGTCAAAATTGGACTATAACATTCATTCAAATTATAATAGCCTCAATATATCCTTTTCATTGTTATCTAAGAAAATCTTGAGTAAATTGTTCTTATCTTATCTGGTTCTGCCTGTCTCCCATTTTTAAATATTATAATAATTTTAATTTTTTTGGAAGAATTTACACAGATCCAAGCGTGTTTTTCAATATGTGTACACTAACAGTGTAAAATATATTTTTTATTCGGGTAATTATGTGATGACATCATATGTAAGAAATTTAGTTATATTAAAATTTATATAAAATGTCAATCTCATTACAAATTATCAAAACATCATTAAATATAATTGTCAAAATAATGTTAAACTTTTTTATAATAATAACATATTCAAATTAAATTAAATTAATTCGGTGTTATTTTACCGAAATTTAAGGCTAAAATATATAAAGAGTTCTTTTTTTTTTCCTCTTCAGAAGAGCTCAGAGTTTATAGTTAATAAATATATAAAAAGAAAATTAAAATATTTTTAAGTATTTTATTTTTATTTAATGTTTATGCCTTTAATTATACTCATGGCTTGTTGGATGAGTTTGTATAAAAAAATAGGTTATCATTATCATTAGCTATTTTTCAGTTTATTTCAATAATTTATTGAATAAGAGTTTGAATAAATTATGTATACGAATATAATCTTAATAAGTATCCTCAGCTAGTTATATATTAATTACTAACTCTATATCTGAATGGAAATATTATTTATTTATTTTTATTTTGAAGGTTTACTAATAACTATGCCTATCATAGAGATCGTTTAGAGAAGAACAATTTTTACACAGGACTTAGTTAACTCTCTAGGATTACAAGCTATGCATGTGTATGTTATATGACATTGTTTGAGATCAAGTAAATCTGTTGACTCTGGTAAATATTTCAATGCAATACATTTCTTTCAAAGAAATTACTAACCACAGATGTAAATTTAATGATCATAATTATTCTATGTGTAATAGAGTATAAAATACTCTTTATGGGGTTTATTATGCTAACCACGGCTACTTAGTCATTGCTCGAAACAAGACAAATCTCAACAAAAAAGGAAAAAAGAAGGAAACTTGAGATGCTGAAACTAGCAGTTTCAATTGAAGTGAATACTATGGGTCGGCTGGTAGGGGTCCAGAATGCACAACAAATTTTACCTAGACATTTTGAATTCAAGATAAGCAAACCAATTTGTGTATTGCAAGCTGGCTCATGTGTGCCAAACCATTACTTCCATGGCAATCAATGCTGACACATAGCTAGACGTGGAGAATTGGAAGTAGTATATTTTAACAAGAAAACTTTATTCAAGAGTTAGCCAAAATCATTGACTTTTAACATTTTTATATAAAACTTATATGAATTCATAGATTGAGAACATCAATAGCTATAAATTGAAGAAACATGTGCACTCCTCTAAACACCCATAGAAAAAAGTTTACATTCACATACTTGAAACAATACTAGATAACCATGAAATTTATGTTTATATACTTTTTATGTTTTCTTCTCTTCGTCTTCAGTACTCAACTCTTGCTCGGAGCAGCTGATGCTTCTCCTGAGCAAGTGATTGACACAGAAGGCAAGATAGTTCGGACCGGCATGAATTATTATATTCGGCCGGTTCCCACAACTCCGTGTGATGGCCGAGGGCCTTGTGTGGTTGGAAGTGGCTTTGTGCTCATAGCAAGATCAACAAATGAAACTTGCCCCCTTAATGTTGTGGTGGTTGAGGGTTTTCGTGGCCAGGCAGTGACATTCACCCCAGTTGACCCTAAGAAAGGTGTTATTAGGGTATCTACTGATCTGAACATCAAAACCTCCCTTGAGACAAGCTGTACTCAATCCACTGTATGGAAGCTTGATGCTTTTGATGCCTCAAGTGGACAGTGGTTTGTGACTACCGGTGGTGTTATAGGAAACCCTGGCAAGGATACCATCGATAATTGGTTCAAGATTGAGAAGTATGATGATGATTATAAGCTCGTTTTTTGCCCCACAGTGTGCAATTTTTGCAAGCCTTTATGCAAGAATGTTGGGGTGTTTAGGGATAGCAATGGGAATCAGCGTGTGGCTTTAACTGATGCACCCTACAAAGTTAGATTCCAGCCATCTACTTGAAGCACCATCAATGCAGGAACAAATTATTTATGAAAACATTTGGAGTCTCAAGATTGATCGTGTTGTGTTTAGCGTTCGGTTCAATTGATATGAAATTAATAAGCTCACGATATCTAATTTGGAGAAGTGTCATGTACGAATAATATTGATGCCTTTGACGTTTTCTGTTTTTATATGAATAAATTACGAAATTTCACGCTGTGATTTGTTCAAATTCCATTTTTCTATTATATAATTTTAAAAATGATTATTTCCTTATTATTTTCTGGTTACAATGGATAAAAAAAATTCCCAAAGGTGCGTGGTTATAGGTAATTCTATTTTCATAGTAACGACATGAATCAAATCTCTAATATCATTAATTTATTTCTATTGTGACCAATTATTATTTGATGATATTTTGTCCTTGACTATAAGGCTGTGAAACATTGATTACTCATTATTCAGCACTTTTCCTTTTAACGTTTCCTTTATTGTTATGTGAAATTTGAAGAGGATTCAAACAAATAATTTAAGAATTTTATTTAAATGTGCTTCATACTATTATCTAACTATAGATTGTAATATCAGTAATAATTTGTATTTTTGTAATAATTAATATAAAAATAATATTCATGATGTATTTTAATTAACAGCCTAAAAATCTTTATATTGAGAGTGTACTAAAATTAAACTCATTCTTTATTAGTAGGATCGAGTCATATAAAACTTCACCTGATAAAAAAAATAAAATTTAATTCGAAATGTACTAACAATATAATTTTTTATATTTTTACTTAATTATAAATTACTATATCAATTAAAATTATTAATTTTTATAATCACTAATTCGAAATTTATATTTTTTGTATATTCAAGTTAATTGATAAATTAAAAATATTTATTAGGATTAAATTTACAAATATTTTAATTATTTTGATAATATATCAAAATTAATCTCTAAAAAAAATATAAAAATCATAGATTGTTAGCACTTTTGATGATGTGTTTATTAAAGTTTTGTTTGGATTTTATGTTTAAGCAAGGAAGAAAGAAGAAAGAATAGATTAATTATCATTGATTTTTATTTGGAAGTTAATTAAACATGAGAAGAAGAGTTAAACTTCCTAAAATTCTCTTAGCCTTGTACTTTTTTTTTAGTTATCCCATTTTGAGATTTTAATAACTTAAATAGTGAAAGTTTATCATTTATATTTCTATTTGTTAGATTAAATATTTAGCATAGTCTAGAGTAAAATAGTAAAAAAAATAAAAAATAAAAAAATGTTTTTTTTAAAATGTTAGTTTTTAGAGTGAGAATTTTTTTAAAAATTATAAGAAATAGAAATTTTAAAATATTAATTTTTAGAAAAAGAAAATATTTAATTTTTATATTTTTTTGAAAAATAAAAATATATATATGAATAAAAAATATAAAAGAGTAATAATGTTATTAACATGTTAAACTCTCTATTATCTTTCTTTTTTAATATTAAACATACAAGGGATATATTTAATCTTCTTTCTCCTCCTCTCCTAAGTCTTTTAATCCTTTTCTTTTTTTCTTTTTCCCTCCAAACTCTCTTCCATATTAATATTATGAAAAAAAAAAAACTACTATAGTTAGCTAATTTCACGTTTTAAGTTTTTTTTATATAACTATAATTTTATATTATAAATTTGTGTTTTAACTCTTTTTGAATAAGAAAATTTTCAAAACTCTTGACTATTCAATTTTTTTTATTCCTTTTTAAGGACTAATTGTTAAATTTAATTATTTATATTTATATTTTAAATCTTAATGCACTATTTTGAATTAACGATTTAACCATGTAAAAAAATAATTAACGGTATAACTTTTTAAATAAATAAAATTTAAGATTAATGTTTAGTTAATTTTTATTTATAAATTTTAACATAACATATCATAAAAATTATATACTTTAATTCAAATAATTTTTTTATTTGATTATTTTTATTTATAATTTTATTAAAATTTTGAAGTACTACGCTAAAAGATTAGTACTTAAGTAAAAAACAAAAATCGTATACATCTTTCTGCATGAATTGTAGTGTTTTACACCACACCAGAAAAATTAGTAAACAAATAAAACAAGAGAATTGAGTTTAAAAATTACCAAATGAAATTTTTTGCGTATGTACTCTCTAAAATTATACTACACTTGAACAGTATGTTTTTCTTTTCAACATAAATTAAAGAGTATTACTGTTTTTTTGTTCAGTAAAGTTTATTACTGAACCATATACTGAACATGAAAATAAAAGCACTATTTCGGTGAATTGGTGTGGTGTAGAGTATGCTGCAGCCCTACGGCAGCTCAAATTGAGCCATTTATTGGGTTTGAAGACCCAAATCGCAGATATCAAAACACACTCTTGAAAAACAAAATTGTGTGTAATGACACAATAAAGGAAAATTAAATTGTGTAAAGTTACTTAATATAGTACTTTATTAATATGCATTACGATTCTTACCTATATGAAAATAAAACCTTTTTTTTATATTTATTATTATATAGTTTAAGATTTGACACAGCTAATTAAAATAATAGAGATATTATAATTCCTTTGTTTGACAATTTGATAGCTCGAACTCTATTGATTTACGCATGTATAAGGGTTAGCTTAATTTCAACAAATTTTTTGGGTAACTCAAACTATATAACCTAACCAAATTCGGAATAATTTGAATTAGGTTGTCAAAGTTATGTGTATATCAACATCTCTATAGCAAAATTAAAACTAAAAAAATAAATGATAAAAAAAAGATATGATTATTGTCGAAGATCATGAGATGCCATCATAAGCGAACAAGAACAACCATATTTCTACCTGTACATATTTAACCACTACTCTAATCTCTTTCTTTTTGGGTTTTTTGGAAGGACAAAGTTGCAGTGCATTTTAAAAACGATAAAGTTAAAGAAATAATATTTATTTATCAAAAGTTACCTCAAGAAATCAACAAAAATAAATTATTATTCTTACAAAATAAGTTGTATCAAACCCATGTTTAATCTTTCATGAAGCAAACCTACATTTTGCCTATGCTCTGACAACATTTTGGACTTGACGTACGTATGAACAATGCATATTCTTACCTAAATTGTGCTCAAATACTAATTTAACTATATATCAGAAAAATACAGACAATAAGAATCAAATTCTAGAGGTTCATATAAACCAAATATTCCAAAAGCTTATGTTTTTAGGTTGAGACACATGATCTCTATTTTTACATTATATCTCTAATTCAATGACTCCCTATCAAAATGGACGAAATTTGAATCGTTTTTACTTAACTTGAACCATACATATTCACAAGGTTAATTTCCCTTAGCTAAATATATATATAGGAAGCAGATAACTAAGTAACCATGCATTCATTGTAAATCATGAAAACAGACACAGTAAATAATGACAAGGATATAAATGAACACAAACTAGAAATTTCAAAAGCTTCAAAATAGAAAATAACTTGTTTCTTTATTATATGGTCCATGACAAGGAACTCAACTTGAGAAACCTTGTATTAAAAGGACAAATAGTGCATTACACTTATTCCTATTGATTAATTAGGAATAAATGGAGAATCAAGCCCGCTGGAACTTAACTTTGTATGGTGCATAACTCAGAACAAGACGCTTGCCATATTGATCCTGGTATGTTCCAATATCACTGCATTGATGACTACAATCACTGCACACACTTGGACAATAAACAAGCTTATAAGCATCTTCAAACTTCTCAATCTTGAACCAATTGTTAATGGTTTGCCAACCAGGGTTGCCAAAAGAACCACCAGTAGAGATAAACCATTGTCCAGCTGAATAATCATAGTCCTTAAGCTTCCACACTGTGGATTCAGGACAAGTTGTTTCAACAGGGAAATAGATGTTGAGATCAGTGGATACACGAATAACACCTTTCTTGGTGTTAACAGGTGTAAATGTCAAAGGAGCGCCTTGATAACCATCCACAGCCACAACATCAAGAGGACAATATTTTTCATCATCTGTGATTGCAAGGTCAAGGCCACCAACATCAGATGAGGCTGGAACAACGTAGTAACTGGAACCAGCTCTTAGAATCTTCCCTGTTGTGTCAACCACTTGCTCAGGAGCTGCACCAGCTGCACCAAGTAGTGGCTTTGTGCTCAATGCAACCAACAGGAACAATGCAACTATTGTGATCTTCATTATTGTTTTGTATGTCGGACGCTTAATTTGTGTTTTTGTGTTGTGGCATTCTATAGAAGAGAGATGGGTTTATATAAGTAAGCGATTGCTCTAATCAGTGGACTAATGTGCAAAGATAGTCATGGATTTCAACTCATACAACTGGCCACGTATTTTCTATATGATTTGTGAAGTTAATTCACAATGCTCTAATTGGATGGATTCTAAGTTTTTCATGAACTTCGGTTTACTCTTAGTCACTCATTGCCTAACTTCTTGTGTCATGTTTAAGAGTATGTCTTCTCCGTCTGTTTGGTATTGGATGTGAAAAGAAGCACATAGACTAATGCATTTTGATTTATTTTAAGCTTTGTATTATTAGAGACAAACGAACATATCCTTTTTCTTTTCTAATTTTTCATTTTTTAAGGCTAGTGGTGGAAGAAAAAGATGTCCCAGGATGAATCTATTAGCAATCGAATCTTTTCCGGTCCAAACCCTGAACTCAATTATCTTTTTCTAGAGAATCGTGCATTTCTTATCAATATTAAAAAATTACAAAATTTTGAGAATTTTATTTATAATATTGTAAACTAATTTAATATTTAAGATATTATAATAACACCTTTGAAATAATTTTTGACTAACTTCCTATAATTTTTTAATTTTTAAAAAAGTTAAAGCAACTTCTAATAAATATTAAATTAATGATCCAAGTATTTTGACATTTTGAAAAAATGAATCAATAACATAAAGTGCCTTAAAAATGTATTGAAAAGAATGTGTGCTATAATTTTTTAATAATTTATTACGTTGTTAAGTCTACAATCGCCAATTGTATGAGTTGAAATCCAAGATTGTACATTGATTAGAGCCATCCTCTCCATATATAAACTAATCCCTTCTTCGACACACGTTACAAAAACACAAAACTGAGAATGAAGATCACACTGCTTTCATTGGTCCTTCTAGTTGCCTTAGGCACAAAGCCACTGCTTGGTGCAGCTGTTGCATCAAATGAGCTAGTTCTTGACACATCTGGGAAGAAGCTCCGTTCAGGTACCAATTACTACATTATTCCAGCTTCACCTAATGTGGGTGGCATTGACCTTGCAAGCACAGGTAAAGATTGTCCTCTTGATGTTGTAGCTGTGGATGGTTACCAAGGCCTTCCTTTGATATTTATACCATATATTAACACCAAGAAAGGTATTATTCGTGTATCCACTGATCTCAAAATTTATTTCCCTTCTCGAACATCTTGTCCACAGAATTCAGTTTGGAGGCTTAAGGACTATGATTATTCAACTGGGCAGTGGTTTGTGACCACTAGTGGTGACTGGGGCAACCCGGGTAGGAAAACCATTAAGAATTGGTTCAAGATTGAGATTTATGAGGATGCTTATAGGCTCGTTTATTGTCCAAATGTGTGCTATGATTGTAGACGCCAATGTAGTGATATAGGAATATACCAGGATCAATATGGCAAGCGTCTAGCTTTGAGTGACGTGCCATACAAAGTTCAGTTCCAGATAGCTTGATTCTCCATGTCAACATGATATTAATCACTATGAAAAAGTGTAATGCACTACTTGTCCTTTTAGTACAATAATTCTCAACTTGTATTTGTTTTTGATCTTTTCAAAAGTTGTGTTGCATGTCATGTGTTAGACTTCTTACAAATGAGTCCGATCCAAATATTAAGTCATAAAAGTGATTGGTCGCTAACATGAAATTTACGTTTAAAATTCAACTTTGTCCACAAAATTTAAGACGATTAAATTTGTACGTAAAGTGCTTATATATATATAAAACAAAAAAGTTAAAAACTTTCATATTTAAAAATCAATTCCACTCAATTTTCTTTAGTCAACTCAATTAATTAAGTTACTGAAGATAATTGTGAGTGCGTGGATTCGACCTCATGAAATATACTCTATTCCTTTCTCATTCTTTCACCCCTTCTCCCTATTTCTTTAGAAGACCTGTTATAAACTGTCTTTGAATGAATGAAAAAAATTAGACTATACTCAATGGAAATTAAGTTTTTAAAAACTCAACTAAGGACTATTGGTGCTGTTAAAATTCATTTAGCGGCCGCAATCAATCTATTAATTTTTAAATTTCGAATTTAATATAATTCGCACATCTAGTTCATTCTATTATCTATGCAAAATGAGCTGCTTGTGATTTCTTTTTATTACGAAGTCATGTATAAATATTAGAATAAATCACACCCTTCTCCATTAAAGATGTTAAAATTACACTCATCATCTTTTTTGTTATTTTAAAATATATAGTCTCCTCCCCTGAGAGATGAAAATAAATTATATTTTGATTTTTTAATATAAATTTTTTAATAGTGTAAATAATTATGAAATTATCTTTTGACGATTATTATTTTTTATTTTTTTATAATTTTGAATATTTTATTATTGATTTTAGAATTTTAAGAAAAAAAATGAAGTTTTAAATTCCTTTATTATCGGTTTTAAATTTTCGTCTAAAATGCTTATGTTATCTCTTAAGCGTATGGAATTTATAATAATTATTTGAAACTAATTATTGATCATGTGTAGAATAACCACACACAAAAAATATCTTCAAAATGCTCATTTAAATTAATAACATGGATTCAAATACTTAATAAAGAAATAATTTATTTAAGTGAGAGAAGTGTATAATTTAAAATAAAAATGAAAGAAAATGTGATTTAAACATTGAGGAAAAAAATAGTTTGCGCTAACTCTGATTGCAACTTCAGGTATAGACTTTTGACATGCTCAAAGCAAACTCTCCTTTTCTTTTAACCATTCATTTTTAAAGAAAATATCAACACCAAAAATATTAACTCATATGATAAATATTAGATGTTTATTATTGTACCTATTAACTTAAACGAATATTTTATATCTTTCTTAAATTGATAGACGTGATTATTCAAATATTAAAAATTAAAAAAATTCATGTTTCTCAGAATAATAACTTTTACTAATATTCTATATATTTAATATAACATTAAGGATTATAATTATTTTACAAAAAAAAAAAACATAAAATACTATTAATACATCGCAAAAATTACCTAAATTTTATGCTTTTAACATAGTAAAACCTAAAATTTTATTTTCAATGCTATTAATGTATCACAATGATTTAGCTCTAAAGAGAAGAGCAATCTTCATATTTCAAAATATAATTCAAATACAAATATATGCTTATTATGAATTGTAACTATACGAATAATATTACCAATAAATTTACTGTACATGAAAAAAATAAGAATAAAATTTATAATTAAAAAGATGATAAAAATTCATTAAAATAGTTTAAAAATGTACAAGAAATGTTATTTGAGACATAAAAAAGTGAACCTAATAAAAAATAATATCTAAAAAAATTAATTTACCATGTAATCAATCTCATTAGTACGATAAAATGGTTGTACATAACTGAAGTTTTACGTTGTCGTGTGTGCGTGTATTCCAGCCTAATTTAATCCATAGTTTAAATAAAAGTCTGCGAACATAAAGAAAGCAATTATATATATAAAGGAAAATCGCTAAGGCATTAGATTCCTATTGCATGATGTACTGAAAAAGACAACTTTTAGCGTGTTTTCGAATTTGATCGTTATACTTTGCCAGTGAAGTGTAAATGCACAGAGTTTTTATATATTAAAAATAAAAATAGAATATTTTAGCACTGTGTAGCAAAGTTAGGCGGTGACAGCTGCACATGAAAATATTTTAATTATATATTTAGTTAATATATTTTATAAGATATTTATGATAAAATTTATTTTGATAGATAATTTAAAAACATCATATTAAAATAACAAAAAAAATTATATGAATTATAACTTATTTTTATAAGTTTTAAACGTTCCCGAGAAGAGTATACTAATACAAGTGGATCTATTATCAAATTGTTTAAAAAATTAACACCACAATATTATTAAATTAACACTGTTTTAACATTACGTATTTACTTAACTTCATCCCTATATTAGTTAAATTTGTTGGAGTCAAATGTAAATTAGCTTCACATGAAATGATATATCAGTAAGATAGTTATGGGTCTATAAGAAGATGAACTCATGTAATAATTGTCTTAAGGTTTTGGAATTGCGTTGTAGTGTTTTATTTTTCAAAAAACTCCCTGCCTGAAAACTCTCCCACCCAACAAAATTGAATATATGATAAATCTTATAGCAAATTCTGGATTCTCTAGAAAAAAAAAAGTTGCTTGTCCTGGGTTACGATGGCAAAAGATTGGATTGCTTTTAGGATTGACACTGCTTGACTATTTATGTATCATAGTCAAAAAGGAAACTGGAGAAAAGATGTTCGTTAATCTAATAGTACATAGAAAGCTTATAAAAATTATGAAAATGCATCAGTCTATGTGCTTCTTTTCATATAACACACTAAACAGACGAAGCAGAGACATTTTTAAACATGTAAGACACATTGACACAAGAAGTTAGGCACTGAATGACTAGGAAAGCAAACCAAACCAAATTCATCAAAAACTTGGAATCCAAGCAATCAGGTATATATGGTGAAGGGTGAACTTCACAAATTGTATACAGAAATATTGACATTAAGTTTGCCATGGCCAATTGTATGAGTTGAAATCCATGACTTATAGATATGCACACATTACATTAGTCCATTGATTAGAGCTATCCCCTCCCTATAAATTTATCACTTCATGTATGTTAAGCCACAGCAATACAAATTAACTCTACAACATACAAAAGAATAATGAAGATCACATTAGTTACATTGTTCCTTTTGGTTGCTTTTAGCACAAAACCACTACTTGGTGCAGCTGGTGCAGCACCTGAGCAAGTGGTTGACACAACAGGGAAGATTCTAAGAGCTGGTTCCAGTTACTACGTTGTTCCAGCCTCATCTGATGTTGGTGGCCTTGACCTTGCAAGCACAGGTGAAGATTGTCCTCTTGATGTTGTGGCTGTGGATGGTTACCAAGGCTCTCCGTTGACGTTTACACCTGTTAACACCAAGAAAGGTGTTATTCGTGTATCCACTGATCTCAACATTTATTTCCCTATTGAAACAACTTGTCCTGAATCCACAGTGTGGAAGCTTAAGGACTATGATTATTCAAGTGGACAATGGTTTATAACTACTGGTGGTTCTTTTGGCAACCCTGGGTGGCAAACCATTAACAATTGGTTCAAGATTGAGAAGTTTGAAGATGCATATAAGCTTGTTTACTGTCCCAGTGTTTGCAGTGATTGTAGTTATCAATGCAGTGATATTGGAATATACCAGGATCAGTATGGCAAGCGTCTAGCTCTGAGTTATGCACCATACAAAGTTCAGTTCCAGCGGGCTTGATTAATCTCCACACATATTAATTAGGGTTTAATGAATAAGTGTACAATGGACTACTTGTCCTTTCAATACAAGGTTTCTTAAGTTGAGTTCCTGTCGTGGAATATAATATACAAGTTATATTTCTATTTTAGATTAATTAAATTTTAAGATTATTATAATTTCAATCAATACAATAATTTAAATTTAATTTATTATTTTTACTTTTAACAGATCATAGTACTAAAGATGAAAAAAATAATAATCTTAATTTAAATTTTGCAATTTCCAATATTTTCAACATTTTAACCCTATTCTCCTTGAAAATAAAAGTTTAAACTTGGTTGGTAATATAAAATAACCAATATAAGTTATTCTATCTTATTTAGTCAAAAAATATTATATTAAAATGAGATAAAATAACTTATTCTTTGATTTATCTCCTTTTATTCAACCATTAACCAAGTTGATAACTGCAATGAAGATTGTCATTTAACGAGCAATTGATTAATTTCTAGAGAGAAAATTCGAAATAGTCTCTACAATATATATATTAGTTATTGACTTTTTAAAATTGTCCCGTTGGTTTATAATATAGCAGTCTGTTGATCAATAAGGTCTTTAACATTAATTGATGTATGAAAAATATTAACTTTTGTTGAAGTAATGTATGATGCTAACATAACACTAAAATAACGTCATTCTAAGGGAAATATGAAAACAAAGGGTAATTTGCCATATATTTTTAGCCTTAGAATGTTGACAATATGCTTGATGAAGACAAGATTGGGCATGGTAAGATTGAACTATTCAAGAACAAGTCTTCATTGTTGAAGACGACAGTGGAAGAAGGAAAGGAATATATGTAAGCTTGATTTGCAAGATTCTAATTTGAATAGCAGATTGAAACTATAGTTGTTACAATAGCAACATTATGATAGAGACAATTTAAAAAGGAAAAAAGAAAGTGAAGAAATAAGAGAGATGGAAAGAAAGGGATTGAGCAGTTCAAATTCAAGTTTTCAGCAATAAAAATGATGTGAGAAGAATAGGGAAGCCGGTCTGAGTAGTAAACTGATATGGTAGTAACACTATCTTAATGACTAACAGATTGTTATATTATAGATTAACCAGACAATTTTATAAAGTGAGAGAATAATATTCTTGACTCTTATTATCTCATGAATTAATTTTTA